CCAATTAAATTTATTTGCCAAATCTTATTGATTCAAATATGTCACCCGTTGAAAATTTATATCCATGCATTATTTATGATGTCCCAACGGCAATAGTGTTAAGAATAATAGCTTGTCACACCCTCATCTTGAAAACTCTGTCAGTTTCCTGTATCGAGGCCATCACCCTCTTCACTACCGCTTCTCAAAAGGGGCCGCCATTTATGCCACCAAGATTCGATTATTGCTAGAAATCTCCGTTCAGTCAATATTCCATCAACTTTGGAACCTGTAGTAGATTCCTTATATACACTTTTTAGTAATACCTTAAGTTGGCCAATAAGTTTTAATTTACGTGATAATAAAATGAAAGCCACCTCGAAATTGGCCAATTAAGAAAACATTTAATTTAGTGGTAATTTAATAAAAACAGTTTAGGGTTATAAATTGTATATAAATAAGATGCAAAAATACTCTTAAATCATTGGTTATATTATTTCTTAAATGTCCAATTTCGAGTGGGATTTATTATCATACATTGAACATTTCTTTTTATTAAATTAATTATATATTAAGGCAATTTAAGGCTTTACTAAAAAGTTTATATAAGGCCATTTCCAAACAGAACGTTTTTTCAAAGCATTAGCAATTAATTTTTTGTTTCCAAAAACAATGGTAAACTTATCGAATCAATTTTTTTTATATAATATAATGTTTTAAAAAAAACAATCCAGATCCCCATTTTTTTAATCGTAAATAGAAATAAACTGGTTTGATTTTAATAACGATTAAATGGCGTTTTGAAATGTGGCTCCATTGTTTTTTTAAATATTATATATAAAAAAATTAATTAGACAAGTTAGTATCATTTGTTGGAAATAAAAAAAATTTGCTGGTATTACCCAAAGCTTTGAAAAAACGTTCTGTTTGTAAATGGCCTAAGGAATTATTAAAATTTAAAGTACATTTTAATGATTCCTTATATAGTCTTTTTAGCAAAACCTTAAATTGGGCTATTAAGTAAATAAAATAAATACATATCTTTTTTTTAAAAAAAAGGCAAGAAACTTTGAGAAGACTATTTTAGCTAGGATTTTCCCGGTAGCTTTTTACTCCTTAAAGACATAAGAGGAGTTTCAAAATTTTGATTGATTTTTTTATGAATCATATAATTTGAAAAAATACAATTTTTTTGTTTAAAAAATAGAAATTTACATTATCACTTTTAAAAAATCTGTGATAAAAAGTGAGCTAGAAAGAAAATTTGAAAGCAGGAGGAAAATAAAATAGTACAATTTTATAAAATTGAATAAATAAAAAAAGTTTACATTTCTTTTAAAAAGAATGAAATTCATTCCTGTTCAAAATTAAAAATAGGTGTCGCTCAAGTCCAAATTAAAGATAGGCTGACTTAAAAGGCAGGGCTTTAATACAAAGTATTCATCTATTGCTTAAATTATAGTAATAAAGAATGATCTTATAAATTCCCATATCTTCATTTTCATTGTAGGTTCAGAATTTGAGTGCCCCGCATTCAAAATTGTAAAACTGCGAAAAACGATAATAGAAAAAACTTATCATCAATTTAAGTTAAAAAAAATTGAGAGGTAATTTATAATACAACTTTTACTTTCAAATGTTAGTATAAAAAATTTCTGAAATATATTTAATAAAATCAAAATTCAAGTAAACATTATGATTTTTTTTGCTCACATTTCAATTTTATTTTTTAGAATTTATTGACTATATCATTAACTATTGTAAATCATCAAATTATATAATATAACTGTGAAGCCGCCCCACCCTGCCCTTAATCTCGGGGGTAATATCAGACCTGACCTAATGGCACTTATTATATTGAGCAAGAGATTCCCGCTAGCCTGGGATTATACATGCGTTAATCAGTTTACACCATCCGTTAGCTCCAATTCTTTTGTTAGAGCGGAAATTAGAAAAATTAATAAATATATTACCATTCCTAATATCACTTTACCCCAATTGTTTCGACACAATCGGTGCTTTTGGAACCAGAACGGTATTTCTTCAAAGCACTCGGCCAAAAAATGAGCTAATTTCGGGAGATCCCTAGGAAGGTTTTGATCTACGTCAACGAATTTTAATGGAAATTTGTAGGTTCATAGCATATCAATCTACGGTGCCATAACATAGAGATACCTCCTCACGTTTTTTCAATTTCTTTTTTTTATTATAAAATTTTTTATAAATTTTTTAAAAAATGTATCAAAATTGATTAAAAATTATTTTAAATCGACTATGAGCTTTAGACAATAAATGTAATGATAGAATTTTAAAAAAAATGAATTGATTTTATTTCGATTTAAAGGCGTGTTTATTTTATTTGAATAGGAGGGCACATTAATCAGAACTATCTTAAAACGAATTATTCATGTAGGAATTAGCTCAGTTGTTGAATATTCGATTCCATTCTTTTGACTCGTATCGACGAATCTAATCGAATAATATTTTTATTAATCGTAAGAATAATGCAAATAAGGAAATATTCACTTCTTACAAATACGAATAGTTCAACTATTCGATTTGAAAATACGGATAAACAATGCAAATATATGATTCGTATCTTTATAGGTATAATCAATCAGAGCTAGAGACCTGCAAGAGGCTAATTCTTTCAATCCAACCTGACATGTAAGCCGTCCTAATCCGAAAATTTAAAAAAAAATTACTGCTGCCCAACCCGAACATAGAATTAATTCCATATTATCAGAATGTATTTTTAAAAATATCTTAAAATTTATTTATTTTTCAATATAAGAAATAATCAAAAATGATCTGTAAAATAATATACAATCAGTGATTTATTGGTATCATTGATTAAATTTTAAATTTAAAAAAATATTTCTAAACCTGACCCACCCTGAAAATAAAAATTTATTACAATTTCCAGACCCAATCCACGGAACGGTGTCTGGATAAGTTTTGCTACAGACTTTCTTAATAATTTTAAGCAAAATTCACTTTATTTTTACACAGTAGTTGTTAAGTTATAGATGTATAGGATCAACGTCCGAATATCTCCATCCCAATAATTTTTATAATAGAAAATTCTATTTTTTGAAAAAATTTATATTATTGATTTTATTTATATATTCATAAGATTTGATTATACTCCAAGATCTAGGAATATAGGAAACGTTTTCTATCTAAAAAAAGATATAGAAAGTATTTGATCAAAATCACAAAAAAATATAGAAGATTTTAAAAAAAATAATTTTGTTTACAAAAATATTTGGCCAAAATCACGAAAATAGAAAAAAATTATATTGTTCATAAAAACTTCTAGTTTCTGAGCAAATATTATAATTAGATAATTGAGCATCTTTAAATAATTAATATATATATACATAATGATATTTATATATCGATATAAAATATTTACAATAGTATTTTATTGAAAATAAAGTAAAAATTTAGTAAATATTATTTATATAATATTTAGATTGAAAATTTAATGAGGATTCTAAATAAGTAAATTTATATTTTTATTCATTAATTATAGATGCTCAATTATCTAATTGCAATCTTTGCTCAGAAACTCAACATATTATTTTTTTACATTTTCGTGATTTTGGCCAAAATTTTTATCATCCATTATAGATTTTGGGGCAACACGGTATGACCATATTTGTTTTACTCATAATCTAGAAATATAGAAATTTTCTCTCCAAAAAAAATAAATATAGAAATATGTTTTTTATAATTTAAATTATATAAATGTATGCGCTATATCTTTATAATCGTGATGTTTTTTGTATGGCCTTTGTTTTAAATTCGCTTTTAATAAAAAAAAATGAATATATTATATTTAATATTAGCAAATAATTTCTAAATTTTTTATTGTTGATTTCAGAGGCGGGCCAACTTATAGAAATTTCTATGAAGGCTTTAAATTTTTTTTAAAGATGTTTAAAATATTATCGGTCAATATATTTTTTGTAGAATATTTCAATGAGAGCGAACTATCACCCCCATAAAGTCAGCGCCTATGGTTTAAGCTAACCTATTTTTAGTTCAAGATTTTAAGATCATTATGTCTTGTACCCAAGGCCCTCTATATATATGGCTTACCTTAATTAGGCATTGCATGAGGACAGCACAAAAAAATGGTGGCAAATTGATAATTATAATTTTAAAAAAATTAAGCTATACGTTGGTATATAAAATAGAAATTAGAACGACATGAATGCTCTAAGTCTAAAGGCTCTATCCTTTATTATGTTTTTTAATATATATAAATTCTGGCCTAAGAACGGCTTTTGGCTTTTAAAAGGTCCAGGCGCATTAGCCAGAAATTTGCTTTGGGGATAATTATTATTTTAAAAAAATCTAAAAAGCCTCTTAAAGTTATTATTAAACATCTTAAATTTATTAGATTTGACTTAAAAAATTAAGGTAGTATTGTAAAAACCTTGATTCAGCCGATTTTTAAAAAAATGATAAATTAATATTTTACACAGCAAAATATTATTTATACGCCTTAAGATTTCCGCAGGAGTTGGCAAGTTTAGCTCGCTTTTAGTTTAATCCAGAGATTCTAACCGAACCCTGGAAAAAATTTGCCGGGTTCGCATCCTTGGTTTAATCTCATGGATATCTTGATTTTAGTCGCCTTTTAAAATCAGCTAAATCAAGGGTTTTAACAACAATGCAAAGAAATGGTGGGTTCTATTATCGATTCTAATAAGGCGTCTTCTGTAGAGAGGTTTTTTTGGGCCATCCTATAATTTCACTAAGAGTATTTACAATTTCCTCACTACAATACATGATTTAATTATCTGGATTTTTTAAGTGAGGGGGGGGGGGGTATTTGATCATTTTTAAAATTAAATTTGTTATATTTTTTAAAATTAAATTGGTTTTATTATTTTTTTAAATATAATCTTTAATAAATTATTCCATCCTAAGGGCGCTATATCTTGGAGGAGGCGGCTTACGTTACTTTAAACAGGTTGCCTCTAACTATTAATTTTAAAAAAAATCAGTAAAAGCTATCGATTGCTATGTTTGCACGACCACGAACAATAGTTTAAAAGAATGTAGTGATCCATTTAGTACCAAAAACCCAATAAACTTTTTACAGAAGGATTGTAAATCGGGACGTAAAAATAGATCTGGTCTGTTTCCAGCCACCTCGTGCATTAAAATATCCGGAGTATATGGTATAATATTAAAATTATCATTTTTATATTTATACCAATTAATAGGGATGGGACTCTCTTTTTTAATATTGAAAGGGTCCGATAATTGAGTTTTTACAGATATGTTTAAATTACCTTATCCTATATCTCAAATTTTTTTAAAAATTACTTAATTTATGATGGAGTATAAGGGTATAATTTAAACATTATAATGTTAAATTATAAAAGGTTATGATAGATATCGGATTAGCTCTCTCTATAACGATACACCCAGTGGTGTTATCAAGGGAGGGGATTCCTTCCCCGTAGCAAATTTGCCACCTCATCTGCTTATATATATAAAATACTCTCACCGGTGGGGATGGGCATCTAAAAAGATAAAACAAGCTATAACGAAAGTTCATGGCGAGAATGATATAATAAATGAATAAAATTTTTAACACAAATATTTTTTATTAATAAAAATTAATAATCCTTGCATTCATCATTTTTCTATTATTTAGTTTTGAATTGTGACAAGTTAAATTTAATAATAAAATTTAAAAATCATAATATCTTTTATCTTAGCTATAGTGTTGTTAAACAGCTCGATTTGAGCCGATTTTTAAAAACGGCTAACTCAATATTTTATCTAGAATTTTCACAAGCCTGAAGATTTTTTGGTCATAGATAACACCAAGTTTTGGACGGATTAGCTAAATCTCATGGCTCAGAGTCAATATTTTCTGACTAAAATATGAGTTAGCCGTTTTTAATAATCGGCTCAAATCGAGCCGTTTAACAATATTACTTAGCTATAATACACATGATTTACATCTTATTTTTATTTAATATTTTAGTCTAGAGTTAATTTATTTATTTACCACAAATATTAACCACTCTTTTCCTCACATAATACTTACGCCATCAATCGCATTTTAATTAAAAAGACACAACGAAAATCAAATTGGTCATAAGATCTTGCGCCCTGGATAGTGGGTCCCTGACCCAGGACACGGAATTGGTCAGAAACTCTCATTGTGGTATATTTCGTTTTGATGAACAAAGAATGCGTGGTTGCATAAGCACATGCAAAGAAGATGGTTGCAATTCTGCTCGATCCACCGTCGTTTTTTCATCCCCCTTTATCATGGCGATCTCAATTTATATCTTCTCAACTTGTTTTTTTTAATTTTTATTTTCCCGTTCCTCGCAAAACTCAAACTAATATTGTTTGCGATTTTCGTTTGTAACCATATATGTCTTATTTTGAGTAACGCGATTTTATTTTTTTCCGCACGCCATAAACATTTTTTTTTAAAATTATTATAATGACTTTTTAACATATCGAAATGATAAGTTTATAATGATAATATTTATGCATGAAACAAAAATGACCCCTAATATATATAAATATTTTAATAACTCTAATTGCTTTTAAAAAAAGAGTTATGTTAAAATTATGATCCACCACTAAAACATCTTGGAGATTTCTATGAAGAATATTAAATTAATTGAACAACATTTTTGATTTTTACTATGTCTTCCTTGTATCTACCTAATAATACACTTTGGTAGTAATTAGTTTTTAAAATTTTTATAACAATTTTTTTTTATATTTATATGGTAGAAAAATAGAAAGTGACTTTATTTGATATTTTTGATTATGAAATCAATAACTTTTAATTTAAAAATAATTGAAATCATATTTTTACAATTTACACGTGCGCCACTTAAAATAAGAGCCCGGCTGTTTAAATATATTATTTTTTTTAAATAATTAAATCGGTATTTTGTTGGTGTATTATACTTGACTTGTTGTATTAGTATAATCAATTTAGTGCTTTCGAGTTGAGGATTGTGTTTTGCGTTATCGTTGTTTAAATTGAGTCAGTATTTTTTTTAAAGGGTTTTACGTTTGTGATCAATAGGTCAAACATAAAAATTGTTTTCTGTTTTTTTTAACAAAATGAAAAGTTTACCAATTTTTCCGATACCGTTTGAAAGATATTATTTAAGCTGCAGCGATGAGACCTCAATTTCGAAGTAATATTAAGTATGATATTTATTACATTTCACACGTAATAATAAAATGCCTAGTATAATATCTTAAATATTAATTATTTTCTTAAGTAATAAGTTTTGGGAGGATCAATAAAAATTTTTCTCCCATTAATTTATATTTCTTTTTTATTTAATGGTTAACAAAACATATTACACAACGAATACTGGTTAACATTTAGAGATGGTTATGTAACCTCTAGTGGCAATCTCTTAATTTTGAAGCTCTCTTTATGTTCACCATAAAGTAGCCACTATAGAGTAGAGTTATTATCTTGTGGAAATTTGATATATAAATTTATATTTTTTTAATCGATGTTACATTAATATTTTTAATTTCGATAACTTTCCTAAATATTAAATCGCTGATTTGTAAAAAAAAAATTGAAACTATTGATTTTTTTTTATATATTAAATTATAACAATGTAATAATATTATTTTATATCCCATAATATGTATCATGTCAATTGCAATATCTATTATCTACTACATAGTATTATTTTTTTTATATTATTTAATAGCATTTTCCGAAATTATTATGTAATTTTTTTATTATTATATTATAATATATATTCATTATTTATATCATTTACATTTTCCTGATGTGCGCAACGCATAACAATAATTTACTATTGTTAATAACAAAATGATAGAATTTTTTTTTAAATTTATTTTCACCGATGATGCCTTTTTTGAAATGATATTCTATTTATAACCCGAATCCGCTTATAATCTGACCTAAATTATTTTCTTCCCAATTTTATGTTTTGATTTCGGGGTCCCTGAAATCTTATAAGAAATTAATAAATATTTCCCAGTGATAATGTTTTTAAATTTGTAGGGTGAGTGGTTTGATTGACACATAAAGAGGAAATTATAACAATCTCATATATATTTTTTTGATATTTCTTTGCATTTTATCGAAACCAAATTATTTAACTAATAAATTTTTCATAGCTTTTTTTAACGCCATATTTTTTTTTACGAATTTATTGGAAAGATTATAAACTAGATTATTATTCATAATACGAAGTACAATAATCAATATAATTGAATTAATCGGTTCTGTTTCAATTTATGTAATAGATCGAAGATCTCTGAACCAGATAATTATATTCTCACGAATCTATTAGGAGTTAATAATCCGATTAATAATAAAAATTTTATTTTATTGGTGTACTAGGTATTATGTTTAGCGTTGCTTATTCGACCGGCGAGCGAGATGCTTTTTCCCAAGGTTAAAATATTTTTGCAAAGAAAACCACGAGGCCTAAGTAATAATTTTCGAATAAAAACTCGATCTTTTTTTGGAAGAAAATGGAGATTTATTAAATATTATTGGGGAAATATTAATTTGGTACATATGGAAATTAATTTTAGGAGATTGATGTCGCTTAGTGGAAATAGAACAAACAGATAATAATTTGAAAAATATTATAAAATTTAAATTATTATTTTTGTGTGTGTAATTATTGGAATTGGGAAATGTTGTTTACCCAATAATAGTCAAGATTTTTCTAGTGGATAAAAATGTTCAATTTTTTCAAATTATATTGATTAATGCTCAAATATGATATTCTAAAAAAATAAGCCAAAAAATATAATCCTAAATAGAAAATCTAGCCTGGTGCATATCTGCACCGTTAACCATTAAAAAATGATACAAAATATGGGTTCCACGTCTTTATAGAGAAACCATTATAGAGAATGTATTTTATAGAGAAAACAATTATAGAGAATGCATTTATAGAGAATTGTTTTATAGAGAATGTAGTTTATAGATAATGTTTTATAGAGAATGTTTTATATAGAGAAATTTTTTTATAGAGAATTAATTTGAGAATGATTTTATGGAGAATGCCGTTTAGAATGGCTTTATAGAGAATGTCGATTATAGAGAATGATTAAAGAGAATTATTTTATAGAGAAGGTCCTTAAGAGAATGACTTCAAAGAGAATGTTTATTATAGAGAATGATTTTAAAGAGAATTACTTTTATAGAGAAATATTTTGTAGAGAATTATTTTGTAGAGAATTACATATTAGAGAATTATTTTGTAGAGAATTACATTGTAGAGAATTATTTTGTAGAGCATTATTTTCTAGATCTTAATTTTATAGAGAAATATTATATATGGGACAATTATAGAGTTCAAAAAATTTATACGGGATTTGAAAAATATATCAAAATTAACATTTTAATAATACAATTCAGTTTTTTGTTGTATTTTTTCGATTATTTGTTTCAACTATGGTTTTTTTGTAAAATCTTTTTAGTTCATATCAAGGTTTAGCTTGATTATTAACTCAACTAAACCAACCCTGAAACGATTTGTTAAATATGTATTAACCGTTATTAAAGAGAATCTAAACTGAACCAACCATTTTTAAAATGTTTATATATTGCATTTATATGCCAGCTACCTAAATTAGCCTATAGAAGGGTTCTTAACTTTACCCTTATGGATATAATATGACGGACAAGAATCTTCATTCTAATTTTAATTAAGAAAAGGTTTTAACCAGTTGTTTGGGTAAAAAATATGTCATATTCCCGTTCGTTCTCCGTTTCGATAAATTAATTTTCTTTCTATTTTATTATACAAATTTTATTCATAAATCTTTTTAATATAGATAACTAAGAATTCATTATATCTCTAATGATACACATTTAGATGTATGCGATGGCTTTAATATATTGAGTGTCGAAAAGTGCCGATCTCTATTTGGGGTTCCACATATTTATAGAGAAACCAATATTTTTGATTTAATAGAAGCATCATAATTTTGTCCTGCCTAAAAAACCAAAACCGTCAATTGAAGGTTTCTATTATAAGATATTATAGCGAATGCATTACCACGAATGCACTATCGCGAATGTATTATCTTAAATGAATTACAGTTGCGATATCGGGAATGGAGTTTGATGAAACTACAATTTTATATTTATCGGCCTTTAGACAGACTTAGTTGAACATGGAAATTAAGTTAAAGTCGGGCTTGGGTCTAAAAATATTTTTTTTAAGATAGGGTTAAGGCTTTTGATTTTTTTGACTCAAAAAATATATAAAAGATTCTAAGCAATAAAATAGATTTCTTTAAAGATTAGGGTAAAGGAATTAAATTTTTATATTAATCGATTGTTTAAATGAGCGTTTAGGTATATTTTTCAATTAAATTTGGGAGAGGACAGGCTCAGGCCTAAAATTTAAAATTATGGCTAGGCGCCTAAAAATAAAGATTTTGGATGAAGATTCTTACTTCTTCTGCTGAGAGGATATGATTGCATAATTTTAATGAACAGTAACTGTGTTGTTTATATATCATTAAAAATGGAAGATAATCTTTTAGAAATTTAATATCTCACAATAATTTTTCCGATTGTGATAAGAGGAGATGAAACGGAGAGTATTGATATAAATGATTGGCAGATATCCGCAATTGAAAGCTGCAAATATTTGGGCTCCACTATACAAACAAACGTCACAATAGAAAAAGAGATAAAGAGTAAGATTAATCAAGGGTGGTTAAAGTGGAGATCTTTATCTGGAGTGCTATTTGACAAAAGAATCCCACACAAATTAAAGGGAAAAATTTACAGTTCCATAGTACAACCAACTATTCTATATAGTTCGGAAACATGGCCAACCAAAGAATCAGACGAGAGAAGTCTACAAACTATGGAGATGAAAATGCTGAGGATGATTGCTGGGGTAACAAGAAAAGATAAGGTGCGCAGTACAAGAATACTAAATAGTTTAAAGGTAGTGCCCATTAAGACTAAGTTAATGGTAAACAGACTTAGGTGGTATGGGCACACAATGAGAAGGCCTATGAACTACATAGGAAATAAAGTTGAAAGTTTGGAAGTGATGGGCAAACGTAAAAGAGGAAGGCCAAAACTTCAATGGGGCCATAAAGTTAGAGCCAATATAAAGAAGTATAAAATAGATAAAAGAGATTGTATGAATAACATAAAGTGGAGAGAGATGTTGAAGGAGCTTACCACCAGAAAAGGTGAAAGCTAAAGAAAAAAAATAAAATAAAAAAAAAAATAATTTTTCCGATTAATTATCTACCTTCATAATGTCATATAGGTCTAACCACCATATAGTCGATTAATGGTAATATACTGCCTCAAGGTAATACCTATCAAATTTATATTTTGTTTATTTTTTATTTGGAAAGGTACTACCAAATTGATTATATATATATTTGAAAAATCGTGATTTTTCAAAAGCGTCTATGGCTAAATCCGAAAGAGTTTCTTACCATTCCTATTGGTTTGGGTTCGAATCTCAACAAAGATCATGTTTTTTTTAATTCCAACTTGGTTCCGTCCTTGAGGATGACATATAGGGGGCCGGACTCAATTATGTGATACCGTTATAATATATGTTGAAGGGTTTTATTACATTTTAATAAATTTTGGTCGGTATTTAACAAATTAGGTTATTTAGAAAATTTCTATACGTTGACTTGTAAGTTTCTATCGTTAACCCATATAGTCTTAGGATTTGGATTAGTAGTTTATATTATCCTCTTTAAGAATTATTGATTTGGTTAGGCCTACAAATTTTTCCTTATTAGTCAATTCTATAAAACATTGTCTAAAATGGTAACACAACGTTATATTAGTTTAATGTACTTATTTTTATGTAGGTTGCTAAGTTATATCGCCCTGTGTGGTTTTTAAAAACCATTATCAATTGCGGTTAACCATTTTTATCACTTGTAATTTTTTAGACAAAAATTTATTGTAATAAATGGATAAATATTTTGTATTAAAAAATATTAAATTTAGAAATGTCTTGTATTGTTTTACTTTTATTCTCATAATAAATGACAAAAGATGTAATTGAGAATAATTGTCAGAGTTTGCAAATTTCAATTACATATAATTTTTTTTAGTTGAGCGCCCTGAGATTGTAAAGGCTAGTGACGCCCCTGGGTTCACCTAGTCGTCTCGCTTAAATGGCTTACTTAGTCGACTCGCTAGGTCTTTATTTAAAAGTAAATTATAATTTTTGATGTTTATTTTTTTAACATGTATTTTGTAAAAAGGCTCTAGCCGAGTCGATTTTTATAAACTTAAATGACTAGTAAATTGCTATATTATGTAATAATAAATAATGTGAACAAAAATTATAAAAGATATTATTTCCATTTAATCTTAAGAATATTTATGTTGAAATTAAAAAGGGGTCTACACTCAAAATCCGGTTAAGGAATTTTAGATTCTATTTGATGAAATTTTGATAACATGAACTGAATTGAAAACCGATTTTCTAAAAATGTTTGAAGCCCTCCCGATTCACATTACCGCCTTGAATAGCTGCTTGAACATGTTGAGCATCTTACTCTATAACATTCTGCACTTTTCTCCATTTTAATACTATCATAACAACACGTGTAATTAAAAAAAAGCTTATGTCTTTTAAAAAAGCCATTCTTGTATATGAAATTATGATCTAATAAAATTTATGTAAATCATAAAAAGGGGATAAAAATATTTCTTAAATTTAAAAACGTTAAATTAATATTTATTAATTAAATCTTCAACTAATGGCCACAAAAATTTTATATATTGAAAATTAGGCGAATTCAACAAAATAAAATATACATTTTTAATATAAGTTAAAGAATTGTGAAAATTTTCACATAATTTATGCAATTCTTAAAACTTTTAAGTTATAAACTTTGAATTATAATTATATTAAAAAATTTCCACCAATAGCCACACAATTGCATATTTATTATTTTTTAATAAAAAAAATATTAAAAATTTTCCCTAATTTCAATGACTTACCAATTTTTATTATATAGTATACAAAGAAATGTGCAAAAATATTATTATTTATTTCCAAAAAATAAAATAAAAATTAAATTTTTTCTTTTATTTTTTGCCATCTCGTTGGTACCAGAAAATTTGAATATTTAGATTATTTTCTTTAATTGTAATAATAAAATATCTATGATATAAATGATCAAAAATTGTATAATTTATATGGCACAATAAGGGATTTAAATAGAGAATGTCTAAAAAAAGTAAATTTTATAAAAATGAAATAAGGCATATACGTGATATATAGCGCATATGCCCTCTAACGTTGAGTATCAACAGAGCTACACTAGGTTTTCCTCATTTCCATCTAATTGGAAAACAAAGGTAATTTGGGTATTAAAAATAAAATATGAGGAGCCCTCTACACGTTTGTGGGCAAGCCGCACGTACTTGTACGCTCAACATTCCGAAGAAGTTGCGGACGTCCATAGGCTTAAAATCAAAAGGAGCGATACAAAAAAAGAGCCTATGCCCAAGAACTGCAGTTTAAGTTAATTACTTTAAGAATGGGTTATGGCTGATTTCTAGTTTAAGATTTTTATAGAAATTAAGATGAAATAAAGTACATACCAATCCAGTTTGCTATTAGTCCTAATTTAGAAACGTCTCATAGTTGATTTTGGTGATTAAAAATATAAAACACTGATGATTATTTCATTTGAAATATCTTTCCTTTATCCTGAAAAGTTTTTTAATGGACTTTTTGCAGTTATTTAATTTAATAAATTGTTTCATATTTAAATTTAACTCCATTATATCTTTTATGGTCTTATAGTACCAGAGGGATTTATATTTTGTATATTCTTTTTTATTATAGGTGTAAAGCCAAGTAATAGCATCATGGACAAGATTTTGATCAGAGTTTCTTATGATATGGGCCAGAAATTGAATATGGCGTTTCCTCAGGGTGATGTATATTGGAGTATGCTTAGATGCTCTCCATAAATTGTTGTTTGATATAACCTTCGGATAAAAAATTCCATTTATGATTCTAAGGCAGTTATTTATAAAGGATTGGAGTCTCCTATTTTCTGTTTTGTTAAATTCCCATAAGTCCCTTCCAAAAAGTAATATGGGGATGATTGTAGAATTGAAGATTCTAAGTCTGGTGTGAACAGAGATCTCCTTCGTCTTCTATAACTTCATATACTTGTGAAAAGCCCCTTTTGCCTTTTTTATTCTGGTTTTCATCTCTTCTTTACAACAGCCCTTGTTATCCAAAAGTACGCCTAGGTATTTTATTTTTTCTACTACCTTAATAATATTGCCATCAATTATAATTTGGATTCTGGGCAGCACTCGGAGAAGGAAGAATAACTGTTTTATTAAAATTGATTTTTAAACCCATTTTTAGACTTAAGTTTACTAATAGTTGTAATATATTTTCCGTTTCTTTAATACTTAAGGACACTACAGCGATGTCATGTGCGTATGATATTATTCTGTTCTCTAGATGTAACTTTGAGTTGGAGCTTAGATCCATTAAACATGCAGCTCCTGAAACTTCTTTAATAATTTTATGCATTATAATATTGAAGTAAAGGTGAAAGTACGCATCCTTGTTTTACGCCTTTCTTTATCTTAAAAGGGGGGGGGGGGTATTTTATTGTTAATTTTTATACAGCCGGTGAGATTCGTCTAATGATTTTTTATTATGTGGATTATGTTTGATTCAATCTCGCATTCCGACAATGTCTTCCAAAGAGCATCATGATTTACATTGTCAAACGCTCTGCTGAAATCAACTAAGGTGAAGTAGGCGGGAATTTTGTATTTCCAACATTTTTGTATTATTATTTTTAGTGCTAAAATTGGTTCTAGCATATTTTTCTTTGGCCTGTAGGCACAAATATATTTCGGAAGTAAGGTTGGCCGAGATGACATAATTCTGCTCTTTATCAGCACCATGAATACCTTAGATACAGTAGATGTTAGGGCAATAGCCCGATAATCTTTGAAGCTTTTTAGGTTTTTAATCTTGGGGAAATTTCATAATAAAGATATATTCCATTCTTTAGGAGTTTCGTCACTATCCCAGATTTTGTTTAAGAGGGGTAATAGATAGGAGGATATAGTGTTTGATGCACTTTTTAGATGTTCGGCAGTTATTCCGTCAAGCCCAGGAGCTTTATTATTACTTAGTTTAGTGATAGCTTTCTTAATTTCATCGGTGGAAAAACCAGACGGAGGCGGGATTGAGCGTACGCTTGTGCTTGTTTGGCAGAAAGCTTTTCTTGAGTCAAAGATCTTCATATAATAATCTACCCATAAAGCTAATTGTTCATCTTGATCTACAATTTGTTTTCCGTTTTTTAGAACTAGAGATGGGAGTTTTTTAAAACTGTAGGGTTTACAAAAATAGTTCAGTTTGTTATATGCATCATATATTCTATTTTCCTTCATATCTTTATCTATTTCAAAAGCTTTCTTAGCAATGTATGTCCTTCTATCACTCCTCAAACGTTTTTGTATGTCCTTCCATAAGTCTTTGTTTAAAATATTTCCTTCTCTGAGTTGATTTATTTTGATTACTGTCTCGTTTGTTAGCCATTCCTTACTTAGAAAGATATTCACATTTGGTAGTGTATTTTGTATGACTCTATGATGTCTCTTTTAAAAAGATTCCAAACAGCATTTACATTTCTATTTTCGGTCGTATTTAAAAACATGTCTCTTTTCCTGGTTAACGCTTGGTCTAGTATTTGTAGATTTTCGTGTGATTGTGCCTTTATTTGTTTTCTTGGAAGTATGGGTTTAAGAGAGTTTACTCTGTAGCCTGGTGTATTTGGGCTATTTTTGTGATGATATTTCCATATATTTTTTACAAACATCTTTGCGACTACCAATCTATGATCTGATAATTTGATGTTCGTGGACACTTTAACATCCTCGAACCATTCATGGATATTTGATATGAAAAAATCTATTTGAGATTTTTGATTTGCTCTCACGAAAGTAAGCGTGTTCATCTCGTTATGGTTGAAAAAGGTGTTCTCTATTTTCAGATTTTTGGTTCTGCAAAAATCAAGTAATCTGATGCTATCCTCCTTATTGATTTGCTGCATGCTCGCACTTCTAATAATATTATTATCATATTCCTCGTTTTTGCCAATTCTCAAAGTTGAGGTCTCCTAAGATTATAATATTATACCTCAAAGGCAAAGAATTTATTAGAGTAATTATTTCGTTTATGTAGTCGAGTCACTTTTTCCTCTTTGGTGGGGCATACAAATTTACTAAAATTGTGGGTCTGAATTTTGTATTAAGATACAGGAGACCACATCTTTCTGATATAGGTACAAATTTAATTATTGATTTTTGTATTCGTCTGCTTGCTAGGAAAGCTATTCCTGACCAGCTATTAAGGGTGATACCAGAACAAAACAACTTATATTCATTAAAGTCAGCCGTAGTATTTCCTGGACTATGAGTCTCCTGAATGCCAATGATGTCTAATTTCATGGACGCAAAATCTCTTAGTTAACTAATTTATTATTCAAACCTAATATTAAGGGACCCAATAAGTAATTTACCGTACACTGTGTTCTCCATATCAGTTAACGCTTAAAACTCAGTTTCAGTATATTTCGGTTTACACTAAGGTGAGAGTTGGTAAAACAAAGAACATGATTAACGTGATTGTAGTAAAATTAAAAATTGAAAATAATTGGAAAATTGAAAAATAATTGGAAAAATAATAAGAGTGTTATATTGAGCTTGTGTTTTATAAAGTAGGACTAAAATAATAATATAGGAGAAAAGGTGGGTGGGATTTCTTTATTTCTATATATTTTTGTAATATAGTTAATAATAAAACATGTTTAAAAGAAAAGATTTTTTTTTCCATCCAACTGAGACTATAGGATTCAAGGGAAAACAAAACCAAAAGTTAACGTTAGGCATATTTATCTCAAAAGTTAACGTTAGGCATATTTATCTTAATTATGTTACCATTTTTTATTGCCAAATAGTTGGAGTTTTTATAATAGATCCCAAAAAGATAAAATTTAGAGAATAAATTTAGTACCGTCTAATAATGAAAAGATATCCAAAAATTCATTTTTTATTGCCAAAAACAAATGAAGATATAACCTTTCATAATAGTTAAAGTTTTTATAATAAGAGAAACTTCCCAAAAAGATAAAATTTAGTACTGTCAAATAATATTAAAAGATACCCAAAAATTTATTAAACTAATGTTAGAAACTGGTTTGAGACCAAAGTTAGTACCGTCAAATAATATTAAAAGATATCCAAAAATTTATCAAACTAATTTTAGAAAAAATATAACAATGATAGGTTTACCTCTGTAACGGTGTACTGGTTTGAAACCAAAGGTGTATTGACGCAATTTGGAAATTATAAGAACAGAATCAAATAATAATATAATAAACAAAGAAGGTGATGAACACTTAAAAATTGCCTTTTGAATTTAAATTTACAAGAAAAATTTGTTTTTAAGGTTTATAATTAAATGACAACACTATTTATTATTTTTTATAAAAAAGATATAAGGTTAATATTGCAGCTGTTAAAAATGGAAATTTAGAAAAATGTAAATCATATTTATAGTATCAAAAGGATATATTGTATATAAAAAAATGGCTTTACACTGAACTTTTTCACTTTTTAATTTTTAAGATCTTAAATAAAAATATAGTGCATTTTGACGATATTGTGTTTTTGTTTTATTAAAAAGAGAAAAATTAATTTTACGTTTTTTTCTTAATTTTATCAATAATATTAGCGTCTTGTTTTCTTTTTAATTAGTTAAGATAATTAAAAAGAGGTTGATTTTATTTTTTAATGGTAATCGTACCTCTGCAGGTCGGATATATTAAAAAATTTTGACTATGAATTCTTATATATAATTATACTAGTAGAAAGCCCGTCAAAAATGACGGGGAATGACATTTTTATTCATTTTTTATGATAGATGTCATGCCAGGTTCAAGCTCACAATATTAGGAAGCATCCAAGATCTTATAATTTTAAAAAAGTTTATCAAGCCCAGCTCAACCCTTAATAATTTGTAAAAGATATTCCCAAGTCAGGTGCAAGCTAATATTAATTTTGAGGTTCCAAGCCCAGTCCTACCCATTATAATTTTGAAAATTATTTCCCGCCTCGGAGATAGTTAAATTTTTAATATCATCACATGGACGGGAAATATCTGATTTACCAATTAGTCTAATATGAAAAAAAAATATGTAAATTCCGTATTAAGGGAAACTGGGAAGGTCTGGGTAACCACTTATTAGAGAATCATGACAAATAAAATAAAAATAACCGACTCTTATACTTTTTTGTAATATGATCAATTAAAATTATATCTAAAAAATATGTTGTTTATTATATAGGGTTATTGTTGTTTTTCAGATAAATTTAATGTATGTCATGCATTTCTGAAATTATTTGTCAAAGAATTTGATAAGGGATACATATTTATTTATGTTAAGTAAAAAAAATTCTGTCTATTTAAATTACAAAAATGCCATTAAACGCTAATGAAACTTATATGCAAATTATTTATATATTTTTTAAGATATTTTTTTTTATTGACATATAAATTTCAATGACATAGTCATTGATAAATTTAGGATAATTTTTTTAAAAAATAATAAGGATTATATATTATGTATTTGATAAAATTAAGAGCAAATCCTTGTTGACATTTTAATTTTTGATGGAAAAAGCGACAAAATAAATCTGGGCGGTCGTTTGGAGAGGAAATAATTAATGTATAATTTTATATCATTTAGGGTTGTAGATGAAAGTGATGACGGATTAACAAAGCAGTGTACAAAACACATTACGTCCTGATAAAGATGATATGCCTATGCCTTGGGATACTGGTAAAAGTAGAACGCAAAATGATATTGTCAAAGTCAGCATTTTTATCCCCTTCTAAAATAGAATCATGAACAACAATGTTAACTCAACCATAAAATGGTCGTAAGTATTGTTTTAAAGGCCACGACAGAACTACTGCATATTTTTCCATTAATAAAGTTGATGAATTGGCCGTACTGTACATTCAAGTTTGAACATTCCTCTAAATATTCATAAAAGTTTCTCAGAGAATCGAATAAAGTAATATTTATATTAACTCCCAGTGAAGTGAATGATAGTACAGAATTAAATGTATATATTTGTTAAAAAATAGGCGGAGGCATAGGGATTGTGGTAGTGGTGATAGTATAATTTAGAGAACTGGGTTAAAATAAAATAAACATAGATATAAAACATAAGATAAAAAAAAAATAAACCTCCAGATCAGTTCATTTCAACGTAGTTCTTTATTATTTTGTCTACCAGTAACTCTAGAACGGGTAAGGTGTTTGTTTATTGTTTTCTTTGCTCATCTTTAATAATAGATTCATCATGTTTTGTAGCAATGTGAGGGATTAGGGTTAGCCTAGAGAAATAAAGAAATCAGGTAAAAATATAAATAAACTATTGTTGAAATTAAACAAACATTAAAATAATGTAAAACCGGTAGATGGGCCAATATTAGATGCATATTTCTAGTAGTTGGAGGGCTATCATCAAAAAATTTTTTTGGGGGACTTATCAAGCCTATTATGATATTCTAAAAGTTAAAAAATAACATGATAAATGTAATGTTATTAAGATTATGGTTAATTAATTGTAAGGTAATTAAAAAAAAAGATAAAAAAGGAGGGGAAAAAAGAAGGTATAAATTATTATATTATGAAAATAATAAAAATTAAATTAAAGGAATTGATAAGGTTTTGAGAATAGTGGTTAATAGATAATAGAGATAGAAAGAAATGAATGAGATAATAAAATTTAGTGATAAATAAATTCATTAAGGGAGGGGAAAAAATAAAGAAAGAGTTATTTATAAGGATTGGAGATTATAAATAGGTTAGGATAAGAATATTTAAATATACTTGGCTATCTTCTTAATTATTGGTTATGAAAGAAAAATATGAGTATAAAAAATTGTAATGTAAGTACTGACAAAAATTGTGAGTATGTTCAAAATAAATATACAAGCTGAGTATCTTGTAGAGATTTCATTAATGTGTAATTGATTTTATGAGATGGAAATTGATAAGGTAATCTAAAAAATAAAGAAAGGATTAAGTGAAATAAAAAGTTTTATTCATATTTACAAAGTTGAGGGAATATTGTTTTTATCAATTTAAAAGACGATTTTTCAAATCTCTCAATCCATGTTAGGTATGTGTACACCATCAATTCTCGAAATTCCATTCATATGTTTGTATAAAATAAATAAATAAAATCAACAAATAAAAATAAATACGTACCGATGACATGACGTAGTGATGACATGACGTATGACATGACGTCACGATGACGTAATGAAGACATCGGAAAATTATAATATAGATGTATGAAAGAAAGAAAGAAAGAAAGAAAGAAAGAAAGAAAGAAAGAAATGACGTAGTGATGACATAACGTATCGATGACATGACGTCACGATGACGTAGTGAGGACATCGGAAAATTATAATTAATACATTTTTATTTTTTTATATAAAATCGCCTCGAGAGTCGACTAAGAGCCGACTAAGTTAACAGATTAAATAATCCGACTAAGCGAGCCGATTAAGTAAAGCGACTAAGCGAATCGACTAAGTGAGTCGACTAATGCGGCTCATTTAACTCGAGTAGGAGTAGTTTTTTCACTAGAAATTAACTACACTACTCTGGATATAGCTACAGAGGTCTTAAATACAATCTTTTGATTTATAATGATTATTTTTTAAATATATAGTGTTGTTAAACCATCAGATTGGAGCGATTTTAAATACGGCCAGATTAAGATTTTAGCCAAAGTAATATTATGTAACCTGGAGATCTTGCTGATGTATGGCAGAAAGGTTTGGACCTCCATTTGCCATGTCTTTAAATTAAATAATATTATCTTGGATAAAATCTTGATACCGTTTTTTAATGGACCCTAATCGGGTCGTTTAACAACATTACTAGTAGGGTTAAAAATATCGGAAAAACATAAAGACATACTACTTTATATTAAAATATTTACTAGGTTATGATTAAATATTGTGGACCTGATTAATTTAATTTGGTTAAAAATTATATATTAAAAATAAGCTACAAATTATTAAATTTGAGAATTATAATGTTTAATATATTTTTAAAATTTAATATTTTGTTATTATCAGCTGTCATAAAATGGCGATGTTGAATACTCTTTCCGAAACGGTACTATTAAACAAAATAATTTTATAGTTATTTTATAAAATATTAGGTATCTGATGAGCAGGAGATTAAAACATTGTATGAAAACTTAAATGCATTCTATGATTAAATAACTTTTTCTAGATATATTGGAAATTTGCCCTTGGAGGCCAATGAAACATTATTAGTAGATTTATTTCAAAATTTAGGAGCTGTTGTTAGTTGTAAAATTATAAGAGATGTATATATCTTAAATTATGTTCATAAATATTGCTTAAATAGGGATTATCTGATCCATATTGTTTCATTGAATATGCTGATCAAAATTCAGCAATGAATGCTCGCACTGCTATGGATGGTCGTAATTTATTAGGAAAGGTTATTAGTTTTTATTAACTAAATAATTCTGAAAATACCCTAGAACCTCAAAGTTAATTGGGCATCCTCATCTGGTGTAGTAACTAATAAAGTTGACACAAGCAGTATAATAAATCTTAATATATATCAATCTATAATTTTTATAGAACATTTTCATGTATTTGTTGGGGATTTAAGTCCTGATATATCCACCCAAAGATTAAGGGATTCTTTTAAACAGTTTGGAAATATCTCGTAAGAATGTTGTATTGTTTTTTTTACTCATTTTCAATGTTTCAAAGGGATTGCCGTGTAGTTAAAGATTTACAAACCCTTAAATCAAAGGGTTATGGATTTGTTTCATATATTAATAAACAGGTAAATATATATGTGATTTAATTGTATTACATATCATATAGGATGCTGAGAATGCAATGACAAGTATGAATGGCCAATGGTTAGGAAACAGAGTTATAAGGACAAACTGGGCTACAAGAAAACCCTTTCCATTGCAAATAAATAACAAAAATTCAAATATATATTATTCTAATAGTCAAAATGACGAATCAAATTATAAATCCAATATAAATCAAAATAATTTACATGGATATCAGAGCAGTAACCTTAATAAAAAATCATTATCTTATAATGATGTATTTGCTCGTACAACTCCATCCAACACTACAGTTTATTGTGGCGGTATTCAAAGTGGTTTAACAGGTTTTAATTTTTTTTTAAACATTAAATATTATATAAATAGAACAAATGATAAGGGAAAACTTTCACAAGTTTGGAGATATTATTGATGTCAGAATTTTCAAAGAAAAGGGATATGCATTTATAAAGTTTATATAATATATCAATATAAAAATTATATTTATTTAATTAAGGTTTTTAAAGAAAGAATCAGCTTGTAATGCCATAGTAAGTGTCAATAACACTCAAATATCAGGATTTGGTGTTAAATGCTCCTGGGGTAAAGAAAATATTGATTCAAATCATTTAATAAATAATGAAGATGGTCTCAACAACAACAACTATTATTATAATAACCCTGTTGAAAATGTGGACATGATAAATTTAAATCCTACAGCAAAAATGGGCCTCTTATCACCATTTATATTAGCTTCTCCTCCTTCCATGCCCCTACCTGGTGGAACAAATTATCAATATCAGCAACCTAATTTGATTTTAGGGCTAGTAGGATCCACTAATCAAAATCAAAATATACAGCAAAATTATCAAAATTATGCATTCAATAATGGCAATAATTTTAACAACATGAACAATAGTAAATTTGATAACTTGGTTAACAATAACAGAAATCAGCAACAATTAGCATTGCATCAAAATTTGATAAATCAAGTTACACCTCATCAAAATTTACAGCACCAACAATATATAAATGGTAAAAAATCTTGATTTATTATATCAAAAAACTTTTTTATAGAACATAAGCTTTACATAAAATTAAATTCCAGCTACAATTTTTAAAAATCTTGAATATTTAATCATTTCACTTTTAAAGATTTGATTGATCCCTAATCCTCTGCTTATAAGCTGTTAATTATAAGGAGATGGTCATTATATAGTAATAACATTTAGAGACCACTCTACCTTTTTAAAAATTCTTTTTTCCATTCCCCATAAAAATCTTTTATTGAAAATAACACTATTCTTATGATTTTTGTCAATTGTCTTTTAAAAAATTATATTAATTGATAATAATCCTAATAAATGAATAACAAATTTGCTGATTTGTATTCTTAAACCTTGGGTCAAACCTTGACTTGATTTACAATTTTTTTAATAAACATGTAAAGAGAATTGAGTAAAATAGTGATAGTGATCTCTGTTACTAGTTCAAGTCTTAAAATTTTTTTACAAAATACATCATTTAAAAAATTCCTGTAAATAACTAAAAAAGATATAACCATATATTTGTTTTTCTTATTATAACCATAGATATACCAATAATAGCATTGGTATACCTTTTATTTTCTGCCAATACCAAATTAGCTATTGAATAACTTTATGATGCAATTTTGCATTAAAATATTATATTTTTATTATAAATTTTTAAAATGGTTATTTTATAAACTGACATTTAATTTTTTTTAAAAAAATTGTCTTGCCTATTTGTTCTCTTTCTATGTATTAAATTATTATTAATTACTTTTAAAATTATCTTCTTTATTCTAAAATAGAACATTTATTTGTAGGGCTGTGCCGATCCACATATTTTTTACCGATCCGATCCGATATTGGTTCAAACCCGATCCGATATTTATATTAATTTTTTACCACCCCTCTTTGAACCAAATGTAATTAATAAATCAATATTTTTTATGCATAAAAGAATTATGCATAATTTAATTTTTTTATTTCAACAATAATTTTAAAAAAAATATATAATAATATATCCATTTTATGTTGGTTTATAAAATTGTAATATTTAATATATAAAATTATAATATATTAGATTTTTTTTAATAAATATAAGAGCCTCTAGATTTTCAGGCAATAGGCTTCTACGTCAGAAACCATTTTTAAAATAATTTTTATTTAAAGTATAAATAATAAAATTGGTGTTATTTTTTTAAAAAATTAAAAATAAATAAAACTTTGGGTGTTCCTTTCTATTTTTATAAAAAAACTTGTAAAATCTATTTAAAAAAATAAATAACATTTGCATTGTTTAAAAAAAAATTATTTATAAAATATTATTAATGTAAAATAGAAACTCGAAAAAATTTATTTTTTTTAAAATATTTTAAAAAAATTTTTTTTATTAAAAAATAATAATTCAAAGTTTCATTACTCAAAAGTTTTATAAGAATTGCATTTTTAGTAAAAGGATCGGATCGGATCGAGTTTTTTACAGGTATCGGGCCGATCCGATATTTTTGAAAAACGCCAAATATCGGGACCGATCCGATAATTAATATCGGCACAGCCCTATTTATTTGGCAAATGTTTTTTATTTTATAATGTTATATTTATTATAAATAAAATTATAGTAATTAGTCTCTAAATTAATAACTATTTATTTACCTATCAGAATAAAGTATATAAGCATAAGCACAAATTAAAATCATGTTGGTTATATTGTAAGTTACTTTCTAATCATTTATGGGCATTCCATTACAAATCAACCAGTGTATCAGATGACCATCTCAAAAATGAATGAAAATTGCCATGTTATTTATCTAACTAATTTTAATAAAATTTTTATAGTGCTAGCTCAATCAGATCTAAAAATATGCCTTCAAAGTCGAAAATCATGCAATGCGTGATTTCATTAAATCTTGTTTTTTAAAAAAAAATATTTAAGATAGAGTTACAAATTATATATCATTTTATAGCCTTAAAATTCTTAATTGGAAAATATTTTTTAAAAAATTAAAAATTCCAAGTGTTTTCTTATTTTTGGTAAAAATACAAAATTAACATTGCTGAGAATGGATTTTTTTGGATGTTGATATTTGTTAGAAATATTTATTACTTTCATATGTAACTGTATAATCAATTAAAAATTTTGATAGCCATTTTTGTTTATTTAAATTTTTATTATTTTTATAAATAAAAATTTATCATATAGATGGCGCTATATTTAAAATTCATTTTAATATAATATATTTAATAAAAATATGTATTGTATTTGTATTAAAATAAAAAAATCCGTTAAGGGTAACCAATATGATATCTTGGGGCGATATGTAAATACATAGTCCATACAGATACGATTATTAGGATGATATATTGTAAAATAAACATATTTTAAAATTTTATATACAAACCATTATATAAAAAAATACAGCTTATTTTATGGTATTTCATTTTATGCTTACTGTCGCGATAATTTATATGTCCTGTTGCCGTTATAGGATCTACTATCGTTATTTGTGCAGATTTGATGGAAAATATTTTTATATTTTTTAAATTTGATAAAATTATTTCAGTTGCAAAAAATTGTTACAATAATATATTTATATACTCTTATCAATTTTTACAAGTTAAATTATTTTATTTACAAACGTAAAAAAAATATGGAAATGTTTTCATTAAATCAGCACAACAATATATTTGATTAATGAGCAGCCATCTCTTTTCCTTAATCGTAGGGTAAAAGAAGGATGGTGATGGTCCAAATATATATCCCTCAGTAATTTTATTCTTTTTTATTACTAACTACCAAAAATCGTCATAATGATAGGTCTTTTATTTAGCACAAAGGTATCCATCAGCTTTTTTTTTCTAAACATGTGTTTAAGATAATTTTTGGTGGTTTATGACGGGTGGTTGACTATATTATTAAGAAAGAATGAAATTACCGAGGAGAAATATATCTTTTTTACATCCATTGCATCCTTTTACCCCGCAAGTGATATCGAATAATTAAAATAGTAGATCCAAATCAACGACAGGATATACCTACAAATTATGACCTAAATAAATTCTATTAATAAGCGCAAAATGGAATACAATAAAGATAAAAGATATTTTTTATAATAGTTTGTAAATAAATAACGTCCTAATAATAATAATCTCATCTGTGTGAGCTACTTGCTTGCATATAGCTCCAGGACATCACATTGGTTGCACCCATTGGATTTTTTTTGTTTTAATACAAATGCAATGCATTTTTTTATTAAATATATTATATTATAGTTATTTTTAATATAACGCCATCTATATCATATATTTTTATTATAAAAATATAAAAAAATTTAAATAAAATAAAAAATGGCTATCAATTAGACAGTTAAATATGAGGTAATAAACATTTCTAGAGAATTTCATCACCCCTCAAAAATTCCATATTAACTATGTTAATATCAGAGACCTGCCGAGGTACCATTTGCACGGCCCAATACAGCCTGAATTTTTTTCGCCCTTGCCCGGCCCGGGATTTATATTTTCAGGCCCGGCCAGGCTCTTTTTAAATATATTATGTTTATTTATGATTTCTATAGCTAATAATGACGATATCAAATATTTGGTTTTGAAATATAAGGCCAGCCTGGGTGTGATATGACAAAAATGAAAATTATTGATGAATAGTTTAAAAAATGATATTTTCTTTTATGAACTATTTAGTAATTTCTAACTTGAGATATAAAATGGTTTTGATATGGAAATAAGAAATATGAAATATTAATGAATATGATATATTATTATGATAAAATAGCCATTTTTGTTTTATAATAATATTCTAGGCATGGCTCAGGTTTTTAGGATTATTTTAAAAAGAAATTAGACATGGCATAGACTCCTGGACTGGGCTTGCAGGTCTAATATTTATTTTAAAAAAACACATCACTTTTAAATTGAGAATATACAAATTATGATGGCCTCTAAAATAGTTTCATTTTGGTGGCCCAGAGGCAAATTCCTGCTTCCCCACTTGTAAGGGCCTGATGTAATATTGGGCCTGAAAAAAATTATCACAGCATGATATTAATTTTTCTAAAAAATTGGACTTAATTTTTATTTGATTTAACAAGAAACTATTTTTAAATTTTTGTGCTAGTTTTTCTCCAAAGCTTTCCTAGACTAAAAAGTCTATAGGTAAACTAGATGTGAATGAGACATTATATTTAATTAACAGTATAATTATATATTTGGGAAATTATCATATAAAAATAATGAATGAGAGATATATTTAAGTATTTACATTATTTAAAAAAATAACTACTTTGTCGTTACATTCCAAATGATGTATGTAACTAGTTACCCTTACATTATTTTGAAAGTAACCAGTTATTGTTTTTCTGCCCAAATGTAACAAGTAACTTCAAAAACATTAGATTTTACCAATTATATTCTTTTTAAGTTGAGTTAAATCAAGTATGACCTTAATATAATATATTTTATTGAATTATAATAAATTAGTGACTTTTTTAAACATAATGAAAAATAACATCAATCAGCATGTTTAAATTCACTGAAATACTTTATTATTATATATATTTAATTTATGTTTCCCATACCAAAGATAACACTTTATCCAATCAATATCAACTGCAATACGCTTATAATAACGCCAATACTTCACACTCTTCATCACTTTTGCAGAGCAAGGAAATATCGGTCAATAAAGTTAACTACAACAACGGTAAACCTGTTAATCCATCTAACACTAACAACAATCTTGTCATGGCTATGCTCTCTTCCTCTCAATTCGCTTCACTTCCCAAAACTAACAACCATATGAATATGGGCAACAATCAAAACAACAATTTGATGAACATTAACGAGGCTCAAATGCGTAATAATATGATGCAAACACCTACTAATTCATTGACATCCCCAAATCCTAATAATAGCAACTTAAATTATCCCATTGTGAATGCAAACACAGTGGTTGCTTCAAATCAAATGGTTAATTTTTCTTCTAATTTATTGGAGAGTTATATAAATTGTTCAACTTATTTATTCATTTATAATTCAATCAGGAAAGGAAGAAGGGGAAATATAATATATTTTGGGCAGGCCAATTATTTCCTCCCAAATTTCTATGATTTTGGCTTTCACACCTTTTTGCGCACGGTCTTTGCCTGCCAAACTTTATCATATATATATATATATATATTGTTTTTTAATAGATCGATTTAAAAAAAACATTTTGCAAAACTTATGTCCTAAGTATTAAGATTCCTCCAAAGATGGCAGAAAGGACTGGCTCTTTTTTGGCTAAATATCAAGGCGTAGTAATTGTTTGACGAAAATAATTATCGCCATTTTTTAAATTGGCTTAATCGAGGTTTCTAGGATTAAGGTCCGGTTAATTATCAAACCATCTTTTGATTTACCCCTTCTTAAATTAAGATAACTTATTATCTAACAAATATTGGTATTATAAGCATTTACAATATTTGTTACTAAACACAATCCACTTAATCTTTTGTTTTTATGATTTACAAGATATGTGCTGAAATAATTTTCAAATAGTATATATATTTTTTAAATAGTCTAATTACCCTTATGGCATTGGTTATCCACAATATTGGTACAATACTGCTATGCCTGCTCAATATTTATCACATCAGGATATTACTCATCAAGGGTAAATTTTTATAATTAATTTTAAAATTTTTTGATTAATCATATTTTTCTAATTAAACAAACATATAGTTGGTCTCCTATATCAGCCATTCCACAGCCTAATAATTATATAAATCCTTGTCCTACACCTTTGTCTAATATTATGGCGCCAGTGTCTACATTTTCATGATCGATATAAGGATTCACTCAACATGATTATGCATACAAAATTTACTACAAATCCAGTCAGCCTTTATTACTTTGAAATTAAAATTTGTTATGAAAGTCGCATTGACGAGATTTTATTTTATTCCGTCTAATTTTTTAATATATATACTATATTAATTAACTTGTAATATATTATACATATATGGAATATGATTTGCGATTTTTGTAATAAACAATATACTGAAGAACCCGGTATTGCATGCAATATCAAAAGATAATATAAAGTGTAGTGTTGTTAAAAGTAACAAGTTACATTTAAAAAAGGAAACTAGTTAGTTATATTTCAAAAGTAATTAGTTACATTGGAAGTTACTTTATAAATTATTTATATTTTTTATTATTTTATGATTTACAAATTAAAATTAAAATGCAATTTAAATAAAGAAATAATTGTACTGAAAAGATATATTTCATTATTGATTTTCTTCTCAATAAATTAACTTCCCTAGATTAAACAAACGTTTAATGTCTATATACGTAAAAGCCAGTCCTACTGGTCACGGTTTATTGATAACTGAAATATCTTGTGGCTCAGGATGTGAAGTCAGCAGCTTTGAATATTTTGGATTATTTTTTTTTGTGCCTACAATATTTAGATCTCTTTACCAGACAATGGAGAGGATGTTTAGCATTATAATCAACTAATACCATTCACCTTTGACAGTTGTAAGAGATATGTTTAAGCTTAATATGATAGCCATAACATACTGAATTTCTCACCATTCTTTGCCTGATTTTTACATTACATATGACGAAGGTTGGTATATTCTGTGTCATTGCTCGGAAATAGACAATCTATGGTTAGTTACACGACAGCATCCCAATCAGTTTTCTAAATGAGAGAGATGATAAATTGCGCCAATGCATGTGTTAGCAGACCAGCTTGACAAATTAATTAATTTAACAAAGAGATTTTTGTTTTTTAGTAAAAATGAAATAAAAAACTATTGACAGGCACAGGGATAATGGTGGGTAAGCCAAATCGACCAGATTTTGTTGGAAGGGCTGTTTCTTAGATTGACTATATTCTCAAGTATCAATTTAAATTTATCCAAAAGGAAATAAAAAAGCACCTGCTAAAACAGAAGTGGAAGGCAATTGTTTGAGAATATTTTCTTGAAATTAGCCCATTTATTTTTAAACTTAACTTCTACTTCAAGTGCATGTATTTAATGTCAGATGCTCCCTATATTGAAACTGACACTTTTCCTAATTTTTAATTACATATTTTTATACGAAGCATTATCATTATTCATATCCGTTTGTCTATTTAAAAAAAATGTCTCAATTTTTTATATCCGAATTTATTCATATGTAACTAATTACAAATTCATGTGATTATATATTTTAGAGGATAGCGAAGCTATTCATAGTGAGTTATAAATTTTTCAAACAATTATACGTCTAATAGACGAGGAAAATATAAATCAAATGATTTTTTTTACAAATCGCTCCAAATTATCTATTTTATGGAAAGTCCATTTTGTCGGCCAGCGTAGAGGCTATATAAGAAAATTCTTGTCACTCAATTAGCTAATTTGATCCACCATAGATCGAATACATTTTAAACAATATTTACTAAAGAAACCCCATTTCGAATTAAAGGTATCAACATTAATTAAAATTTTTTTTTTTTCATACTAATATATAATGTATAAAAAATTATATTATTCACATGTAGCTTATATGTGGCATACCTCATGTTGGTCTAAATAAAAAAAAATTTTAAATTTTTTCAGAAAGATAACCAAAGTTGTTTTGTAAAGGGTTAGATTAATTAGATTTTGTTCTAAAATGCTTGAATGTCTAGTCATCCTATAGGTAACCTGACATAAGTAAGTTGCAATAAATATTCCTTAAATTTATGTTGATCACCAAAATATAACTTATAGATTTTCTAAATTTATAAATATTATTTGTAGTATATTATTAGAAAAAATGTAAATTAAATTTATACTACTTAATATATTTAATAGTGTTGGTAAACGGCTCGATTTGGTCTATTTTTAAAAACGGTGGATTGAATATTTTGTGCAGAAAAATATTACCCATGGAGATTTTATTCAGGTGGAAAAGTTTAGATATCAGCGAAATCTCGAGGCTTTGGCACCGTTTAGCCAAATTAATATTTAAGCTTATGATCCTAACAGCTTCTAGGAGATTTATTGAAGAATCTTATCATTAAATAAATAAAATAAGTAGTTTAATAAAATAAAATTAGCTTTAAATTATCAAAAATAGAAATCTTGTATATATATGAAAATATTAAGAATAAAATAATAGATTCATTTGTAAATGTAATGTCTAAATAGTAAATACTAAATATCATTTTTTTCGGGGGAATGATATATATATAGAGAGCAATTTATACAAAAAAATAATATAAATTACAACAGAATTTTTTGATACTAAACTAAATCACATTAGATATAAAATTTTATTTAAAAATAATTTAACCTAAATCACTATATTTTACAATTTATTAAACGTTCTTTTCTTTCTTTCTCCAATTTTTTTGTGTAATTCCAATCTTCAAAGGAAACATCTTGACATTTGCACAGTGAATGGTACCTAAATAATGGTATAAATAAATATTTCTATGAGTATTAAAAATTTAAATAACCTATAGAAATAAAAATTTAAATACAATATTTTTGCAATATCAGTTTAATTATAAAATAAATTTTACCTGGCCAAAGTTAAAATTCGGTGCATGTCATCGACGGACATATCTTTAACGTTATTTTTTCGAATATCAACAAAATCAGCCACAATTTGCTAAGTTTAAAAAAAAATTATATTATAAGTAAGGATTAGCCATTATCATGTTTTATTTAAATAAGAGTCAGCTTCTACAGACTTGCAATTCAAAGTTCAGTTTGTGCTGAACCTTTGGATATTCTGCATATTTTTCTGGCCGAACCCTAAAAAAAATTAAATGAATATATTTTTTTAAAAAATCAGATTCATTATAATTATTTTTCCAGATTTAATATATTTAAAAAATATTTATTTGGGTCGGAGTAGATATAATAAAGTTTGGCCGGGTCAACATTTTTTATGACTTATGACCATAATGGGCCAGAAAAAAACAGATTTTATTAAGATTTAGTGCAATATCATGTGAGGTCATTAAATGATCAGATAGGATTTCATTATTTGTTGAGTCAATCGGATTGGGTTTTTATAAATAAATCCTTCAAATTAGAACGTTTTTTTATCCGATAAATGCATAATGCCACATTATATTACGAATTTATTTGCAGAATAAATATGCATCAGTCGCTAGATTTTAAAAAATATTTATAATGATTAAAAATAAACTTTTCACTTTTATCTTAAATTAAAGGAAAAAAAATATATTCAATTTTAAATCCAATATACCGAATAACATAGAAATAAATATAACATTTTCAAATTTTTATGAATTATTTGTAAAAAAAATAATTAGAAATATACACCTGGAAGTTTCTAGAATCATTTTTAAAAATAGTCCTTACAAAGAAAACAATACAAGTGATAAAAATTATAAATGTAAGCCAAGAGAACGATGATACAAGTGAAAACGGTATTTATATTTATTACATATAAATAAATATTTATTCTTTAATAATATTTTTACCTTCTCTATCGCTAAAAATAAGAAAATCCCTTTAAGGCCATTTCCAGACAGAAGGTTTTTTCAAAGCGGTTTTTGGGTAATGCTACCAGGAATTTTTTTTATTTCCAAACAAAGGATACTTACTTGTTTAATTAATTTTTTTATATAATATAATATTTAAAAATAACAATAGAGGTCATTTAATCGTTATTAAAATCAAACCAGTTCGTTTTCTATATACGATTAAAAAAAAGGTATCCATTGTTTTTTTACATATATGATTCGATAAGTTAGTTATTTTTTTTTGGAAAGCTGATAACATTACCCAAAAACCACTTTGAAAAAAACGTTCTGCCTGGAAATGGTCTAAGGTTAGTTTGTGATGATAAATATTTATAAAAATCTTACGTTTTTAACTTCCTCACTTAGTAATCCATATTTAGCATTGATATCGTCATGAGCTGTTAAAGTATTGATAAATCTTACAAAATGGGTGATATTGGCAAAATTCTCCAGATCAAATTTTTCAATTAATCGATTTTTAATAAAATCCTGGCTAGACGAATTTATTGTGCCACTCCCTTTGAAAAATTCTGAAAGTTCAAAAGGTTGCAGAGGTAAGATATAGGTGTCCGGCTTGAATGAAATATAATTTTTATAAAAGAAAATAATTTTTTTTTATCAAATTGAAATATTAAAGTCAGGAGTATTATTGAGAGCTGTAAACTTTGATTTCAAAAGAATTAAATTGATAATCTTTGTCAAATTGTTTGGATTTTTACATCAAAATCTTGAAAGGGAAATTATATCCGACAAAGAAGCCAATGTTTATACAGCTTAAATATATGGTGATATTATTTAAATTTTTTTTAACTAAAAACAATTTATTTTATATAATAAGCAAACAAATTTTTACAAATATGTATGTGAATAAATATATAGATCCGGAGGGTCGGATCTTTCGATATATATGTTAAGTTCAGGTTCCAGGAAGAAAAAATTAGAAAGGTTTAAGTCGGTAAGTTCGAACCTTTAATGAAGATTCGATAATAATTATTTTTAGAAGGTACACATATATATTCTATGATAAATAATTTAAATTTATAATAAATAGTAGAAATAAAACACAGATTAAAGTTAATTAAAATTTTATTTTCAATTTTTAATTATATATTAAGTTATGATTACGACTAGTGTTGCTAAACGGCTCGATTTAAGCCGATTTTAAAAAACGGCTAACTACATATTTTACCCATATCTTGAGATTTCACTAATGGATGTCCAAACTTTTGTGCCATCTATGAGCAAAATATTCAGGCTTGCGTAATATTTTTCTGAATAATATATTGAGTTAGCCGTTTTTAAAAATCGGCTCAAATCGAGCCATTTTACAACACTAATTATGAATTAGCTTTACTAGGGGGTGCATGAAGGGGCTCGAGCCCTCTCAAGAATTTGAATAGCCACGTCAGTGATTTTTTTAATGGTTCCCTAATAGGCCCTGAACGAAATAAAAAATTATTATAAACCCTCAAACGATTTTTATAAAGAATCTTATTATGTATTATATATAGATTTGATATTATTTTTAAAAAACTAATAAGACTATATAAATTTTTATTAAATGGGTGCTATTTTAATTATTAGATTTAATAGTATAAATTATATTTTCTTGTTAACAATTGCAATCAAATTCAGTATTAAAAATGGAATATCAATATCACTCATAGTTATAATAATTTTCTATTAAATCTAGTGTTTAAAGTAAAAACAATAAACGTTATATTGATTGGTATGTAGATAAATAAAAAAATATTAATTTGAAAGGAAATCACGAATTTAAAAATTGTCCCCAGGCAAAATTAAAATTTTAAATTTAGGTTAATAATTTAAAATTAATTATTTTTTAAAACCGTTATGAACCGGTTTAAAATATTTATAAACAGTTCAGTTCGCTCTTTTTATATTTTTTATAACGGTTCGGTTACGGTTCAGAAAATTATAACCGTTCATTCCGATTTGACGGTTCGGTTTGAAAAATCCTGTTAAAAACCTTTCCTAATATGCTAATTCCTCGTTCAGAAGAAGCATTGGTTGCTGAAATTGCCAATATTCTTCTAATCTTGATAGGTTTTCTAAATCTTTTTCTTGTCGTTCCCATCAAAGTTTATCCGTGTATATCCTCTACTCAAGTGAGATATTTAAATAAAAAGTGAAACCATTAATAATAAATAAAAAAAGTCATTTAAATTAATTGTTTAGAATTGTAAACTTAAACTAAACTCTTTATTACACAAAACTCGTTATTTTTAGATTTAAATATTTTGTTGTCATTAGGTAATGCCTCTTCTGTAAAAGTCATATCTTCCCATTTATTGTAGTTTAATTTTGAATATTTCAAACATTGCATTTATAATAATCTTTAATTGAATTCTCTTTGCTTTTAGGGAAACAGGAAAAACTAGCGTTTCATCTAAGCTAATATAATTCCGTGCATTCATATCCAACACGTTTTCGATATATTTTTTACATAATTAATTTCTTCCGACTACAACATCCTTAATTATCTGTACTTTGGTATTAAAAATGTTGAAATTTCAGGGAGCATATTCTTTTTAATGTTTACTTAAATGATTTTAAATAACAAATAAAAGTTGTAAATTTTTTAACCAGTCTACCCACCCATAGTTTAAATATTTTTCTTATACCGCCCACTCACCGGCAGGATCTTTATAATTTTTTAATTCGCTCGCCCACCTACATAGATTAGCGGGTGTGGACGGGCTAAAAACACGCACAATGCAACCCTCTAATTAAAACATGGTGGAATATATTTCCGGTAAAATCAGATTTTTAAATTTAAAAAAACGCGCTAAAAATTTAAAGATAAAAAATAACAAAATGCCGCTAACATATATAGTAAAATAATTATAAGTTTTAAACGAATTGTCATAATTATTTAAAAAATCATGATTTATATTCATTTTATTATATCACGCACGTCAACTCTAGCGGTTGCGTTTTGGTCGCCATAGAGAAGTAGTCAATATATAGAGCATTCTGATACCCATTTTTAATAAGATTTGGCAGCAAGGGAACCACTTAAAGAGTAACAAATATGTTCACGTCAATTATAATAACCAGAGTTGTTAAAAGATACTTTTTAAATGGATCTAGATACAGATACAACGTCTAAAATAATATCTAGATACAGATTATTTAATCAAAAATCTATCTAGATACAGACACCACATTTTTATATCCAGATACAGGATCTAGATACTTGTATCTAGATCCTTTAACAACTCTGATAATAACAATATAGCGTACATTGATTATTGAAGGTCCTCCCTTGGATATAAGCAATATTTTAAAATAAGTGTCCATGTGCAACGAATAGTATTTAAAATCGTATTCCAATTTTTGATTTCTGGCCAGTTGAGAAAGTACATTAAAATTTTTTTGTCCTAAAAAATGAGAAATTGAAATAAAATATATTTATATATAAATTAAAAATAGAGCAAAATTTATATAGGCCTTAAAACGAATTAAGCATATGAAAATAAGACATCGAATAACTGGAATAATTGCATTAATCGAATATTCAAATGGAAAAATTAAATTTTCAAAAAAATTGATCGATGTGACATATAAAGACAAATTCAAGGATTCTAATTTCTTAGCGTTGTAAAATTAATTTAACCCTATCGAATAATTATTTTATTGATATTCGCACAATACGAATCGAATATCAATAACTCGTTCATAGGCCTAAAACTAACCACTTTTTTTGTAATATAAATAAAGATAAAAACATTACCGATTGTAGTAGATGGCACATTTCTATTTTCGGTATTTAAATTGGTTTCGTTTATGGTTAAAAATGTATAATGAGGTAATTGCAAGGGCGAATAATGCAAAGTACTCTGAAATAGGCTGCAATATTGGTCATCCTTAGATTCTTCTAATTGCTTGTCAATTTTATTATCGATATTTATTGTATCATCATTGTAAATCTTATAAGGGTACAGAGGTTTTTCGTATATTCTAGAATTAAGATTCAATTGGGAGGAAATAGGTGATAAGCATTTGATTAGATTAATTAGACCATCGTTAAAAGATGCTATAATCGGAGTTTCCGTAGCGTCTACGTGCATAATATTGGCGCAAAAATAACGGGTCAGTAGATTTTCCATTCTATTTGATTGGGTAATAGTGGGTTCTTTGACAAGTAGGAGAAAAGCTAGGTAATTGGATGTCATGATATCTTTAGAATCGAAGAGTGTTTCGTTGATCATAGAGATCAATAATTCATAATGATTTTTAATGTTGGTCTTTATATTCATTATATCTTTATTAATTAAACAAAACAAAAATAATGAGTAATTACATAAAATCTTATAATTAATATCGAAGAAAAAATAAAAATTCTATAAATTTAATTGCGAAAAGTTTAAAAATAAATAATTATAATTAAAGATGCTATATAAAATATAATTATATCTTATCAAAATTATCTCGATAAAAGTACTTTCAGTTGTAAAAGGTGACAAGTGGGAATATTCCTTTGAAAAATAAGTTTTTTCAAAATGTATCACATGAACTGTACAATTTGTAGTCAACTTAGATGTCACATTTTCAAAAGTCATTTCATCACTAAATAATTATTTTTTAAAAAAAATATCAATTTAGTAAAAATTTTAATAAAATAGTAATATAACATCTATCCTTTTTAAGGGATGATCTATTTTTGCTATTACTTATTATAAAGAGATATAAGAGGAGGCTCGCTGTCCCTTGAAAATTTTCTAGTGGACTTTTATGGCTTGGACGATTATTCTTTAAAACCTGTAACGGCCTGGAATAAATATTTTATACAATTTATCCAGCCCCGTCCTAATAATTTTTTTCATAAAGGATAACAAAAATTTGCCTAAATTATTAGCTTTAAAAAGATTAAAAACTTTGGCTCAACCCGCAAAAATATCTTACCAATGCCAAGACGACTTCTAATATATACTATCCTATCGACCACACGATTTTTTTATATTCATTTTTATATTTCAATAAAACTACTTAATTTCAAAAAAATATTCTTATTTGTTTAAATTCTATAGACAGAGGTTTAAAAAAAACTTTAAGCTCTATACTGGCTGGACTTAAATTTTGATACTTAATGCTTTTTAGCCTAAGCTAAATAGCTCTTGAAAGACACCTTAATTTGGTTTGTTTTAAGTATTTGGTATCAATTGTTATTTTAGTATCTCTTTTTTTAAAAAAGGCTATTTATTAAAAAAGTTGATTTCATTATGAAAGATTTTTTATGTGTATAAATAACAAAAGATCTGCTTATAAAAGATTTAAAATTGCATAAATTTCATCATAAAACCTGTTTGAGGCATTTAAATCGCATTTCAAACTCTGATAAAAACTATAATTAATCTAAATAAGATTAAGAAATAGGGTTTTTATATTTTCAAACATAAAATTATAACATTTAATATTTTCTGTCCAAATTTTTTGATTCATAATTTATGTACATTTCTTAAAAAATAATGGAATGTCTATTTTAACCAGGACGATTTTGTATAACTCTTCCGATTCATTCTGGTTATCTTGAAATAAATGTATATCGGTTTGTTCAGATATTTTATAAGTTTCGGATTTTTACAATTAATCATTAATATAATCGACCCAAATAATCTCTTTTAAAAATATTTTAATCAAAACCAAATAAATGGAAGATAATAAGTTGAATTTCTTTATTTTAATAATAAAACATGAATAAGAAAAACAAATTTAGTAAACTGCGTAAAGATAATCACATATCTATTTTTATAAAATTTGAATTAACTAATTAATGAAATATATTTCTATTTAAAAAAAATGGCACTTCAAACCAAATTATTTAAAAATAAATATTATAATGAGCACAAATTAAAAAATAAATGAAATGCATTCCTTATTCAACTGAGGTTGCGTTTTTATTTTAGAATATCGTCAATTCAACTATATTATAAAAAGAAATTGATTTTTGTAAATTATATCATCGTCTGCCTTTTTATTTCATTAATTTCAAAATATTTCATTTTAAAGGATAGGTTTTGTTATATTTTATATAATATAAAATTAAACTAGGAAGAGATTTTTAATGTTCCCACCCTTTCTTATCTGGGTATAGGAGGTTAATCGGCTTTCTTGCAAAAACAATCTAGTTCTTAAAGAATAGGTCGCAGACCAACTTGCAAAATGTATGAATAAAAAAGTATTGGAAAAAAGCAAACTAGTTTACGTTTCTTTAAATGGTTTAAAAGCCAAGCGGTAATTTGACAAATTTGTTATATTATTTAAAATGCATTTTTTTGATGTTACAGTATGTCTCTAGGAATTTTGAATAAACAGGGAATTTGTGATAAAAAAAATGATGAAATTTGTTATTGACAGGGATCCAAACCGAATATCGGTTCGGGTTCAGGTTCGGATAAAAATAACGGTTCAAGGTTCAGGTTCGTAAAAAATCAAAATATCGGTTCGGTTCGAACCTCTAAAAACCGGTTTGAACACTTTTGTATTCAAACCTACATTCGAATTATGTATAGGGAAAATATTTTTTTATTTTATCATTAATTTAAAAAAATACATGTATAAAACCTACCTTTTATTTTAATTGCACATTATAAAATAAAATTTAATTTATAAATATAAAAATAAATATCAATGATTAATTTTAATATGAACAATATTTTACTTTTTTACTTAAATTTTTTTTATTAAGCCACACAATTAATATATTTTCAAAATTCGTCCCACTCAAATTACATCTATAAGGAGATAGCTTATAACATAATCCACACTAACTCTGGTAGCATGCACTTCCAATATGATATCAGATTTGATGTGTGATTTATAATAATATTTTGGATGTTGTTAAATGACAATTTACTAAAGTTTACAAAAATTATTACCGACACTTATCAATCAAACGTGATTCATGATAATCTTTAAAATAATTAGAATATAATTGAAATTTTTTCATTTATACAAATAATAACTTACATATTATTTTATAAGCATAAAATCATGAGTCTCGAACAGGTTCAGAGACATTTTATCGGTTCGGTTCAGGTTCGGCTAGAACTTTTTTAGCAGTTTAGGTTCGGTTCAGGTTCGATAAAAAATACCGGTTTTTATCGGTTTAACGGTTCGGTTTGGATCCCTGGTTATTGAAATATTTTTAAAGTCTACTTTATAATAGTCATGTCAAGAGGAGGATTTTGAATATAATACAATTGCCTTATCCCTTAACATTAAATCCTAATTGATATATATACTTAATAAGTTAAGACCCAACCCTGGTATTGACCCGTGGCAATTATTTTTGCTAATAATCTTCTTAATAGCCCATTGTAATGGGGTAAATACCACCAAAGTGTTTGTGAGATAATCAGGTTTGCCCCCATAATTGATTCGAATCTATGACAGGCCTTTTTAAAAAAGTATTTAGAAAAGTTTTAAAACATTTAAATGATTCTGATGAATGTAGATTTTATATGAAGTGGGAGGGCAAAAACCATAGTGTCTGGATGTGAGAAATTTGTTAAAAGAATTGATAAATATCATAACTCACAAATCATATTTTTTTTATTCCATTATTTTTATAATATATTTAGCCTTTTCTCTAAAAATTTATAGAAATCTTGGATGAATGAATATGGATATTCTATTCCCCTCATTTGACTATTCTGATTCATCCATTGTCAAATGAAAGTAACATTTATTATTTATCAATAAAGAAAAAATTTTGATTCCCCATCATTCTTGATGGGTTATCAGCTAGTTGAGAAATAATTAGATAAATATAAAAATATTGGCCAGAAAATTTGTACAAAAATGGGTCAAAGTGGATTTTTTGTAAAATATTAACTGGATAGGCCAAGCAACCTGTGCAAAAATCACTAAAAGGCCATAATGGGTGGCTTTGCAAATCTCTTATTCACTATAATTATAATAACAACATTCATGATGGTAAATAACTCAAAAGAGAAAAGGGTCACCTATTAGCCCTAAAATTTTAATTAAATTCTTTAATTTATAAAATTATTAATAATTTTTTAAGCAATGCCAAATTAAAAAAAAAGTAGCTTAATTTAAAATTAATTTTTTAAGCAATGCCAAATTTTAAAATGTAGCCTAACTTAAAATTGTCAGAGTAGGTATCATTGGTTCATTTATAAGATAAAATTAACAGGGATATTTAAATAAGTATAAAACCTTTTTCCTTCTAAATTTAATATATTATCCCAACTTAAAATACCATAAACTTTGATAATCTGATTAAGTTTCAGTGAATATATACTATCATTTAGTTTATCATCATAAATTTTTATTAAACAACATTCAAGTTTGTTATTAAGAGTCTCACCTGCTATATATTATATAAAATAAATACATAAGAATATAATTTACCTTTTAAATTATCAGCACATTCAAAATCAACAAATGTATGAATGGGGACAACAATAAAATTATCTACATCTCCTAGCTTATTATTTGGAGAATCTTCATCAATACTAATTTTTGATTCCCTATCAAAAAATATATCTTGATCAATTTTCCTAGAAGTTTTTAGGTGTGCCATGTCCAAATCAATTTTATTTCGATATTTGCCACAGACTAATTTAGTGGAAGGTGGTAATTCAATATTGTCATTTATATTTAATGAATTAAAATTAATGATATCTTGTATATTATTTTTCACTTCACATTTTTCAAAATACAATGAAGGATTCAAAATATCCAAAACCATGCAATAAAATTTAACTAAGCTAAATTGTTTATTTGTCTGTGATTCTACATTTTCCCATTTAAAAATAGGTATCTAAAATAAATTAATTTTAAAATATATAAAGCTAAGGTTAAACTTCTTTTTCTGTTAATGAATTCTGAATAAGACTATTAAATAAATTATTAACTTTATCAGAATAATTGACTGGATCTTTAACTATAGAATAAAAATATGGAAATAATATTGAAATCAAGACTTAATTTATAATAGTAAAAATATTAATCATAAATACCAAATATATCATCTATTATATTTAGTGGCTTATTTAACCAATCAAAAATACCAGGCATTTTAAATTTATGGATAGATTGAATATTAGATGAAATTTGAGTCGGTGAAAAACTGAGAATTAACAGGTAAACTGAGAATGGACAGGTAAACTGAGAATTGACAGGTAAAATTTATTTTTGTTTATAGCCTATCAATTTTATTTTAAAAATATAAATAAAATGTATTTATTATGTAAATCAAATTTATCCAAAATTAATTTTATCTAAATAAATAAAATAGAATATAGAAGAAATTGTAGCCCATAAATTTAAAATATGTATAGAACAGATATGTTACATAGAAAATATAACACCCATAATAAATTTTAAAATTCATAAATATATTTCCATTAGATGAAGTAATAGACTAAAAATTTAGTTTTTAATTAAAAAAAATATGAATTATAGGAACATAATTCTTCACTTTGGATTAATTTATTTGGTACAAAATAATCATAAAATGAAAAAAATTTTAAGTTTCCGTCATTATTTTTTGAGTTATGATGTCAATCCTCAGTTTAGTCAATTTTTTTTTAGATTTTTGGGATTTTAAAATTATTTTATTTTTTTGACTCATTTCGTGTAAACTTACACATATAAACATAAAATGAAAAAAATTTTAAGTTTCAGTCATTATTTTTTGAGTTATGATATCGAAACTCAGTTTAGTCAATTTTTTATAGATTTTTGGGATTTTAAAAATATTATATTTTTTTGACTCATTTTGTGTAAACTTACACATACAAACATAAAATTGGAAAAAAAATTAAATTTCCGTCATTATTTTTTGAGTTATGATGTCAATTTTCAGTTTAGTCAATTTTTTTTAGATTTTTGGGATTTTAAAATATTTTATTTTTTGTCTCATTTTGTGGCACCAACTTATATAAATATAAAATGAAAAAAAAAATTAAGTTTCCGCCTTTATTTTTTGAGTTATGATGTCACATCTCAGATTATTCAATTTTTTTAGATTTTTTAGATTTTAAAAATATTTTATTTTTTATAACTCATTTTGTGTAAACTAACTTATAAAATGAAATAAAGAAAATTTTAAGTTTCCATCACTATTTTTTGAGTTATGATGTCACACACATCTCAGATTAGTCAATTTTTTTTATAAACATAAAATAAAAAAAATTTTAAGTTTCCGTCATTATATTTTGAGTTATAATGTCAATTCTCAGTTTAGTCAATTTTTTTAAGATTTTGGAGATTTTAAAAATATTTAATTTTTTTTGACTCATAAATAAATGCAATAATTTATAGTCGTTATTGAATCAGAAAACTAGTTTACTTCATTTAAAATTTAGGGTAAATTAGGATATAAATGGGTCGTACAATTCTTTTTTTCTTCTGAACTACAAATGTTTTTGTATGAATATGATTCCGGTCAAATGTAATTATTAAATTATTTTAGATTAAACTACTTACATAATTATGTTGCACACCTGTGGTAGATTTTTAAATAATTTTAGTTGTATAAATTAAATATAAAATCGGAAGTGGGACTTCAAACAAATTTTAAAGTATTAAAAAGTTAATAATTTTTATAAAATTAGTAAATATGTAACGGTACTCGATATATTATTGCACTTACATAATATTTTATGAACCATTGTAAAAATGTTGTTTACAGATATGGGAAAAAGTTGAACACCGTCTCTATCTAGAGTATTTCCACTTTCTATGACACCTTCTCCATCTAGAGTAATTTCTCTTTCTAGAACTTCTACATCTTAAGTATTTCCACTTTCTAGAACACCTTCTCCATTTGGAATATTTCCTCTCTCTATAACATCTTCTCCGTCTAGTGTATTTTCACCTAATAATTTTGTATATGGAGAGTTTAAAAATCCAATCGAAGCTCAATCTAAAAATTCTGCCGAATATTTATATATACCAATTTCTCCGTCCAATCAGCCTTCGACATATATAGCATTTTATCCATCTAAAATAGTCTTAGACATTAAAGCTACCTTTATTGAAGAAAGTTCTACAGCAGAGGAAGGTTTTAATAATTTTGGTAAATATTTTAAAACTCATGAATTAATGACTTTATTTTTACATCTTATAAAAGTATTGAATTTAATACCCAATGGTGTAAAAAATAAGAAAGTTTTTGTAATTAATAATGAATTTAATATATTAAAAAATGATGGCAAAAAATCAGTCTTAGAGGGTGATTGTGGAGCCTGGACTGGAAAGACAAGTGGATCGAATCCTTCATTATATAGTTTAAAAATTTTCGATTGTTTTGGTCCGTATATTCATAAAAATAATATATTTTTTAATGAAAAACAAATTTAAAATCATAATATTTTAGAATTACTTGAGCCTCAGCCAAATATTGATAATATGGTAATTCTTCATCGTTACTATAGTGCTTAAGAAATTGTGAAAAATATAAGAGAAGGATTTCTTATTTGTTATAATTCAAAAAATAAAGACGGAAACTTAATTTTTTTATCATTTTATGTTTATATGTGTAAGTTTACACAAAATGAGTCAAAAAAATAAAATATTTTTAAAATCCCAAAAATCTAAAAAAATAGGAGTAAACTGAAAATTGACATCATAACTCAAAAAAAAATGACGGAAACTTAATTTTTTTTTCATTTTATATTTAAATAAGTAGGTTTACACAAAATGAGTCCAAAAAATAAAATATTTTTAAAATCCCAAAAATCTAAAAAAAATAAACTAAGAATTGACATCATAACTCAAAATATAATTATGGAAATTCAAATATTTTTCATTTTGTGTTTATATGAATAAGTTTACAGAAAATGAGTCAAAAAAATATAATATTTTTAAAATCCCAAAAATCTATAAACTGAGAATTTACATCATAACTCAAAAAATAACATGATGTCAATTCTCAGTTTAATCAATTTTTTTTAGAACTTAAATTTTAAAAATAATGACGAAAACTTAAAATTTTTTTCATTTTATGATTATATCAGTTTGTACCAAATAAATTAATCCTAAGTAAAGAATTATGTTCCTATAATTATATTTATTTAAATTAAAAACTAAATTTTTAGTCTATTACGCCAACCAACGGAAATATATTTATGATTTTTAAAATTTATTATGGGTGTTATATTTTTTATGTAATATATTTGTTCTATACATAAATAATTATTTATGGACTACATTTTCTTTCATATTCTATTTTATTAATTTAGATAATTTTTATTTTGGATAAATTTAATTTACATAATAAAAATATTTTATTTATATTTTTAAAATTATATTGGTAAGCCATAAATTAATTTTACCAGTCTATTCATTAGTAATTTACTTGTCAATTCTCAGTTTAGTTACACCCAAGTTGAGTTACATGTGAGACATCTATCATTTATATGAGTATGACAAGTGTGAAGCAGATAATTAGGCTAAATAAAATACAAATCTGTAATATTAGTATTTATTGTTTAAATATAATTAATATATACATATATATAGAGCAGAACATTCTGATTTAATTAATAAATAAGATGTGATAATTTCTCATTTCGGATTACCATGAATAATAGCATTTAATTTAGGAATGTCTCGTCAGGTTATCAATAAACTAGTGCGCAGGTCAACTCTATTTACAAAAAAAATGTTTCACAACATTAGATTCTAGAATTCTAGATTTGCTTAATAAACATCAACAAAGTTTTTAAGATGGGATACATACGTGATTTTGCGGTGCTAATACATTCAAAGGAGAGCGCTGTACCAAGATCGTTTCCAAATCGTATGTTACCATTTCCACTTCGCAAGGCAATTGAAATGGAATTAGAATGAATAGTTGCTGCCGGAATAACATTACAGATTGATTCGACTCTAACCGTAAATGTACTCAAAAGCAATGGCGATATTCGAATTTGTGATTTCGATACGCTCAATCTGTGTTTATTGTATGACCATCATGTTATTCCTACCTTAGACGATTTTTTAGAGAAAATCTAAAATGGTGATAAATTTACCGTGAAAGATCTGAAAGATGCGTATTTACAGATGGAAGTAAAATCGGAATCTCAAAAATAACTAACGTAGTTAATCATAAGAGGTATTTCCGTTACCGAATATTGCTTTTTGGTTTGGAAAGTGCGCCTACTATTTCCAGAGATATATAAATGAGTTACTTAAGATTGCCCAATGACTGGTGTCTACTTAGATGACTTAATTATTTCTGGTAGAAACGATGAGGAGCACATAAAAAATTCGCGAATCGCGTTAGACATCAGACGACTGCTCTTAAGATTAAATTGACGAAATTTAGATTTTTATAAAAATCGGTATCATTTTTAGGAGTGGTTATTGATAAATTCGGTATACATTATAATCCAGAAAAGGAAGGCTATCCGAATTGCACCAAAAACTAAGAATATAAAAGAACTTAGATCTTTTCTAGGATTGGTGAATTTTCATGAACGTTTTATTCGAAATCTATTGAGTAAAGCGGCGCCATAACATATAACGAGCTAGAGGGCTGCATTTGACGGGTTTTTGGACCATAAGCCCGCCCACCCAATATTTAAAAAAAATTTAACCTGCCCACCTAACCTTTAGTCTAAAATTCCTTACCCGTCTCTCGCCCATTAGTCTAAAATTTTTTACCCGTCCACTCATTATTTATAAATTTTTTTTAACTCTAGCTCGCTATTATTAATATGGCCATTCTTTCAATTTTTTAAGTATCCAATAAAAAAAATTCAGCATTACACCTCTACAAAGTTTTATAATTAAGGAAATTACTATATTAAACATTAAATTTAAATTTTGAATAATTTATTTGATCAAATAAGATATTTATGAAAAAAATTTAAATATAAAATTGATATTAATGTAATTATAATGCAAAAATAATAGTGAATCGGCATTTCCTGGATTCAAACACGTTTTTCTTTGTTCTAAAAACCTTCCACCAATGCTAAATCTTCGTTCAGAAAAAGTACTAGTTGCAGGAATTTCCAATATTTTTATTGCTAATGATGATAGCTTTAACTCTTTCTTGTAATTTATCAAAGTAGTTTTAAATATAAAAAAAAGTTTAATTATTTTAAGAAAAAAGTTTTTATGATACCAAAATAATTTACTTAAATGATTTAAAACATTTTTTAACCCGTTCACAGACAGTTTAAAATTTTTTAACTTGCTTGTTTTTAAAAAAATTTCCCACTTAATTGGGCTGGGCCGAAATCTCGCCCAATGCTGACCTCTATAACGAGCATTAATAATCTATTATTGTCCTACGAGGAAGCATATATTCCTTATAATGCTCCGTTGACTATAATTTTGGAATGCGAAGCATCGATTCAGGATTAAGGGTAGTGTTGTTATATCAATTAGTAGATGAAAAAAGAAAGCCTATTTCGATCGTGTTGCGTACTTTATTAGAATCAGAGAAACGCTACTCTCTGATTGATAAAGAAGTTCGAGCACTTTTATTTGGTATTGAAAAATTTTATTCATTTATTTATGGTAGAAAATTTTTACTTCGAATTGATCACAAACCATAAAGCGATTATTTAGGGCGAAACACGATCTACCTAAAATTTCTAAAGCACGTTAGGCCTGGAAGATAGCTTCTTAGGATTTTACAATAGAATAAGACCTAGTAAATATGTAATCGACACATTATCAATGCTGCTATATTTAGACATGGAAGTGAATCAATTAAGCATGCTTTGGAGAATTGAAGTATTAATTTGGATGACATGCAATTGTCAGAAAATATTATACAAAAAGAGTCGAAGCAAGATTTAATATTAAGAAAAATAGTACTGCACATTCAACAAAATTGTAGAATATCGCCATAAAGATAAATAAATTGTTAATTTCTATAATCGACGGGAAAAGCTTTCTATCGATCGCGATATTTAGAATAGAATAGGAGATTGATTATTCCTAATAAATTAAGAAATGCAATGTTCGGAATGATTCATCGAGGACATCATGGAGGAAATGTAATGAAATCTATCTTAGATTGTATTGTTGGTGGCTAAGATAAATATACCTGGAATTCAAGAAGTACCTCAGTTATCTTGGACTGTAGGTAAGGAATCAATTGATTTTGCTGGACCAGTGGATTCACGATATTAGTTTATCGATTCCTATTCCAAATGGCTAGATGATCTAATGCAGAATACCTCTGCTGATGCTATGATTAAAAAAATGGTTTGCTAGGTTTGGAATACCCAAGTACATTATGTCAGTCAATGAAACATAATTCCTCTGGGAATTCCGTCGGCCGTAAATTAAATTACATACGTCCAACACCCTATCATCCGAAAACTGATGACTTAGCTGAGCGTACAATAATAATTTTGAAAGGTCGATATTTCGCAGAGTCAATTTCTGATCCAGAAGAAGCTTTGATACAGGTTTTATTAACATATCGATTGGAGGAGAATAGCTCTACAGGGAGATCTCCTGTCAAGATTATGCTTGGAAGACAATTGAACACTAGTTTAGACTGGATAAGACCAAATGTAGAACATGAAATTGAAAAGGTAAATTAAAGACAAAGTCAAAAGCATGATTTATATTCTATAGGGAGAAAATTCGAGATTTCACTCAGAACACCAAAGGTTGGAGAAAGAGAGTGATTAAAGAAAGGACAGGATTATATTCTTATATTGTTGAAACTCCCGAAAGAACATTGCGAAAACATGCAGATCAGCTAAGAAATCGTTTAATTATTCCGACTCATGAAAGTTCATCCGAAGTTACAGAAATATCTGTGCCAGTAAATGAAGCAGTTAAAAATACTGCATTACGCTGTTCATCAAATCTAACTTAAAAATGTTAGAAGGAAATGTAATAAATTGTATTTATCATTTAAATATAATATATATAAAAAATAGAACATTATAATAAATGATATATTTTATCATGGTAATTTTCTAAATAGATAATAATTAGTTGTTTATTAAAAATCCACTGTGGTGATCACATAAATTAAATAATGTTAATTGTATAGCCCTGAGGTAGATTTATAAACATGAGCTCTATTTCTAGCGGATCTGAAGTTGTACTGGAGTTTATTAAATTGAATTATCTAATCAACCGAATTATTTTATTTGTTTATATCAGATTTCTTAAATAAAAATGCAATATAAACGTAAATGGATTTTATTTAGAAATATAAAATACATACTCAAAAAAAATAGATAAATATTCAATATTTGATTAAAAAATTTGTTCCAAGATTTGTAAATTGTATTTTGTCAACCACAATAAAAAAAATATGTATAATTAAATAAAATATGCAACTATAAACGAAATATAATAAATTCCAAGGAGAAAAATCACAGGTAAATTTTAATTATCAACTTAAATTAAAACATATTTATACAATGTTTTATATGCCCAGTATTCGGTCCGCTCCTTTTGGCGATTTTGTACAAAGATTCGTTTACGGCTTAGAAAATTATAAAGGTTTAATTTTAATAGTTTGGAAACGATAAAATCTACTATTTTGATTTCATCCTAAGCCACCTGTTTTTTTCTTACTTTTTGTTAGCACTATCTAAAATAGATTAAAAGGGTTTACGGCAAATATCCAGTGCACTTAACTCGAATAACAATCAATATTCATCAAGTCTAGTGGATCCTATACATACAGGATCAGTCTGGGTTCGAGTAGAAATATTGGCACAATAATGGAACGTGATGAGACTCCAAGGCGAGTATTATATAATTACATTTAAAAAGAACAGTAACCAAAAGATTAAATTTCTCAGGATAATAATTTGTAATTCTAATGTTTTTTTAAATTACCATAGGTTACTCCTAATAGAAAATTAGTTATACAAAAAAATGACGTTTATAACTTTATAGCAAAATTGTATATATAAAACATTGGGTATTTAAAAATAAAATAAATTTGTACAAATTTTATATACCCATATTTTCATTCTAATTTAAAAAAAAATTAAATTCTCCCTTCACGGTCAAACTACTAATCTGGGAGCTATACTCATGGACATGAGCTCTTGAAGAAGCAATTTACATGCATAAGGCAATTTGACTTCGCACAACTGACTAACACCACCACCACAAGCTTTACATTCAAGGGACCTTGAGCTAGGGCCTCCTTTTCCAGATCTTCTACCTTTAAATCATTTAAAATTAGAAAAATAAACAAATGGAAGTGAACATTATGTTGAGAAAAATATATTGATCATTATAATTATTTTTCCCAAATATTGTTATGCTAAAATGTTAAGGCCTACCAGAATTGCAAAAATAATAACAAATTGTATTATATGAAACATAATAACAGGTATATAAAAAATAGTTCATAAATAAGTAAATCATTAAATGTATATAATTTTATTTAAAAATATCAACCTCCATCCATAGAATTAGTTGAGTTAGTTAAAGGTCCGCTCACCAAAAATCCACAGATGCCACATACGGTAACCGAGTAAGGGTCAGATACGTCGAATAACCTTTCTTTCAAAAAAGCTGCCGCCCCATGACTCAGTTGACAATCCCGTTCCATTTCCCCGAACCTTATTAATAATATACCATAAAAACATGATATAAGAAAGTTTCTAAATATATTAAATAAAAAATCGTTTGCAAATTACACCTTATAAAGAATCCTTAGTTTAAAGTAAAAGAGTTAAGTTAACTAACATAAAGTTATTAATGTATTAAAATAAAATATTATAAATGATCTTTATAATAAGTCGAGCTTGGTCAACCTTAATTCAAAATAAACAATGGCTGACCTTTTTCTATAGACTAAATATCAACCTATTTAAAAAAAATTAAAAATATAGTCTATAAATTTTAATATAAGAAAGAACCTCAAGCCGCCATCACGACTACGGCCTTCGACGGGTTGCCTGGTAAGAATTTGAAGGGGACCACGAGCCCGGGAATGAATTTTGTCGTCGACCATGTGTTTAAGCCGCTGGTAGTAAGTGGGTCCTATAAAGACTTGAGAATTGAGTTTGCGACCAGTGTGACCATTGTAGAGAACTTCATTGCCACGGGATTGGTAGCTTTTTAAATATTAAGGATTATAAATATATCTAATCAATTAATGAAATGAAGGGGAAAGGAAAAAAATAGATGGCACGAAAAAAGAGTTACATTGATAAATAAGAACAAAAAGATGGTACAGGATCTTAAAAATTATTTTGAATAGGCTAAAACATTTTAAACCATCGTCGAACATGTGTTTATAACGTTTTTATTGTGATTAATGTGCCTATTGTAAAGGAGCTAGATTTTAACAATTTTTTAAGAGGGATAATATAAATGAATAAATGAGGTGAAATATATTAAACCACTTTTAATTTATGTTTAGTAAATATAAAGGGGGAAAGGAAATAAAATTAAATGCACAATCTGTAAAGGTAGGATTAAATATAATGTGATAATGGAGAACTGATTAATTTTATGTTTTATAAAATAAAATAACTTACCCATATTCTCTAAGCAAATTAGATATCTTTTGTACATTGACGGCGTCGTTGAAGGGAGTAGCATCGCCTATTTCGCCTTTATTGGCGCTAACTTTACCCTGTAAGCACTCTATAAGATGGCCTATAGTCATACGAGACGGAATGGCGTGGGGGTTTATTATGATATCCGGAGTGAGGCCTATACAAATACATATAAATAAATTATAATATAAGTTGTGACCTTTAAAATTGGAGAAAAGACATTTAGTTTCTAGTTCTCCAAACCTCTAACCTTAACTTTTCACACATGACCGTTTTACAACTTTTCCCAATGAGCTCTCTAATAAAGAAACAGATCACTACTGATATGCATATTATATATATGATAAAAACCCTCGGCCGTAAAAGGCATATCCTCTTGCCCATAAACGATCCCACAGGTTCCCTTTTGCCCATGCCGGGAAGCGAATTTATCTCCTATTTGAGGGGCTCGCACACTTCTGACTCTTACTTTGGCAAATTTACGGCCTTCAGAATCGAGAGAAAGCAATACCTTTATAAAATTTTAATTTATACATTTTAAAAGTAATTTATAAAATACCTGATCAACAATTCCGGTTTCGCTAGATCTTAGAAAAGTACTGGCATCTTTTTTCGTGAATTTTTTGGCACTAATATCCAGCTTTAAAACATTGTTTTATTCAAAAAATAATAAGACTAAAATTGTTTATTAATTACATAGTTAAACAATATAAATAAATAACTTCAAAACACTAATAAAAACTGTATGGCCGGTTTAGAAGAGTTGCTAAACTTAAAACAACGTGCTAATTTTTTACTTAACTTTTTAAATGTTAATAGAAGTATCGTAGTGCGCTACATCTTTTTAAAGTAACGATTCAATGTATTTATTTAGCTACTTTTAATTAGAAATTATAAAAAAATAATCATATAATGTAAGAAAATTAATTTGTAATTAAAGATCTATACTACTGAGTTTCATGTCAATTCGGCGATGAAAATTCAGCGCGGCGTCGATTAGGCGCGCTGAATTCGGCACGTATCTAACACAGCTGCAATTTATTAGTATTAAAAAAAGGATGATTAAATAGAAGTAATTTAGAATGTTGGTCCTGATGGAAACACAAGTGACAAGACTAGAGAAAACTACTAAATTTTATTTAAGACAAAAAGATGAATAACATTTTCTTGAAAACATCTAAAATTATAAGTTTATATAATATTAGAAAATAATATAAATTTGAATATAAAATAAAATGAAATAAGTTGGTAAAATCGCGTTACATTCGAATATTATAATTATTATAAATTATATTTTTATAATTATTATAATTTACTTTTTTTAAAATTTTATTTTAATTAATATATAATTTTATTTTAATTTATTAAAATGCCATATATAACATTCCCCTCTCTGAGAAGCGATCGTTGAATATGTTATAGCAATTAATTTCGTCGTATTTGTTATCGCGAATTAGTCGTCGGGTTAATTTGTTGTTTATCTTGCATGTATGTCAATACGCGGTATCAATATTTTTTAGTACACCATCGTCGTCTTATCCGTATCGAGATCATTAACGTGTTTGTTTGATATAGACATCGTAATTACATTTTGAGAATAGTTTGTCATTATCATCAAGTTTATATTATTTAATTTCAATATTTATGAATATTTCTAATTATTTTAAAATTTTAATTTTAATTTTCATATTATATTATATTTTTTTAAATATCATCAATTTATGATATCTGTTTAAATATAATATTGTATTTTTTAAATTAATTATTTTAAATTAATTACTTTAAATTTTTCATAACTTTCCCCTCCTTGAGAATCCTGAACCTGAGGCGGAACAGTTAGGTTTAATCGAAATTTATGAACTTGGAATTGTCTTTTGGTCTTGTATTTCATATATTTTAGCATGATAGTTAATCAGCATTATATTATTATATTATCATATCGGCATATTATAGTCATTTTTTAATCAGCATTATATAAAAATCATTTTTCGCCTGGGGTTGGTCTACTTTTTCGTCATAAACGTTAGCTCTCAGGAAAATGTCAGCCATGAATTTTTTTTATTTTGAATATTCCCATATCTAGCCCAAGAAATAAATAGTCTTCATATAGCTTGCCAAGTGTCCATATGTTTTAATTACAGTTTATATTTAATTTTAATATAAGAATTTCAATTTCTCTGGTAAAAAATATCTGAAAGTTTTTTTATATTTCATACAGTGGCAGACTTAGAGAAAACTACTAAATTTTATTTAAGAGAAAAAGATGAATTTAAAATTCTCTTAAGAACATTTAAAATTTTAAGTTTATATAATATTATAAAATAAAATAATATAAATTTGAATATAAAATAAAATGAAATAAGTTGGTGAAATAGCGATATACTTTATATAAGGTCATTCGAATATATAATTAATATATAATTTACTTTTTTAAAAATTTTATTTTAATTTATTAAAATGCCATCTATACAAGCACCAAGGTTTCCAATTCCCTTTTTGGAATCATTACGCTGCTACATAGGAGGGAATCCCAAAAACAAATAATGCAGTTGAAGGTAATTTTTAAAAAATTGCTATCTTTTTATTCATCATTACACAATCATTTTTAATAATTTACTTTGCAATTATCTAAAGGTTGACACAGAGCATTTTCATCTCTGCTAGCATCGCACCATCCCTCTATTTGGAAATTCTTAGATGCTCTACGTTTAGAACATTCGTTAACCGAAGCAAAAATTGAAATATTTCTGGTACGCAACCCCCAAGATCAAGAAAGGTGTATCGGGATACAGCTGAAAATATTATATTATATATAACTGACTTTTTAAATCGCCTTATTAGATAGCATATAATTTTAATTTACTAACATATTAATCTTATCTAAATGTGGTACACTGAAACTAGGGGAAATTTTTAAAATTATTATTTTTTTTATTTAAAAATAATAAATACACGATCGTGTGAATATGGGTGGAATTATTTTTGATGTAATAAAAATTTAAAGTTTGATTACTCAATAGCTTTAAGAATTCCATATTTTTTTTTGTGAAAATTTCACAATTCTTTAATTTTACATTAACAATAGAATATATTATTTAAAAAGGTGTGTGCTATTGGATGCTAAGTTAAGACTATTAAATCAAATACTAGATAATTAAGCAATTTATTTGAATAAACATAATATATAAATTAATAATATATATAATTTTAAGGAAAAACATAAATAGTTCTATATAAATTTTATATCATTTAAAAATTTTATTAATTTACTTAAATTTGACATATTTTTAATATTACGAAAATAAGAATATTCACATATATATAAATGAGAGGTTTTCTTTCAGTTCTGGGGATTAAAAAAAATTCTTATTGCATCTAAATCCAAAGTCACGCCAATTGTGCGAAAAAAGTATGCAATTCTTAAACTTTTGAGTAATGAAACCTTGAATTATTATTACATCAAAAAATTTCCACCAATATCATGACAGATGATAACATATTTATAATTTTTTTAATAATATTTTAAAAAAATTAATAAAATAATATTAAAAATTTCCCCGAGTTTCAGTGAGTTACCCTAAATGTTCTTTTAAACATATTTTTAGTATGATTTATATAGTCATTTTATAAATAAATAAAAAAATTGTGCATTAATTCGTTTTTGATTATTTTATAATAGAAAAAAATTAGCCTAAACATAATATATATTTAAGGATTTTTAATAAATCTAAATGAGTCAGTCTTAATTTGAATTTTTTTTGATCCACACTAGTGTTGATAAAAGGCTGATTAGGGTCTATTTTTAAAAACAGTCGATTAAGATTTTAACCAAAATAATATGAAAGATTTGAGATAGAGGTCAAAACAAATCTCCAGGTTTACATAATATTGGTTACTAATCAAAATACCTTATAATGTAATGTGGTAAATTGGTCCACCAAAGAAATCGGCATAAATATTTGTTAATTTTTTTTTGAAATTAATAAATTTTTTATTGATATTACACATTTAGTAAATAAATTAGAGATTTTGTAAAAAAAATATGATAATTAATAGGACCAACATTCAAAATGTCTTCTATTTAATCATTCTTTTTTTTATGCTAATAAATTTTAATAAATTGCAGCTGTATTAGATGCGCTCGAATTGACGTGATACCATGCAATTGATTTAACATAATGAGAAAAAAATATTATCTATATTATGGATATAGTCAAGGGGCATGATTAAGCAAAATATTTCGTTACAACTTAAATTTTTTCTTTTTAAATGAGTAGTTCTTTTATTAAGTTCCATCTAAAATTTCATCCAAAAATACATGCGTTAATTAAGTAACGCCATAAAATTAAATACCAATTAAAAATTTGTTGAATATTTCTAAATTGTAAAAAAGTTTTGAATTTAATTAAATAATTTTAAACTAATGTAGGAAAATTTAAATGGGCAAATTCTTTAAAATTATTTTTGTTTTATTCTAAACTTTGATCTAAGTAAAAAAAATCCATCTTTCTGATTTTTTTTAAATGATGATTTTTCCAATCCTATTTTAAAACAGAAATCGGAAAAGCTCAACCCGTCCGAAATATCGGCCAGAGGACTGAACTAATATTTAAAAAAATTATAATGGACCGGGCTTTGTATATAGAAAATTTTTGGGATGGGCTGGACAATTTATATATAAAAACCAGGCAGAGTTGGGAAAATCGCTGATTGTTGGTAAAATTATAATAAGCCATCTCGGGCAAATTTGAAATAATTTTTTTTGAATTTTAAGCTAATAATTTAATTTATTATTTTAAGATATAATCCAATTAGAAATACACAAATATCAAACATAATTGATATATAAAACGGTTGTTGTAGAAATTGGGAAAAAATTAGGTATAGATATTATGTGGGCTGAAATTTGTATAAAAATTTTAATGACTTGGGACAGATTTTTGGTAAATTTCCTAACCAGGCCTGGTAATTTGTGCCAAATATTGGTTGATTATATTTTTTAATTCTTCTAGTAAAATTTCTCAGTTGTTCAAAATTTATATAAATCTTTTTCCCTTTGATATATCAAATATTTTATTGAATGAATTGATGAAGATAATAGTCATAACTTAAATGCTACCTTCAAATGGTCAGAGAAAGGATATGAGAAGGCGTTCTTATCTAATTTCAAATATGTCCACTTTTTGGGAAAAAGTCTCTCTATTATTATAAATTAAGAGGGGGAGTTCCGAATTCAGAGGTTTAAAAATTGAAAAATCTTTTAGTTAATAAAACTAAACGCTATAAAAACAGTTCACTCCATCCACAATTCCAATAGTGAATAGACAAACGGTAAAAATTATTTAACATTTTTCGATTCAACCATCTCACTTATCAAATGTTAGTTAAAAAACGATATTACATCTAGAGGTATTGGAATATTTGCGAGTTTTAATGAAATAGAAATATTATTTAAATGTAAATAAGGAAATTTTTCTACAGCTTAATACAATCTTACCATCATCAGCACCATGAAACCCTTTTTGAAATACAAGTTGTTATTTTGTTTATACATATTTATAAAACTCTTCACAAACTATTTGAGCCAAAATAGTTTGGCTCAAATAGTTATAACGTGGAAAGGTAATATATTATAAGCATCCTTGAATATAAAATATAAAAGGTAAATAAGGGGGAAATTTGCAAGTGATAAGTTGATAAAATATATTAATCCTAGTATAAAAAGTAAACAACAAAAATGACCTCTTCTTCATTTTCTGGTAAAGTTATAGTTTTTCCTATGACAACATCGTCGCCAGATACCCTAGTACCTGGCGCTACTATACCATCGTCATCCAGCTTATCGTATAGGGCATGTCTCATTCCTGATTTAATCATTAAATTGTAAATGGTTAATCTAATGAAAAACAATGAAAATTTGTTATTGGAAGAGGCAAAGACCTAGATATTTGAAATCAAAAACTCATTGATAAAAGCTATCAAGCATTTAACAGATTAAATAATAATGGATCCTATTTATTCGCTCAATTAAAACTAAATGCTGAAAAAAAATCCTTAAAAGCTCAGGAGAAATACTCAAAATTATCTCTTAATACTCAAAAAAATACACTGCTTAGGTATAAAACTGAAACGTTGAGACTAAAAATGAACCGTTCAGATAAATATATGAAACGCTCGTAAATCGTCTTAGATTTAAAAAAAATATCTATGAAATTCAGTAAAAATTCTGAGCGAAATAATGTGAGTCAATAAATAATGTATTATTTTATAAACCAATAACGTGTTCCCTCTCGGGTCTTTCAAACATTTCTTCCTGGTCAATTCCTTTTTTAGATTCAACGTCTCTGTACGACCGGTAAAAAACGGACCTTATATACAAAATATTAATTTTAAAGCAAAAATTCGTTAAAATTCTAAATAAGGGACATAAAATATTTATTATACCTAAACAAGCCTCTTTCGATAGCGGAATTGTTAATGATAATAGAATCTTCTTGGTTATATCCGGTGTAAGATAATATGGCTACTATAACATTGATACCTATATAATAAATTTATTTAAATGTATGGAATGTAGTGCCGTATGTAGTATTTTACTCCTTTTTGGGGGAGAAGTTAAATTTTTCTATAAAAATAAGATGACTAATATCCAGTATTCATAATTTTAGGACAACGGATTTTAATAAAGATTCTTTTAATTAATATGATTTTAGAAAATAAAATTATATAAAAGGAAAATAAAATCAATACATTAATTTTGTTCTTAATGCTTTTTTTTACTTTTGATTTAGTTTTATGATTCGTATAACATATTAAATCACATTTATAAATTATTATAAGCCAATAAAAAGATGAAATAGTTATAAACAATATTTAGGTTCTATTTGGCTTGGACATTCATTTTAAATTTCTCAAATTTCAAAAATAAAATATCATTTGCTTAAATATTCATTATCTATAGTTTCTTAAATAGAGTTTTCTAACATTTAGATATAATTTTGTTTATAATTAGTGATGGTCACGGTCTGGTCTTAGGTCAGGACCAATACACTCGGACTGAACAATAGTCTTTTAAAAAAGATCGATCCAGACCGTGATCCTAAATAAAAAAAATCGCTCTATATTTTAAAAATATTTTTGTTTACCTAATTTAATCGATGTTTATTGAGACTATAAGTATGCTTCTTTGAAAAACTTAATGGTTATCAAATGGCAAAATAAAAATTCACAAAAACTAAAATAACTCCTCTAAAATAACATAAAATAAAATATACAAAAAATTAGGTAAAATAAAATAAAATTAAACGTATAATAAAAAAAACTGAAATATTAATAAAAGACCGTTCGGGGCTGTGGTCCTCAAAAAATCGGTCCGTCCATTGATCTAGTCCGATCTAAGACTGATAGGACCAGACCGTTGATCTTCACTATCTATAATTGTTCTATGAAGTTAATTGCATTGCATATTTATTATCTATAGACTTACTGGTCAGTCCTAAGCACAAAAATGGGGTGAGGGGGGGGGGCTTCACGCAAAATATTATAAGAATAAAATTTGTTTTTATAAAGATTCTGGCTTCCGGAGATGCTAGAAAAAAAGAGAACAAAATAGAATCGACAAAATTAACCAAACTTAGTGTTTTATTAACAAAAGTTTTTGAAAAAGACTATGTAACCTTAACACTAGTCAATTCTTTAAAAAATCAAATACCGGCTGGTAGCTCCCTGAATCTGAGGTACTCCATCGCCCGAGTCGTGACAAGAGGTTTTTGAGGATAGTAAAGTACGTGGGCCGTTGTGTCCATCCGAACGTGGTAATTAGTTATGTAAACCCCCATCGCTTGTTTGCCCATAGCCGATTGGTAAGTGTTACGTGGCGACTTTTTATAAGTGAATTAAAATTAGTTTTAAAATTGTGGATAGTGACTATGTGATTTAAGGATCATATATCTGGGGATTAAGAGATTCTAAAATCCAGGGAAAAGTGGTCAAAAATTCATCCCGTCATCCAGAATAGGTCCAATCAGACGTGTTAATCGATACTTTTAAAGGGATCGAATTCCGATCCAGATCTTTTCAAAAAAATGGGAAATCCAGGATAGACTTTTTTTAAAAAAGGATCACGATCCTCTTCCTATTTTAAAAATTTCGGAAGAAAATTTATTCTCGATGTGAAATTAACGAATATATAAATAAATTAAATATAGTATAAATTTATTGTAATCGAATAATATAACAATAATAATATATTTATTTATAATCAAAATTAGCGTTTAATAATAATAAATATCATTCAAACATTATCGTTCTTTCATTAAGAACATGTTTAACGTTCATAAACAAGTGCTCCTTGATTATATTTGTAATATATATAGTGAATAATATTATTATTGAATTGACATATATATATTTTGATGTAACGCGTTGTTTTTCAATATGCATGTTAATAAATAAAGTAGATTACATATATACTAAAATATTCAATAAATATTTTTTTTAAAGTGACATAAGTTAAAAATAATAATTGATTCATCATTTGAATAAAGCAAATATTAAAGGAAAACGCATTAGAATTTTTCCTAAAGAAAGTATCAATTTAATTCATACAATCATTCGAATAAGCATCTGCTTGTATATGTTCCTGCAGGTTTTCCAAATGAACCCTGGCAGATTGTTTTATGACCTATTAAGTTTAAATTTCGGGCGAATTAATGCTGCTAGTATGCTTTTTTCTCATACAATGAAGGAAGTCTATATTAAGAAATGATAATTAAGAAGCTGAAGAAAAGCTAAAAGGTTCCCATTTATATCTGTAACGTCAATAACTATATGTATATTATTTCATAGATAGTAAAAATCTAAAAAAATATTTTTTTTAAAATCAATAAATAAAACTTGTAAGTAATCAAATTCGTAAATGTGGTCTTAATAAAACCTATGAGAAAAATATAAATCTGAGGAGGATGTTAAAATATGATGTAGGTAAATTTTTTTAAAAAAATATTATTTTATTTATAAACTTTTTAAATAAAAAATAAATTTTTAAAAGGATTGAATATTATACAAAATGGTCTAGATCATGGTCCTCAATTAAAGAGAAAATCATAAATCCGGGTAGATTTACCAAATTAGGATCGTATTCAGAATCGTCGATCCTTTAACAACTTTGGGTCCCACCCACGAGGTAGCGTTTTAAAGATAGATTCAAAATATTATTTTCTCTAATATGTTTTAAGAAATCAGTATAATTTATTTCCATATTTTTAAAAACAACTTTCCGCACTATTTAAATGGTAGACATGTCAGAGTCAAATTCTTAAAATAAAATTAGTCTTAAAGAAAAATTTTTTGAAAATGAGAATAATGTCTAAGTTGAAGAAAGATATATACTTTAAGGTCGAATAGAAGCTAAATGTATTCATCGGTAAGCCATAAATAGCCTCTTTTAAATAAATAAACACAAATAGCATGAACATTTGATATAATATATATAATTAATTTTTTTAAGTCACATTTCAATTATAAACATTATTTGTACCAAAATTTTATCCATGTCAAAATAGGCAATTTTAAATATTATATAGTACCTAGCAATATATTCCTATAGTATATAATGTAATATATAAATAATAATAGATATAAATAACCCTGTTACTGAGAAGTTAATATATCTACTTTCAAATTACTAAAAAATTACCGCACCTTTTGATATATGCACATTTTGGTAGGATGCTAGAATTTCAATATTTACACATTGCTATATCATTAATGGCACTTTCCTTTAAGAACTGAGTCAATCAGTTTAATTTATAACTAGGTATCGATTACAAAAAATAAATTTAACTGAAATCTATCACAAATCTTAATTAAGTAACTTTTCATAATTGTTTAATTTTATATCAAAGATGTTTTGATAAATTAAAATAACTTTTACTATTAAAACTTACCATACTTGAAAAGCAGTTATAAATCACGTGATAAATATTTACCACAGGATATACAAATTTGGTAGATTAGATCATTGTTATTATTAGTGCACATTAAAAAAATATTTCCCTGAGAAAAATTGCGAATTTTCCTCAAGATAATAATCAAAATTCCCTGGATCTACATCTCTAGTATTAACCAGAATTATATTACTTGATTATGATCGGGAAAGGGTATGATAGAAGCGCATACGCCAAGTATCATAGATGGATGAATTTCGCAATGCGTGTAAGTGGAACAATATCCGTTGAGGGATTTCTCCGTCAAATCTTCAGGGGTCATGGCTAGCATAATGGTTTCTTCCTCCATCGTATCTATGTATTCAACGACGCCACTGGCCACCAAATTTTGCCATCTAATTTTTTGTAAAATTGTTTTAAATATAGATCATTTTTATTTAAACGTAATTATAAGACTTTTGAAAAAATATCTCACTATAAGGCTAAGTCATAGCGTATCTTATTTTTATTTTTAAATCTGAATAGATCATTCTATTCAGATATAGAATTCTAAAAAAACTTGCTAGACCGTAATCTAAATGTTCAACATATGAAAAAAATAGCTTTATGTATAAAATAAACCCATAGTTATTGTATTCCCGTTCCTTGAGCATGTCTATATGCCTTTTTTTAAGTAGGAGTTTTTGATTTTCAACGATTAGCAAAGGTCTACATATTCTCCCAGCATCAGTATATATCCTTATTTCCCTATCTTGTATATCCCTGACCATCGAAACCTAGATTTATAAGTTTATTCAAAATTAATATTTATTCTGTTTTGTTCTTTCTTTCTTTCAATGTTAAACACAAGAAATAAATGAATAATTATATATATATATATTGGAATTTTTTCAATTTAAAAATAAATAAATAATATATATATAATAGTTTACCTCAGATACAATAATATCCATTTGACGTCTAAGTTTTCTTAGAGTGGTCATCAATTGATCGGGGTCTTTGTGGATTCCCACCCAGCAACCGTTTACAAATATTTTTGTGGCACTTTTATTTTTGATTTTTAAAATTATTAGCTAATTTTAAAGGTTAATTATAAACAAACAATCTCTCTTAATATATATTTGCAGAGTTGTTAAAAGATACTTTTTAAATGGATCTAGATACAGTTACAATTTTTATTATTAATTTACGTTTATTGTGAAAATGTATGAAATGAGGTAAAAAATTTATTGACTCGATATCACATTTATCAAAATATAACTAAAATAATGATTTTAATATAATATATGTAAATATATGATTATAAATAATTATCAGATTTCAGTAATAAATATTTTCTAAATTTTGATCATTAAAGCATCCTCGTTTATGTAAAGGCATTTTTAGCTGCACTAAAAATCTTTCTACCTGGGAGCTTGAAGGGATTGTGGTGCTATATTTTATGAATAACAATTTTATAATAAGAACTGTCAGCAAATTATATTTTTTATGGAACTAATGTTTTGATTATTTTTATAAATGAAGGATTATCAACAAATGAAAATGGCCGAGTGCCAGCTATACTTCATCTAAAGTTGTCTAGGTTAAAGTCTGAGATCTCTTGATAAAAATATCAGTGGACTATGAGCCTAATCCAATATTTTCTTTAATAGATTTATTCTACTTCCCCTTTTTATTTTTTATTAACAATGTTTGATGTTTTCACTTAAAATTATAATTGCAAACATTTAATTAGTTATACCATTAAATGTTTTAAAATGTTGCAAGTTGAGGTAATGCTAACTGAAATTTTCGTATTTTTTGGTAGACATAGCAAACATATCAGATTTGTTTTCTTTATTTTGAGATATTATTTTAAAATATGCTCTATAAATTGGCCGTGGAAAAACAATGTCTGGACTTGTTGATGCTTTATTGATTATTACTTCTTTCCCTCTTCATATTATTAATATTAATCTAAAATAAATTTTTAAAATTAGTATGATAAAATAAAATTAACCAGTTCCATTGAAAATAAAGATGGCAGATTCCTTGAGATGGGTTGTAATCAGGGACCCGGAAAGAACTAGAATGAACCGCTAAACAGTTATAAATCTTTATAAATATCTGAACCATAACTAAACAGATATAATAATTTTTTGAAGGAGTAAAAAGGACCTTTATAAAAGAAGTTACCGATTTAAACCGGGTTAAACCGGTTTCAGCCAAAATAAAATAAATAATTTTACATTCTTTTCCTTGTGGTGTATTACATATTTTACCATACCTACTTCAAATATTTGTTTAATATCCATAAGTATGTAATAATTTTTCACTATGACTTATATTGATTCACAATCTTTTAACTGCTTCATATAGTATTGGAGCATTCCTATTTTATATATTTTAGTATGTAAAATATCTAAATAACCAATTTTGATTTAGTTGTATTTAATTAATCTAAAAAAATCATCAGTTTTTATATTGGGAATCAAAAAAATTTGAATTTCCAAAATTTTATAAACTTGCTCTTATAGTACTTGCGATTCCCGCAACGTAATTTCTGTTAAAAGGGCCTTTTTGGGGCTAATATTTGTGTTATCGTCACAACAAACATATACGAATCAACTTATATTAAAAAATATATAACTTATACATTCAATAGAAATGAGTGATTCTTATATATTATTCATAGATATTTATAATAAAAATAATTTATTTCATCTGTTTTAAAAATATATAATATTAACTTAAGTGATGACATTAATTTTAATAAATGATATTCATAATTAAAATCATTATATTATGGTGTTGCTTCAATAAAAAAAAATTCCTAACCATAATGAACCTTTATAAACCTCTACAATTAGCTGAACCGAACCGAAACTTTATAAATTTTTTCTTAAAAACCTTAACCGAACCGTAACCATTATAATTTATTAAATAATGAACCGTAACCACCTGATTGTTATATCAAAATTTGACTGGTTTATTGATAAGCTCGGACATATAATATTTAATGAATATTTATATATATATTTTTTTTTATACAAGTTTTAATATTTTATATATATATAAATTTTTTATTATACTAGTCACAATATTTTTCAATACATATATTTAAATTATATGCTCATTTAAAATAAAATAAATGTAAGTATTTAAAAACAGATACAGATACCTCTAAAATAATATCTAGATACCGATACTTTAAAAAATTTATCTAGATACAGATACCACATTTTATCTAGTACAACAGCTCTCCATATTTGTAATAATGTAGTATAAATTATGAAAAGATGCTTTCAATAAGGAAAGAGAAAATGGTGAATAGAAATGCTTATAAAGTATCTTACTCTGCGATGGAAGATGGGGCGATCTCCTCCAAATTTTCCATGGACCATTCTTCCAAAAATTCCAGAATAGGAGCTGGTTGACTGCCCACGGATATGTAAGCCATAAGAGCTAAGTTTTTCACCAAACCTACGGCATGCCCCTTAATATGTTGGTGAACGGAGTTAATAAAATATTTTAATTCTCTAGCATCAAAATTGAGGATACATTTAGGTAAAGTTTCAATCATTATTAAATGTTGATTAATATTATATTACTTTTTTAAATTTACAAAAAGAACCTTATGCAATATTTCGTGATAAAAATACCTCTGGCGTCTCAGCAGGACAAATCATTCCCCAATGAGTATTGTGTAATTGTCTAGGCCGCGCCAGCTTTCCATCCCGTCCTATGGGGGAATTAAGCCTGCGTAAATGGGAGAGCGTGGAAGCGAATGTGAGCCTATTCAAAACCTATTTAGAATAGAAAAATTATAAAAAATAAATTTATCTCACCAAGGTAAATTAACGCATAAGGCTGTAATTTAAATATCAAAAATTTTATTAACTAACGAAAAAAGAGTAAGCCATTTTTTAGGTAAAAATAAAATAGTGGTCTAAATCATTTTTTTCCAATTTAAGCTGTGACCTAAATTTTAAAAAACCTCAAAATTTATAAATTTTCGTAAAATAAAATATTAGTTATTTACGACTCAACGCAAAAATATGCATAGATATTTAGAATGCAGGTATATATTATGATAATTATAATATAAATATATATATTATTAATTCTCGAGATCAAGGATTTTTTAAAAAATTTAATATTATACCTTTTTATCTTGATTAATTCCGCCAGACATTACACATGTATGCGAAAACTTTTATGTATATTCTAACAAATTTGAAAGAAAATGACACCGCAATAGTCATACTTAAAACAAAATTAGTTTGATAAATCGGCTTTATATATCCCGCGTATGATTTTAATTTTTTAATAAATAAGCGCAGTATATTTTTAATTTGGCAACTAGAATGAGCTTTAGAAAAATAGCTTTATTGCTAAGATTGGCAAAACATGAGTAAATACTATTGTGATATAGAGCTTGACAAAAAATGAGTAAATACTAGTGTTGTTGAAAAGCGCGAATCTCGTTGATTTTAAAAAACGGTACGATTAAGATTATAGCCATAATAACATAATGTAAGTCTAAATATTTTGCTCATAGCTGGCAGAAATGCTTGGACATCAATTTGCCAAATCTCGATGCTTACATAAAATTATTTTAGTTAAAATCTTAATCGGACCGTTTTGAAAAATCGACCCAAATAGTGGTTTTAACAACACTAGTAACTACTATTGTGACATCAATATTAGGGCTATGCCGCTTTACAAATTTTTAACCAATCCGATTCGATATTTATATTGATTTCTATTTACCATCTATCTTTGTATCAATTTCATTTAATATTTTCTACTTTAAAAAAACCAATTAAATTTTACGAATAATCAAATGTATTTTATATTGTTTATTTTTTATAAGTTAATATCCCCATATAAAATATTTGCAATGTTTCTGGGTGAATGTAGTGTTGTTAAACAGCCCCATTTAGTCGATTTAAAAAAAAGTTTAATCAAAATTTTAACCAAAATATTATTATCTGTCTCGAAATTTGGCCAATCCAAACCTTTCTGATATCTGCGGGAAAAATAAATAAGCATGGGTAATTTATTCTTGGCTAAAATTTTAAGTTAAACGTTTTTAAAATAAGCTAAATCGAGCCATTTAGCAAGACTAACTTAATGTGACTAGTTATATGTTTTAAAATCCTTTTCTTTTTGCAGATAATATAACAAAAAATAGTGTAAAATTTTAAACTATTTGTTTAAACATTACAGCAAATAAATTGTATATTAGTTCCTTTCAATAAATTATTATTATGAAATTATTTACAAAATAAAAAAAATCATATAATTATATGTAGAATTATAAAATAACTAAAATGTATAAGAAATATCGGATCGGTTTTTTTAAAAAAATCGGCCAGATCCGATATTTTTGAAAACGCTAAATATCGTTATCGATCCGATCCAATATTAATTATCGGCTCAGTCTTAATCAATATGTATTATATAGGTCCGGGTCGGGCCGTATTATAATTTTTTTAAATTTACCTGTGCCGAGCTGGCCTAAAATTTTTTTTAGAAAAATATCCAACCCGTATATTTTAAAACCAAATATTTGAAATCGCCAATAGATAAAATATATTTTAAAAAAAATCAGGGCCGGGCCTGAATTTTTTTTTTAAAAACAAACTTGGGCCGGGTCAGGCCGAAAAAAATTTTTGAAAAAAAAATCCAGGCCGGGTTGTATAAATAGTTTCTCTGCACGTCACTGATATTAAAAAAATTAGATTTTCTGAAGTATTCTGCTGATATTTAAAGTATCTCTTCAATTTATGTTGTAAACAATGATGTTTGGTGTTGAATTTGGACCGATGGGTCCCCCAGTCTGAGTGGGAAAAATACAGTCCGTGATCGGGGGTCCGGGATGGTCGATGACGGGATCCAGGGGGCCGGGTTTTATCGATTTTGTCATGGAATCACTCGGACAACGTAGTGGAAATAATATTTTCAAAGTTTAATAAAGTCGAAGTTGCAAAGCAAAAGTAAATCAAAATCATCCAATAATTAATCAAAAAAAATGTATATAATTACACAATCAAAAAAATATTTAATGGTCAAGAAAAAGGTATTTTTCCAACCTTTATAATTTTTAAAACAAATAGAAAAAACAATCATTCTTGAAACTGGTTAGAACCAGTTTCAAATGCAATATAAAAATAAGGTATAATATCAATTTCATAACAAAAAAAAGGAAGATGGGAAAACAAAAGAAACAAGTGGAGAAAAAACGTAAAGAAAAGAAATAAGTTATACGGGACAAGTGGGGAGATAGAACATAACATTTGGATTGAAGCCTTACACATAATAAAATAGTGGTTACTGAGGTTTTGCCAATCTTTGCAAATAAAGCTAAAGCTCATTTCAGTTGTCAAATATGTAAAAATATAAAAGGGTTATAAAAAGCCTATTCCGCATACTGATACTGTTGTTATTAACCATAGCAGTCATTTCTTTCAAATTTGTTAAAATATAATGAAGTTTCTACATGCATGTGGAATGTCTTATGTAATTTATCAGAATAAGAAGGTATAATAATATCAAATATTTTATGTCCTTGATCTCTATAATAAATAATATGTATTGATAATCTAATTATCATATATACCTGCATTCCATAGGCTAGTAGTAAATAACAAGGTGTCGGGAAATGGTAGTATGCTAAAAAGATATTTTAAACTATTAATTTTTTAATTCTTACGGTATCCCTATCCCACATATATATTTTATATAGATCAGAGACTGCAGATTTTTTATATTTTCAGGCCCAGCCCGGATTTTTTTAAAATATATTTATTTTTAATTTTTATAGCTAATAATAGCGATTTAAAATGTTTTAAAATATTGCCCGACTCAGGTATTTTTTTTAAAAAAATTCAGGCCCGGTCCAGATATATTTAAAAATATTAAAATATGGCCCGACCCTAGTCTCTGATATAAATCAAGCAGATGAGAAAATAATATATATATCTTAAAATAATTTGAAAAATTGTGAAATAAAGCAAAAACCATAGCCAAAATCGGGACTTCACCTACATTTAATATATTTTAGCCCTACTCTCCTATATCAAACTAATTTTAATATGTGATTATAAACCGAGTTCCATGACAATAATCTTCTAAATATTGATGTCTATTTGTACATTGAGTCATATCTTCAAATATTATATAATAAATAACTAATGATTGAGTGAATATTTTAATTTACAAGATTTTTAAAAAATTTAAAGGAAGATTTTGGTCATGCTTCATTAATTTATAAATTTTGATTAAAAAATATATTTCGGTCACAGCCTAAAGAATTCATCATATAGATTTTTGTAGAATTCTTCTTCTTCTTCTTCTCCGTTTTATGGTGATTTCCAGGTTTACCCAGGCAGGCCAGTTTTCCTTCTGATTTTTCTTTTCCATTTCTGACGGTCCTGAGCATCAATATTTGTAAGATTCATGCTTCACATATCCGCCGCTATCACATTTGTCCATGTCATCTTGGGCCTTCCTCTAGGTCTTGATCCTCCTACTTTCATCAAGGTGTATCTCTTTACTCAGTCATCTTTTGTCATAGGTTTCACATGCCCAAACCATCTTATTTCGTTGCATTACCACTCCAATCATTTCTATACCCAATCTTGCTCGCAATTCCTTGCTAGTTTCTCTCTCTCTCAGAGAAACCCCATACATCCAACTAATCATTCTCATCTCTATTCTTTCTAATTTGGCTTCGTGAGTCGTTTTCATTGCCCATGTTTCTCCGCCATAAACTAAACAACTCCTCATACAGCTTTACGTAAACTTTCCCCTTTAACTTCAGTCATTTTTTATTTGTTAGAATAGACGACATCTCTCTGAACTTCTTCCATGCTTGTCTGACCCTTGCAACAACGGCAGAATCTACACCACCATCTGCATTTAGCATATTACCCAAATAACAAAACTTATTCACTTTTTCTATGGTTAACCTATTGCCAATATCCAAACCATCATTTTTGACGTTATCATTATTATGTACCCCTTTCATGCACGATCTACAAATAAAAGTCATTCTTGATAACATCAAATTTCCCTTTTCCCGCTACATCTGTTATGTACCTATTTATAGCATCTGGTGCATTAGATTGAATTTCTAGCAACTCCTTTCCTACATACACCACAAGGCCACTTGGATTCCTCCATTTTTAGATTTTCCCCACCAATCATCACCTTTGTCTTTGCTATATTCATTTTGGCCCTTTGCTTCCATAGCCATCCTCCATTTACTAATTTTATCCTTCAATTCTTCTTCACTGTTTGCTATTAATACAAGGTCATCTGCATATAATAGCTCCCAGGGAAGTCCTTCACGTATTTCTCTAGCCACCACATCCATTACTATGATAAATAATAATGGACTCAGCACAGATCCTTGATGAAGTCCTACCTTCACTTCAAAGCTTTCACTATCACCATAATCCGTCCGTACTGCTGTTTGTGTTCCCACATGCATTGCCTGCTATAACCAACCATTCCTCCAAACCTGATTTTCTCAAGGCCCATCTTGTAACCTCACGCGGCACCCTGTCAAATGCTTTCTCCAAGTCAACAAACGCATAATACAGTTTCTTTTCCTTCGCAAGATATTTCTGTATTTATCTCACCACAAAAATGGCATCTGTCGTGCCTGAAACCAAACTGCATTTCATTGTTCCCTTATCCACTTCTCGAACACCCTCTCAAATACCTTGAGTGCATGTTCCAAGAGTTTAATAGCTCTGTAAGACCCGCAATCTAAAGGATCACCTGTTCCCTTGTTGTAATCATTTAATTATTACAAATGTAAAATAATCAAAGATTGGATGGAAATGCTATATCCTCGAACGTTTTGTAACAAGTTAAAGATGATACTTTTATCGGTTATAAAAAGAACTCAGTTATTCCTATCATTCAAAATCAATAAATTTACCAAAGTAGTAAGAAAGCAATAAAAAATATGTTTTAAAAACAACCCAGTTTCCAGCTAAATGACCATAGAAAGAAGATGCTCTTCTATGATAAGGTTTTATTACATCGCAAAGTACAAATAAATAAGATTTGAATAGTATTAGTAATAATTTTATAGGAATTTGAAACGCCACTTAATCGGAACATTTCACCGGAAGTGACATAATTGCAAAAATATTTTGGCCCCATTTACCTGAAGCCAGCCAATTCTTAAAATTTTATTATATATTTTTTATAGAAATCTGAATAAACCTGTGAAACACCTGCCCTAGCCTGATGAGCTTTTTTCTGATCTCCCCAGTTGCCAGTGGCTAAGGAATATCTAAGTCCATCTGTTATAATACGGGTCTTGATAGCAAGTTCTAGGTTAAAGTCTTTGCCCCTGTCAATAAACTTTTGGGCGTAAAGTCGAACCTCTTTCATCAGGTTTTTGAATAAACTGTTCAAAAAGATAAATCAAATTAACATTTTAATATGAAAAATCAGCATTTGATACTTAATTAACCGAACATTATAATTTCCAGAACCAGTATTTATTTAAAAAAAATCACTGCCCCTAATTATCCTGCGCCCATACAATTGGAAGAAGGAATAGTCATTGTGAAGCTGAAACCTCAATCTCATATAATAAAAATTAATTTTAAATTAATTATTTAACTATTTATTATAAATGGTTGTGCCAGTAAACTTTTGAACTATACTTTTAACTTAAAAAAGATAATTGCAACTTACAAACTCATTAAGCTTAAATTTTATTTGTTTCAATAGCACTCATTTTCATAGAAAAATATCAAAACTCGAATAAATCTTTCAAAACCTTCTTGGAACCTTAACTGAACCATAACTTTTATAAATAATTGTGAGGGCCTCTGGTTTCTATAAAGATTTATACGATAAACTAAACTAATAATCTTTTACCGAATAAAATTTAAAAAAAGTGGAATAAAATATACAGATTCAAATTAAAAAGTAATTATTTGGTTTAAATGGTTACCTACAAGTAAAATTCAGTTATATAGAACTTATACAATGAGCATAATATATAATTTATGTGAATCGCGGAGGAAAAAAGTTTAGCTGATTCAAATATAAATATTTTGAAATAACAAATTTTATTTATTTCTCATATAAAACCTTTACATTTAAGCAGAAAATACTTTCTTAATATAATGATTCTAATTAGAATATTATACAATTTAAGTTAAAATATTAATATAGTTATAAAAAACAATATAGTTAATTATTTTACCCCCTAAAAAGGAAAGCTAACAAAGGACCAGCCAGGTCCAAGCGTTTATTGCCATAATGATCTCTGTCATCGACTTCGCGTCTACCTAATGCAGCAAGTAATAGTCGATGGACCATGTAGCTTTTTGTAAATATAAAATAATATATTGAAATTTTGCATATAATACACAAAATTTGACTATTTAAGGAAACAATTTTAAGAAATAAAATAAAACCTAAAATAAATAAAAAATTCCTTTTGGAAAAAAAAATTTTTCTTAATAAATGGCAAAAAAAATATATATATATATACACATTATATTTTTAATCGTTTCATAACACAATATTATTTTTTTAAAAATTATCTTAAAGTAAAAATCATATAACTTTTCTTGCTATCTTTAGACAAAATTTTCTAGGAAGTTGAGTTTAAAAAAATAATTATCGAGTGGGCAAAGAAGATTGAAGTAGTAAAAGGTAATATCCAAAATAATAGGAAAAAATTGTTATAATAAAATAAAGAGGTAATTGGCCTTATTTATAAAACTTGCAGAAAAAGAGACAATTAAGTTAGGAGAATATTGACTTCGGCGATTCAAGAGTGATTTATGGGTTTAAGCTAGTGAAATTAGGTCGATAAATATACAAGTGAAACATGAAGAGTATGATAATTACAGTATAGGAAATTTGATTATAAAGTTATAAATTTAAACAACTAGAAGGTGTTGATAATTTTGGGGGTATACCCTAGGTAATAAGCCTTCTTGGTCTCGGAGAAATCGCTGACCCCCACGTGGGGAAGCATTTCCCGTTGCAAAATTTCCTTGGCATATTTTATGCGCTTGGCCCTGGTGACGCCTGGTTTGGCAGCTCCGCGACTACCTATAAAATTAAGTGCCACATTCTGCTCTTGAATCACGAAGGCTTCGTCTAACGATGGTTTAACCTATGGAAAGGATTGTTTAAGGAATAATATCAATTCTTTCTTTTTTCAATCACTCTTGATGATAACTCTAGAGAATTGTAGGATAAATTCTTTCTCATTAATCAATGAAAATAATTTGACAAAAATATCATTTTGTTAATTAACAAAACAACATAATAATATTTTAAGTAAAGAAATTTAAGAATATTTGACTATTTTTTGGGTTAATTTGGTTTATGATTTTAAACTTAAAATTTTTATCTTCAAATCATAAAATTATTTATTCTAAAAAAGGAGAATTTAGCCTAATTCTAATTACAACAATAAATGATTGTATGCTTACTCGGTAATAATCTCAAAAAAACATACCATTTCCATCATCTCCTGATCTTCAAAGTCGTATATTATATGTTCCAATATGTCCCTGTCGGACACAAACCCAAGGGCCCTGAATATTATCATTATAGGGATCTCTTGTTTGATGTAAGGTATGATGGCAACTATCTTTTGCCCTATAGCGCTCTTTTTAGCTCCCTATACAAATAGAAATGTTTACACTTACGTATTTAAAACACGCAAAAATTTTCGTTTTCTATGTGAGTGGTATATAGCAAAGCTAATTGAATTTCAAAAATTTTAACCTGCCCTCCTTTGGCTAGTAAATTGACCCACATTGTACTAGTGGGGCGAGACGAATTTTCAATGTAAGATCGGCATTCCGCCTTGTAAGCATACTTTGAATCTTTCATAGCGAAAACGTATACCGTGTTAGTGGCCATCTTTTCTTGAGCTACTATCACTTTTTCGGAGCCATTTATTATGAAATAACCACCTATTTATATTTGAAAACAATATATATAATGAAATTCATAGCATTTTTACTAATCAAATATGGTTAATATCAGCAAATCATTTTGCGATTGGAACCCATGATAATCATTAATCACATATTTATGCCCAATATGATGCATTACAAATCAACCAAAAAATAGAAGGTTTTCGGCCAAATCCCATCGGATTTCTCTTTAAATTATGTATGTTAGACTTTATGACAGTAAAAAGAATCAACAATCTTAGTGCTCAATAAACCCTACGAGGCTTTGAGATAAGTGGATGGGTTGTCGAAAATATCCACAAAAGGCAAATTCTAAATTGCAGGTATCCTTGAATTGGATGTATTAAAATTAAATTATTCACATAAGGTAGAAGTCATATTTTTTCAGATCTGGCCCAATTCAAGATAATTTTTTTATCTGATCAATCCAATCTGATTTTTTTCTTTAAAGATCCAAGCTTGGTACAAAATTTTATTTTAGAAATAGTAGATCCGAGTCCGAGTTAGTTATTTCTTAAAGGCCTAAAAATTTATGTGCTAAAAAAGATTGATGTTATTCACTCTTTTTAGAAAAACCTTAGAAAAACATAATAATTTTAAATTTTGCCACAGTCAGAGTATGAGATTAAAATATTAAAGAAGAAATATATTAGATGAACTGGTAAAACAATAAGGAGGAAAATATAAAATAGAAGCAGTATTTGAATGTAAGCCTTTGAATACAAAAGGAGAAATCAGATTTTTTATTGGATCATATTTATATTATTTTATTAAAGATTATGCAAGAATAGCAACTCCTCTTACCAAGTTGCTAAAGAAGGACGAAATATTCAGATAGGATGAAAAAGATAAAGACAGCACTAATCAAAGTTCTGATATTATGTTATTATAGCAAAAAGGTGAGACAAATGTAATCACTTATGCGTCAAGATATTGAATGGTGGAATTCTGCAACAAAAAGGGGAAGTAAGGAATTTGTGCTATGTGTTCAGGTACTTGAAGAGGACAAAAAGAAATTATACAAAAATCGAATAGCTAATCTTTGGGAAAAAATTTTGAACTAATGGTTGGTGGTCTGCGATTATTTGTTTGTATATATTCATCATTCTAAAAATTACTATCAACATTTCACGTTCGATTAAATAATTTTTATATTTCCTCGTCAAAGACCTGGATGCAAATGCTAGACGCCAATTCCCTGCTTCCCAATTTAGTATTACACCGATTTCCAAATTTAGATAAATCAGCGATTACATTTGCTCTGTATTATTTCTATAATAACCTACCGTCGGAGCTCTAATTAACTTTTTATGTCCTCAAATGTTATGTGTATTTATCCCATTTGAAAACTTCGTCCTTCTTTAGCAATTTGGTAAGTCAAGCTAATATTCTTGCATAATCTTTTATTATTAAATTAATAATTCATTAATCCAATAAAAGATCTGATACTTCCTTTCGTATATCAAGGTCTTACATTTTAATACTGCTTTCACTTTATCTTAATTTAACTCATTTTTTTTGTTTGTCGCGTGCCCTAAGAACATTATTGTTTCCTTTAGAACTCAATCTTCTCCCAGTTTGCTCTTAATCAATAATATTTTCTAACTTACTTGTGCTATATTTTCTATTATGCTGACTATATATGATTACAAATTTTATGCAAAAATATTTAATTTAAAAAAGGAAATAGAAAAGGGATATATATATATATATCCTTTAAATATACAAAAAGATTATGAAAATTTCTTTAGAATATTATTCATATTAGATGATGAGACAATTTTGCCATAATAAAATATAATAAATCAAATCTATAAGTTAGGGGATCCAAAAATATTTCACTATAATACTTCTAAAATTATCACAATTCGTTAACTGAGCAAAAAATCATGTAATAAAGCCAATATAAAATTATATAAATTATGGAACACTAGGACAGAGAATAATGAGCAGACACCAACAACAATTTGAAGCTTATAAATGGTATATTTATTTTATATAAAAATATTTAAACATTACACATTCTAATATATGATTAACTTTGAATGATATATATTCCGATTTGTTTAATTTAAAATCGATATAAAATTCTGGAAACCTGGATCAAGTGGGCACTCGTTTAGTTCGGTGAGATCTCTGTCAGTCAGCCCATTGAGTAGGCAATAAGTCGAACGAAGCATTATAGGAATTTTTCCGATAAATGTTTTTTGATGTTGTGTTTCAACTACTTCTTCCCCATTTTTTTCTACCCTTTTAGTTATGTCCACGTATAAAGGGGCTGAATAACTTTTTTAATGTTACACACATTAAATTTTAAAAATTAAGTAGAGAAAATATTTATAACTGGAGGTGGGGAAAAGGAGGGAACTAAAGCAGATAAAGCAAATAATGTGTTAAATTAAGATTTTAACAACCATACATAATTATTTAAATAGCTCATCTTAATAAAACAATATTTATTTATACTCAAATCCACAAGAATTTATTTGTAAAAGTATTATGTTTAATCTATAAAAGAAATAGATAAAAATTTTTTTGTTATATTTAAAAAATAAAAAAGATAATAAAGATGGTATTTGTGCAATGAGAAGAACATTATATTTAATGTTGCGATGATAGTTTTATTGCAAAGCCATTCCATGTTAAATCATCCAAAGATTTGGATGACCCTTTTTAATAGGAATGAAACTTGGATGATGGGTTATGGTATATATTTTTTAACAATTCTAAATTAATATGGATGGAAAATAAGATAACGCCAGCATTGGACTTGTAAACCCATAACACCAGATATACTTGAGATAGAGCTGTATAAAATTTACACATTACATAATGAAAATATCCATTCATTTTAAATAGTGTTGTCAGAATCATTGGGCGATTTATCATGGAATGACCTTGAATTAATTAACTTTGATTTTTATTCAAAATATTGATTTTAAAAAAATTAAACTAATAATAGGGTTAAAAAATTATAAATATAATTAATAAATGGAAACGTCAAATTTCTAAGTCTAGCTTCATTAGGCATCATGTGACTAGGAGCACCATCCTTTTCCCAGTGGGTAGGCTTGGATAAATAGATCTGGCCAAACTTTAATGTGTATTTTGTCTGAAAAAAATAATCAATTTATATGCTCTTTATGTAGGAAGATTTTGCTTCCAAACTTATTTTAAACTTTCATCAAAAAAATAATTTATAGTTTTTCATAATTCTCTTTATTTTTTTTAAAGAAAAGAATATAAAAGATTAAAATTATGTAAATCAACAAATTTATCAAAAAAATGAAAGAAATAATATTGACTTAAATAAGTCCATGTTATTTTATTAAGGTTGATTTAGGTGAAGTTCTATTTGGCCTAATTTGCTGATAACAATTTGTGAGGTTCATATATTAGACTTAATGTGATACGATATAGTTAAAATTATGAGGGAGATTTTATTTAATATTATAGGAATTTATGCTACCTTTTAAACTAATATAGTAGTAATCTAAAAAATAAAAATAATTTTATAAGTACAGGTTGCTCGATTCTTCCAGATATATGTTGAGGTTCAGTGAAGAGTTCAATGGGTGGAGAGTCCTCAACAATTCTTTGAACAGACATTTGAATAAACTCATCAAAAGAATCAAGTTGTTGTCTCACTAAACCTAAATCATTAAATATAATTGTGAGGGTAAGAGCCTTGAATTAAAATAATTTAGATGAAGGAAGATTTATTAATCACATAACACCAAACTGACATAAAAAATTAAAATTCAATAAAATTTTATTAATTTATCCATGATACAAATTATTATAAAGATAAATAAAATACAGAATAATAAATTGGTACAGGTTTAGAACAAAAAAATTTTTTTAAAATAAAAATATAGAAAATAATATAATTGTTTTTTTTATTAAGATAACATGATAATAAATTCAATTATATAAATTTAGTTAAACTATAAGAATAGTACTATTTAGCCATAGATAAAAATCTAACAAGATGAAAAATTAATTAAATTAAAGTATACCATATTCAAAATATAAATTGACCTTCATAAATTAAAAAAAAAGGAATTTGGTCAACATTATGTTAAGAATTACCAAAAAATATTATGTATTAAAACATCGATAATAAAAAGAAAAAAGGTAAAATTAACTTATATTTCCTATTTCTTTTAATTCATTTTTTACAAATTTCATAATTTTTTCCAAATATATTACTTTATTATTTTTGGTATCTATATTGGCTAGTGTTGTTAAACTGCTGGATTTAGCCCAGTTTAAAAAAAAGGCTAACATCAAATTTTTTTTATAGATGGCAGAAAATTCTAAAAATTTTGAGGCCTTGGAATGTTATTTGATTAGAACCTTGAAATAATTATTTTAAAAAATTAGCATTAATTAAGACATTAACAACAATAGAAATTAGTATGAGCCTATACTGTGTTATTTTATTAATATTGGCAATAAGGTAGCATTGAAGCACTACTGACATTAATAACCTAAAAAAAATTCTAGCAATGATATATTAAATAAACTTTCATATTTAATTCAAACAAATTGCTTTCATTATTTTTTAAAACCTTTTTCATCAAAATAAGAGGAAATAACAATCCAACAAGCTTCTTGCCATAAATCTGGTGTTATATCATCATCATCGTTATCTTCATTGTAATTTCCTTCTCCTGTTTCTTCATCTACCATATCTATATCTTTGTCTGCCAAAGGGTTTTTTAAATCATCTACTTCTTCAAGTTCTTCTGAATCTTGATCTTGTTCATAATATTTTGAATGGTTAGGTGCTTGATAATGTATAAGTTATTTATTTATATATGCAATAACTAAAATATTCTATACTAGGTTGGATTTTCACCTGACATAGGTTAAAAAATTCAAACAATGGATAAACTGGTCACAAATATTTCCAAAATAAAAGTTTGACAAATTTAAATATTTTTTATATGGGGAATGAGCAGATTGAATTTATATTTAATAAAAACTAAGATAATGGGTGGGGATGTTAAAAATCCTATTGTGGACTTATAAACTAAACTGAGAGAATTTAACAGTTATTTGGTATTAATTCTACTATTTCTATTAAAATAATAAGGCAAGTTTATAGCTTACTTAAACAAATTGATAAATGAATAGAGTATTTATAGTGCTGGTTTGGCTAGTACCCAGGCCCATAGCAAGGGAATTATACTTAAGGCAATATTTATTTCCATAAGCCATTAGAAACAAATTAGGAGGCTAAGTGGTTTAAAGACCATAAATAATGCTAAAATTTAAACTTTAATAAAAATAAGTTATATAATATTATAACTTAAGTGAAAAGTATTCCCCCCCCCCCACCTAAAAATGGATAAGATAGGTATTAAATCTTGGATATATAAACCTATGCCTTATTTAATTAGCCTATTAGGCTCATAAAATTATTACTAAGATAAAATATAAATTAATATTTTGCTAAGGATATTAAAATTTTTTTAATTATATATTGATTTAAAAAATATATTATAAAAATAATATCATATATAATATTTAAATGTGATATATATATATATAAAACTGGGCAATTTTTACATATTAATCTACATTATTAGGATATGATATTTAATTCAGAGATATCAATAAATTATTTACCAATTGAATTTGAACCATACATCTTTTCTTTTTATAAGTAGTCAAATCAATATAACATTCATGCTAAACCTAGTGACATGTCATGTGATAACTGTCAAGTTATTGTCATTTAAGAGTTAGTGCCTTATCTAGCCATAAAGATTAGTGCAAATACAATATCCTTATTAAATTATATATTTTTGAAGAAAAATTTTAGAATATATTATATTTAAGATAATAAATACGTCAAATTATATCATATAATTATAATTGAAGGTGACATTAATATGACGATTTCCATGAGAGGTGACGGATAGTTATTATTATTTTTAGGATATTCTCACTATTCATAATTCCTGGATACCTATGTTAAATTCGAGATCTTGGTGGAATCAGCAAAATAATCTAACTAAATCAGCTTATTCTTGGCTATTTATTACAATCCTTGGAATTGGAACATTTATCTTAGCAAAAAACGATTTGAATAAAAGAAAGAGAAAGCATTTACTAAAAAAGATTAAAGCTGAAGATTAACCATAATTTTCAAAATATGGAAGAAATGCAGATTGATAAACCAACAGAAGTAGAAAAGGTTTTGTCCCACCAAAGTTATATAAAAAATTTGATAAATAAAATTGATGATAATGATGTTTCACTAGCTTTAGAAGCTACCTGTTTAATTAAAAATAAAATAATTGGAAGTGATAGAAAAAAATCAGTTATATTGTATCTAAATATATTTCCTCATCTAATTAAAGTTTTAACGCAAAACGATAAAAATAGCAGGCCAGATTTTGAGAGATTAAAACTAGAAATTTTATATATTATGACTAGCATTGTAAAGATATCAAAAAATTCACCAAATTCAAATTTATCGCTCTTATTTACAGAGGAAATTCAAGGATTCATATATCAAGGTTATTTAGTATTTTTTTTCTATATAATTTGTTTAGATCTATTAAGTTCAAATTATAAAATAATGGAGGGATCTTTATTTTGTCTGCACGCATTATCTATTAAAGGATTACTCAATTATAAGAAATTATTCCAAGTATAATATTGTTAAAAAATGAATCTTTTTTATTTAAGTATTTGTTAACTAGGTGAAGTTTTATATGAACCTAACCTTTAGTTTCAATAACACTTTATTATTTTGATCTGGTTTTTTTAGTCAGTTAATAATTTTATATAAACAATATTCATCAAAATTTGGTATATGTTTGATAAGTAGATTTTGAGATACCACATTGATAAAATAATTTATGCTTTATTTTATAAAAATATATTTAATGACTTATTTAGTGTTAAAAGCTATTTTTATTTTTGACGTATTGTATAATAACTTACATTATTGTACTGAATAAATTTTAAAATAAGAATTATGATATATAACACATTTAATTTGAAGTTTTCAAACCCACGCAAAAGCCCTTTTGGATTTTTTTAAACCTAATTAATGAAGGGCTAGTCTTGATTTTTAGCCATTTATTTTTAGGTGCTATATTTAGCAGATTTTTTTCCTTTATATTAACCTAGGAAAATAATTATCTAAAAAATTTTGAATATTTTCTTATATATATATAAATAGTAAAATTATTATAAAAATGTCCCAAAGATAAAAATATATTAATTGAAATATTCTATTCCATATTATAAAATACAATCTGACATTTTTTTTAATTAAATTTATTAAATATTTTTATTTAATTAGTTTTGACAAAGTTGAATAATTTTAAGCATTAATTCTCCAATATTCAAGTGGATCCACATGAGATATAATATCAATATCAATGTTATTTGAGTTATCTAAATAAAAAACACAAATATAAAATTAGCATTTTTAATAGATATCATACCCCCACAATCTTTTGTTGACCCAAACTAATGGGTCAATCATAACCCAATCAAGCAATACTTGATTAAATAGGGAAAATATGTTATTATACTTTCTAGATATAAAGATTCTTTTTAATATTCCTTGGTTTCTATCAAGTATGTCAGGTCATCATTTACATTACTATCGATTTCAATTATTTTATTTGTTACTAGTTTCTCTTTGAATATTAATTTATAAGCATCCTTAAATTAAATTTACATTTTTTAATGTTATGTGGAACATTTTTCTCATTTCATTACTTAAGTTAACAATAAAATCTAAATTTATTTTAACCTTTTAATACTCCGGTGAAAAAAATCAAGTTAATACTTGGGTGGGGTTTAATAGACCCCAATTTCAAATGCATATATCTCCAGTTATATTCATTATTTAGATTTAATATTTGGATATAAGATAGAACTAACCTTAAACCTGATAAAATAATTATTTATTTTTATTTCTTAAGTTTAAATTAAAAATGATGAGGAGTAATATAATTTGTCCCAAAATTTTCTAAAAAAAGCTAACCTTTTTTAAATTTAAAATATTAAATGAAAAAATTAACTTATATATCATATAATCATGATATTTCATAACATGGATCTTTATTCTTCAATATAAAAAAAAATTACACTGATTCATTCAAACATAAAAAAATATAGAACATTGAGACATTATTTTCTTAATTCTAAATGTGGAGTAATAAATTCCATAGCTAATTTTTTTATGAAATTACTTCTACTAATTGATATTTTTGTATTTGCTGTGTATATAATATGAGAATTAATTGTTGTTATATTTAGAAATGTATAAAAAATTGTTAAAGGCCAGCAATAAGATTTTCTTGATATTGAAAAATTTTCAATCATTTGGTCAACCATATCGACCCCCCCCCCCTAGTCATATTATAAAATGATATGATTTCAGGTTTGAAAAGGTTATTATCATCAACATTTTTTTAATGATGCAATGTTGAAAGCATTATCACATTTTTCCTTTTTTGAGGGATATATGATAATATCTTTGTGAAATCCAAATATACTATTATAAATTTCCCTTCCCTTTGTCATTATAAAATCATTAGGAATTTGTGGTTTATTTTTCCTTAATGTGCCCACTATTGTTAATTTGTGTGTATGCAATAAACTTAATGCAGTATCATAACTTGTAAACCAATTATCCATGGTTACATTGCGACTTGAACCAGATATTGGAAGAATTAATCTATTAACCACATCTGCTGGTTTATTACTTATTTTATAAGGCCCCTCTGGTTGATTTCCAGTATATATTTCTAAATTAAGTGTATAGTAAGTTTTGGCATCCACCAAGGAATATAATTTTATGCCATATTTTGATGGCTTATTGGGCCAGCATTACATCTAGGGTTGCATATTCTGATATTGTAAAAGATTTGTTGCAGTTATCAACAAAATTTTGAAAAATATTTCTAATGTGAGTTGCTTTGTCAATCATTTTTCTCTCTTCTCTTGTTATTATGTCATTAAATCTCATTGTGTAAATTAGAAATCTGAATCTTTTGAGGGTCATTGTTGCTCTAAATATATCTATTCCAAACCCATCAGATTTCCATAAATCGGACATATTTTGATGGTTAGATTTAAAAATTCCAGCTAAATAGAGAATTCCCAATAAAGCCTTGAATTCTATTACATCAACTTCTTTGGTGGAACTTTCATATTGGTCTTTATAGTTTTTACTAATACTTTTTATTATTTCATTAGTATGATAAATAATTTCTTCTATCATTTTTGGGGTTATAAATAAATCAAAATATTTTTCTGGAGTATCAGCTTTTTCTCCATATTTTTTGACTCCTGGAAATGAATAATTAAATTTTGTTGTCTTGTTCTTATTCTTTTATTTAGAATATCCTTTTTCCATTTAGTAAACTTATCTTTAGCTAATTTAGAGAAATATACTATGGTAAATTATTACATATTTACCTAAATAATATTGTCTATTGTCTGCTTCAAACATATCATCTTTTTCTTCATCTAATTCAGATTGTGTGTCATGATCACTCAAATACATAAAATCTTCATCATCACTAATCACTTAAAATAAAATATTACATCTAAATTTTTATTTATACTTTCAGAATCTGCAAAAATCATTGTAATATTTTAAAATAATTTGAAAAATGAGTCAATCAGCTGTTGAAAAAATAAAAAAATAACTCCACCAGGTAAAATGTTTATGTTTTCTTTTTCATATATGTCATTCAAAATAAAAGATATTTAAATTTTGTTTAGATAAATTTTATATTTTAGTAGTATATATTTATAATTATAAAAATTAAAAAAAAAATTTCTTAAAAAGTTAAGAATTTACTCTGGTGGGGTCTCACACACCCCAATCTGTTACAAAATGCTTATATCTTAAAAACTACTCAACCAAAATGTATGAAATTTGGAATATAGATTCTAAGATATATTTGATGAAGCTACTGAAAAATCCAGATAATAGTATTTAACTGTTTTTATGCAATATCATTTCTAGCATGCCTGGGGTTTCATATACCTAGATCTGTGCGCCGCCACCGGAGTATTGATGGGTAAATAAAACAATTTTTTTTAAATATGGTGTCTGAATTATGGAAATATTTTACAAAAGACAAAAAAAATCTGCCGACATGGGGAGGAATAATGAAAAATTCATTTAATACTACCAATATCCGTAAACATTGTAAAGCGATTCCATCAAACAGGCATTCGAAGAGCTAATACAAAAAGAACTAGTAATATTAGAAAAAACAGACCATTAATTTACAATTCATTTTAAAATATATGAGCATCATGAATAGTCTAGCCAACAAAAGCAACTATTCGTTAATAAAACTAAATAAATGCAAAAATTTAGCTGATCCTAGGTCCATAATTATTTCTGAATTTATAGGGGTCATGATAGCCTGTCGCCCACCACTAAATTATACTATCTCAGAGGATGTCGACTTCAACAGGCTTGCTACATCATCTATGTCCAAATTATAAAATTTCCAATAGAAAGTATTTGTTCTGGCCAGGAGCTACAGGATAGTATATGAACAATTACTGGTAAAATTAGTAAAGATTATATTATAATATGTATAAGATTAAACTTATTTATTACCTTTACCCTAGATCATGGATCTAGAAATTCAGGTGGCGATTCTCATATATTAGGGATTATGATCAAACCAAAGCATCAAGCTTTGGAAACATTTTAATAGTATTACACGATGGTAAATCAGTTAAAATGGCATACAAGCAATGCAAGATTTTGCTGCTAATTCCCACTCATTAATAATGGGAGATTTCCCAAATTAGGATTAGCGCATAATGCATTACAGCTATACGCGCCCAATATAGTTTTGTTCTATCAATCGTTTGAGCATTTCAATAGATAGAATCCCAACTGGTCGGCACGTACCTTTATTAATTTGTTGCACTAGGCATTAGACTTAATCGACATTTGAGATTTCTTATTAGACATAATTTGTCGAAATTAGAAGAATAGTTTAAAGTGGTCTAAACTATTCTTCTAACCCGGGCAAGCATGTCTAATAATAGATCTCAAATGTGATAAAATTTAATGCCTAGTGTAACCAATTGCAAACTAGGATGTGCAAAACAGTTGAAATTCTGTCTATTGAAATGTTCCCACTTTTCATGGCACAAAGCTATATTGGGTGGCATTATCTGCTAATGTTTATGTGCTAATTTTATTTTTGGAAACCAATTATTATATCATTGAAAATTTGCAGCAATATCTTGCAAAACTTGCTGTATGCGATTTTAAATGTTTTAACCATCGTGTAAAACTATTAATTTGTTTCCAAAGTTTGATGCTTTGGCATGATCATAATCCCTGAGATATGAGAATTCACCACCTGAATTTCTAGATCCATATCATCTAGGGTAAAGTGAAACAATCAGAATCATTTACTAAAATTATCTTTACTAATTATTTTAGTAGAGTTGGTTTCATATTATATCCATTATAGCTCCTGGCAAAAAATACTTTACTAGAATTGAATGAACTATTTTATAAATTTGGACCAGAATAGATGATTTGTAAAAGCACTTTTAGCAAGTCGACAGTCCTATAAGATGAGATAATATAGTGGTGGTCACTAGGCTATCATGTCCCCTATAAATTTAGAAATAATTATGGATTTAGGATCATGATTGTTTCCAAATTATTAGTATTTATTTATAGAATAGCATGATAATTCGTTTGTGCTGGACATTTCATGATGCATCTATATTTTAAAATGAATTGTAATTTAATGGTCTGTTTTTTCTAATATTACTAGTTCTTTTTGTATTATCTCTTCGAATGCCTTTTGATGGAATCGCTTTACAATGTTTATGGATATTTATAGTATTAAATGAATTTTTCATTATTCCTCCCCGTTTCGGCAGATTTTTTTTGTCTTTTGTAAAATATTTCCATAATTCAGACACCATATTTAAAAAAAATTCTTTTATTTACCCATCAATACTCTGGTGGGGTATATGAAACCCCAGGCATGCTAGAAATGATATTGCATAAAAACAGTTAAATATTATTATCTGGATTTTTCAGTAGCTTCATCAAATATATCTTAGAATCTATATTCCAAATTTCATACATTTTGGTTGAGTAGTTTTTAAGATATAAGCATTTTGTAACAGATTGGGGTGTGTGAGACCCAACCAGAGTAAATTCGTAACTTTTTAAGAAATTTTTTTTTTAATTTTTATAATTATAAATATATACTACTAAAATATAAAACCTATCTAAACAAAATTTAAATATCTTTTATTTTGAATGACATATATGAAAAAGAAAACATAAACATTTTTCCTGGTGGAGTTATTTTTTTATTTTTTCAACAGCTGATTGACTCATTTTTCAAATTATTTAAAAATATTACAATGATTTTTGCAGATTCTGAAAGTATAAATAAAAATTTAGATGTAATATTTTATTTTAAGTGTTATGATAATGTGATTAGTGATGATGAAGATTTTATGTATTTGAGTGATCATGACACACAATCTGAATTAGATGAAGAAGAAGATGATATGTTTGAAGCAGACAATAGACAATATTATTTAGGTAAATATATAATAATTTACCATAGTATATTTCTCTAAATTAGCTAAAGATAAATTTAATAAATAGAAAAAGAATATTCTAAATCAAAGAATAAGAACAAGACAACAAAATTTAATTATTCATTTCCAGGAGTCAAAAAATATGGAGAAAAAGCTGATACTCCAGAAAAATATTTTGATTTATTTATAACCCCAAAAATGATAGAAGAAATTATTTATCATACTAATGAAATAATAAAAAGTATTAGTAAAAACTATAAAGACCAATATGAAAGTTCCACCAAAGAAGTTGATGTAATAGAATTCAAGGCATTATTGGGAATTCTCTATTTAGCTGAAATTTTTAAATCTAACCATCAAAATATGTCCGATTTATGGAAATCTGATGGGTTTGGAATAGATATATTTAGAGCAACAATGACCCTCAAAAGATTCAGATTTCTAATTTACACAATGAGATTTGATGACATAATAACAAGAGAAAAGTGAAAAATGATTTACAAAGCAACTCATATTAGAAATATTTTTCAAAATTTTGTTGATAACTGCAACAAATCTTATACAATATCAGAATATGCAACCCTAGATGAAATGCTTCCAGCATTTCATGGTAAATGCCCATTTAGGCAATACATGCCCAATAAGCCATCAAAATATGGCATAAAATTATATTCCTTGGTGGATGCCAAAACTTACTATACACTTAAATTAGAAATATATACTGGAAATCAACCAGAGGGGCCTTATAAAATAAGTAATAAACCAGCAGATGTGGTTAATAGATTAATTCTTCCAATATCTGGTTCAAGTCACAATGTAACCATGGATAATTGGTTTACAAGTTATGATACTGCATTAAGTTTATTGCATACACACAAATTAACAATAGTGGGCACATTAAGGAAAAATAAACCACAAATTCCTAATGATTTTATATAATGACAAAGGGAAGGGAAATTTATAATAGTATATTTGGATTTCACAAAGATATTATCATATATCCCTCAAAAAAGGAAAAATGTGATAATGCTTTCAACATTGCATCATTAAAAAAATGTTGATGATAATAACCTTTTCAAACCTGAAATCATATCATTTTATAATATGACTAGGGGGGGGGGGGTCGATATGGTTGACCAAATGATTGAAAATTTTTCAATATCAAGAAAATCTTATTGCTGGCCTTTAACAATTTTTTATACATTTCTAAATATAACAACAATTAATTCTCATATTATATACACAGCAAATACAAAAATATCAATTAGTATTAAGAAAAGAATGTCTTAGATTGTCACGACCCATGAAAGATTCTATTTACAATATATTAGGCAAGGAACCAAATAAAAATATTAAGCCTTCAATAGGAAGGTGTAGTGTTTGTCCTAGAAAAAGGGATAAAAAAACAAAATATTTTTGTCAAATATGTAAAATAAATTTATGTTTAGAACACATGAATGCTTTATGTAATAAATGTTTTACATGTCAAAATTAACATATTTCAATGTTCTATATTTTTTTTATGTTCGAATGAATCAGTGTAATTTTTTTTTATATTGAAGAATAAAGATCCATGTTATGAAATATCATGATTATATGATATATAAGTTAATTTTTTCATTTAATATTTTAAATTTAAAAAAGGTTAGCTTTTTTTAGGAAATTTTGGGACAAATTATATTACTCCTCATCATTTTTAATTTAAACTTAAGAAATAAAAATAAATAATTATTTTATCAGGTTTAAGGTTAGTTCTATCTTATATCCAAATATTAAATCTAAATAATGAATATAACTGGAGATATATGCATTTGAAATTGGGGTCTATTAAACCCCACCCGAGTATTAACTTGATTTCTTTCACCGGAGTATTGAAGGGTTTATTTATAGTATAAATAATAAATTTAGCGTTATTATTTAAAAAGATTTAAAATAAATAAAACTTTGGATGTTCGTTTTTATTTTTATAAAAAAAACTTTTAAAATACTATAATTCTATATAAAAACTTAATAAAATTTATTGGTTTTATGCATTTGCATTGTTTAAAAAAATTATTTAGAAATTATAATAATGTAAAATAAATATAAATAAAATAACAAAAAAAAAGAAAAGTAAAAAAATCGGATCGGTTTTTAGAGGTATCTGCCCGATCCGATATTTTTGGAAAACGCGAAATATAGGTGCCCATCCGATATTTAATATCGGTACTGTCCTGCTATATATGAATAATATAATTGCGTTTAATCTTATGGTTCAGAATATTTGAATAAAATTATTATTTTTATTTGTTAAAAATTAAAATGCTGTATCTTTGTAAAAAATAACAAATTTAGTCATTCAATTTCAACATTTTATGTCAATATATTTTATTTGTTAAACAAGGTTAATGTAATGTCCAAGCTTCATCAAATTTTAACAACTCTTTCTACCTTTAAGAGCCTTGAATATATAACTTATATAATGGCCAAATTACCTACCTTGATCTTAAAGCAACATCAAGATGTTATCATTAACCATCATCTACTAGACTTTTTGTTAAAAAATTTGGGTGATTTAAATGTCCCAGAAAAGGTTACAAAAAAAATACATTTTATTTTATATTAATCATAAAAATTTTTTTTTTTTTTACTAATTGAGTTTATTTATATTATGAAATGTTTGCACTATAAAAAATTAATTTAGATATATTCAATTTTTAATTAAACAGATCAAAATAAATGTCTTGGAGTTTTACGAAAAACTTACCAGAGAGCAAGTATTGCCATCCTCACTTTGGAATTACATATTGAGAGACGATGTTACAAAAAACAATGCAACAAAAATTACCAAAACCCAGAAACTTTTGAATTTGTTTGATACCTTGCAACACAGCGATAAACCCTTAATAGTTCAATACCTGGCAGCTAAATGGTTTTTTAAACACATTTTATAAAAATTCAGTTTAGAAAAAATAATAGAAAACTTTCAAAGGTGACAAATTTTATGCATATAGTTACCTTCTCTATAAAGTAGCCAATTTTGTTGAATCATCTTCTAAATATAAAAAATGAAAGTTAGCTGTCTATACAGCACATGATTTGTGTCATGTAATAATTTATTGAATCCGATTCCCCCACCCCATCCCCTAATTATTATTAAATCGTAAATGAATATATTTTTTTTAACGAAGCGTCCTAAATATATTTAAAAATTTGATAACTTCTTTCGGTAAATCGCACTCCCTTCACATATGTCAATTCGAGCGACTCATATGCAACGCTGATATACAGACTCAACATCAAGAACTAAACATAGATTCCTTGATACTCAAAAGAACCTTGCCCACCTTTGTTAGAATTATCAATGTTACCAGTCACAATAAACTCAAGATAAATGATAATAATCACAATAGTAATTACGAACTGCTAATCGAATCGATTAATACATTGGCCGAACTAGTGGGTAAACTTTTTTTGTTGAATTATATGCCATTATTTCTTATTTAATTTTCGATCAGGGTTTCCCCAGAAATGTTAATATATTTTCAGTACTGCTATTTTTATATTAAATTATATTTCTGCAAAGTTTTATGCATTTTTATTGAATCGTCTTTTAAGATATAATAGACATTTTTTAGAGACAGTAATGCACATTATAACTTATAACTTTTATTTGAAAACTATTGAGTACATATATCTTTTTTTAACGTTTAACATGATACAAATTATAAGACTACGACCTTTTTTTATTTTTATACCTTCCAAAACATATATTTAAATATTATTCTACATCAAAATAAAAAATATAATAATGATTTTTTTTGTATGAAAACACTGATAAATAAATTATATTAAGTTTAAAAGTTCATGTAAAAATTGTCTGAAATTCAGGTGGGTATTCTAAACATGACGGCATTCATTTCCTGTAAAATAAGATTTTTAATTTTTAAAAACGCTCTAAAAATATGATTAAAGTCGAAAAATAACACACGCTAACATAGGATATAATAAATTAATCAAACAATTCGTTTTACATACATAAAAAACATATGCCACATTGATATTTATTAAATTAAATTATGTGATATTTATGACAATTTTGCTTTATCTTTGATCACTCTTCTACACTCATATGATCGAATATTTTAGTAAATATTTAAAAACGTATCTTAATAATTTTTTCTCTAATGTTTGATTTAAAATGGCACTATCGTCATACTTTGATGAACCGGGCGGCACATAAACTTAGACACCAATAAATAACGCACAATGGTCCCTCCCTTTCCCTCGACTCTGCTGTATATTTTAGTACCATAAACCAAAATTCTTAATTCGTAACTAAATAACAAAAAATGTACGTCTTTAACTTATAAATTCCAATAAAAAAATATATAATAGATATAATTTTTGAAATCTTTAAAAAAATCAATTATCATCTTCTCTATAAGATTTGCATCCAGATCTTCAAATGACGGCATGTTATACAAATCAACTTTTAATAACAGTCAATGAATTATTAAACTCTAAAATCTGTGCTGACATGGGCATTCCACATGAAACTACCAAAGTATTATACTTAAAAAAAATTAAAATATTTTTAAATTATACAAGGTGTCAGACATTATCAGATAAGTTTATGAGAGGGTATAAGTACTACTAGCTAAAATGGTGTCTAAATTTATGGGGAAGTCACATATTATTTATGACAAATTTTATTTCTTATTCATTCTGACTTTAAGGACTTTGTCACCAAAATTATTCATTTATTCTTTTACTATTTTCTTAGGGTAAAATTTTGAGATGCGGTCTTCTCAAACTGTGTTCCGTTTTGTGTAGCCATCACGAAAATGTGCGAAAAAAGTTAGTAGACTCTCCTTATGATCTCATGGAATATGTCACCAAGGCAATTATGTTCAATGAAAATTGTGATACAGATAGCGAAATGGTTTTTTTATTTTCATATTTAAAATTTTAAACAAAATGGAATAGTATTTTTAGCGGTACCGAGCCCTCACAAGCATTTTGAAAAGTCAATTTTCTTCGATCACGATGCACTTGGCCTATAAATGTATATTTAACGTACTTAAATAATTTTTGAGAGTTCTAGGCGGCGCGCCCTCTCAATTCAAATATAACTCGTATTTTAAGAATTTAATCTATAAAAAATACTGTTAAATTCTATTAAATATAAAAATTGATGAACAAATTTTTCGTTAAGATGACTATATTTTCTTTTGTGTTTGAAAAATATTATTTGCCAAAGTTTTTTTAAAGAATTTCTTTGATTATTTTGAAAAAGGTTTCAGAAACATTAAGCAATTTTTTTTATAATTACGTAAAAATTATTTGGACTGCTTATTATTTACTATTATATTTTTTTCCCATCCATAAAAAATATAATTTTAATTACATGCATAATGTTTTCTCATATTTTATTTCATGAATCTAGTTGAGGTATTCTTCTATCTTATGCTTGCTCTCCTTCTCCCGTTCGATACAGCTATTGAGAACCAATTTCCTGGACACTAATATTTGGAAAAGCTTGGTTGATATTGCTAAATCGCTTTATAAAGAAATAGATTCCAAACAAAACCTCACGTTAAATCAATTGAATGACATGAAATTACAAAACTTGAGGGAGAGTCCTATCTTGATCAAATTAAATATTCTGAACGCATGCGTTAGTTTGATATGCAATTTGTTGCTTGACTTCTCACCAGCTAAAGAAGTTTGCTTATGCTAAAAAAACTAATTTGATTTAAATATAAGTGGCATATGACTAAATACTGCAATGCTAATGAGCAATTAATCTTAATTAGTAAAAATTTTAATATATTTTTTTTTATAAAATAACTTTCAGAAACATTTTATTATATATATATTTTATTCAAATACTATGTTTTGATTTAATGAATAAAACTGCGTTCTATCTAAAAATTTAATTGATAATTCCCAAAAATTCGATTTTTATTAATGATTGTATAAATTTTAATACTATATTTCGATTTAATGAATAAAACTGCATTAATAAAATATATATTTATTTTATAATATACTAAAATATTACATTAAAAAAAACTAAAAAAAGAGAAGCAACAACATATGAATCTATTTTTCAATTATAAAATTTAATAAATATATCTCATAAAAATTTTATTTAGGAAACTTGCTTGATTATTTATTAGCGTTTTTTTTATATTTGGGTGTACATGTGAAAAACCTAAAAATATTTTTAATTTTTGAAAAATACCTATGATTGATAGTATCTCTATAAACAAAAGTATTTTAATAACTAAAGACTTTTAATTGAGGTTTAGTAAATATAAGTCTTAAAAGGTTTGTGCTCTCATACCCGAATCTATTATCAATTTCATTCTATTTTATCATAATATTTCTTATTCTATCCTCATTAAAATTTGTTCTTACTAGTAATTAACTAACTTAAATGATAATAAATTTAGCTTTAAAGGAAGGGGAGCCAGAAAAATAATTGAATGATATACCCCCTTTTAAAAAGTTTATTTAACGAGTCCAAATTTATGGTTGTATTAGACCATAAATTTATATTTGATAGGGATCCAAAGTTTATAAAAAAAATTGATTTTGACATTTAATTGAGTGTAGGAATTTAAGATCGAATTATACAAGCTTTTACTTAAATTTAATATTCTATCTTAAATTCCTACATGGCGGAGGATAGGAGCATCAGCTTAGTGAAAGTTGATCCCCGTATAAATCTGCAATCGCGTGAAACTAAAGATGTTTAGGCACTATATGGAAACAATTTCCGTATATTGCTGTGCTCTCATGGGATTAAAGAGGAAGAGCTGTGCGAACACAGAAACATACATTGTTTTCATGAAATGTCTAATTATCCTTAGTTTCTTACGAGTGCAGAATTATACGGAGCTCCTTCCCCACAAGCTTGCATTTAGCTGATGCCCCTATCCTCTACCATGTAGGATTCCTACACTCATAAATTAAATGTCAAAGAAATCTATCATTTTTTTTAATTCTTAGGTTTTCCAGAAGTATCTACACTCAAATATAAAAAAAGCGCTAACCAATAATCATTCGGGTTTCCGAATTTGATATTTTCATATTTAAGCATTTGTCGCCATTATGGAGATATATTTATTAAATTTTATAATTGAAAAATAAAATATAAGTTGTAATAAGCTACATTATTAAATAAAAATTATTAATAAAATTGTTGTTATTTACTGATAAATTAATAAAAAAGACAATTATTATTAAAATTGTTGTTATTTACGGTTAAATTAATAAAAAAGACATTTTTTATTAGAGACCTGCAGAGGTACCATTTTCACGGCCTGTCCCGGATTTATTTTACAGAAATTTTCATGCCCGGTTGGAATTTTTTTAAAATATATAATATTTATTTTTAATTTTTATAACTAATAATGGTGATTTAAAATATTTGTTTTTAAAATATACTGTCCGGCTTGGTTATTTTTTTTAAAAAATTTCAAGCCCAGTGGGGTATTTTAAGAAAAAGATTTCTAGCCCGGAACGATAACGGATTACGTCCAACGTCTGATGCCTTGTGGACTGTCCACATGAATACGATTCGTGACAATGATGGTCTCTGATTATTATTGAAATAATTTTTTTTGAATTATATTATTTAAAACCAATAATAAAAATAGAAATCTAACAAAACGAATCAAAAATACATTTTCAGTTTAAAAATATATTTAAAAAAATATATATAAATATATGAGCGCTTAATTATAATCTATATTAAAATGAGATACAAGAAATATGTACTATAAATTTAATAACAATAAATACCCGGGTTGGTATAAAGCGAGAAAAAAATTAAGAATTAGAAAAAGTCTAGGATAGCTCTTTTGCTAGTAGACTACCATTAAAGTTGATGTAGTTCGCTTTAATGATAGCTATGACCAACCTTTGTCAAAGAAAAAACCCATCTCGATTCTTCTGAGAATTTGCTGATTTGTGACCCTAAATTTTTGAAGAATGCTAGTGCAAGTGTGGTTGAAATGATAGGAATAAAACAATGGGCATTTGAAATTTCTGTGTATATTGAGATTTTAAGATAATCTCTTTTCAATGATGTCGAGGACTTGGTTAGGTGGTCAGAGGGTCAATGCATGAATAGTCCCTTACCAATAGTTGCCTTCTCCTCCACGGAATTTGAGCGATCCCATAAGGACATTTACCGCCTGATCTAAAAATACCCTGTAGTCCTAGTTTGGATGGTATTTGAGCTGATTTCAAAGCTTGTTGGGTGATTGAGTTACATTGCGTATGTCTGATAAATCGACTATTGCAGGAGCGACAATGTAAACTATGTCTTCCATTCATGTCAACGGGTGACTTACAACTTGAACACATGTTAGGGTGGGTGATGGAGCAGTTAAAACGAAAACCAATGGCGTGGTGAAGTTCTATGTTGGAGAGTTGAAGATTGACGGAAGGAATGGCTTTGAGAAACTTATACAAGTAGCATAGAGCAGTGAAGAGAATAGGGTGCGGTCAGTAGATTGCAATTTAGATAAAAATGTCTAAAACATCCCAGTCCTTCTGTCTATGGGTTGTGGGAGGATGATCAACACTGACCCGTTTTTCCACAAATTTGCGGCCCCAATTAAGGAATAGGGACATTGGTTATTTGCTTTGAAAAGAGGTTACTCAATATGAAAGAGGTTATTGCTAGATCGTAGGGAAATCTAATGCCAATTCTGCCGAATTTAGCTGGGAGTGAAACTTAGGCCCAAGCGGCCTCGTTGAATCTTTATTCCCTTTTCTGTGTTTTGAGTAGTGTATTGCTCTTTTTGAGCGGATTTTAAAAAATTAACTCAATATTTTATCCAGGAAAATAGTACGCAAGCCTGAAGATTTTGTTCATAGAAGGAACAAAGGTCTATACATATATTATCGAAGAGGCTTAGACAATATTTTTCTGGCTAAAATATTGAAGTAGCCTTTTTTAAAAATCGACTCAAAACGAGCTGTTTAAAAACACTAGTTTTGATTGGAAGAGGATATTTAAAAATATGTTGAACGGAAATAAAATTTTAACTCCATTTAAAAGTGGTTGTATTTGTTTTCAAAAATATATACGATTATAAAATTTTACCACATAATTTTTGTAAATATATTTTTTACAAGAATAATAAAAGAATAAAATAGTGTCTATTGATTACCAAAAATAAATTCAATAAATACCATATTAAATTGAGGATTAATAAATTAATTGCTTTTTAGCAGCGCAGTATTTAGTCATACCCTAATTGGCCACACTTTAAAATAAGGTAATTATGCAAGCAAAAAGAAATAAGAGAAAATAAGGAAGGTAGGAAAAGAGGAAAAACTAAATTTCTATTTTTATGATGTAGTGTATAAAAGTGATGGAACATCTATAGAAGCAATGGAAGAATTTTATCCTTTGTAATTTTTTATAAAAATTGTCCAATATAATAAAATACTATTTTTATCAGAGACCTGCCGAGGTACCGGATTTTTTAAAAAAAAAATTTTTTCGCCCTAGCCCTGCTTTTAAATTTTCAAACCCGGTCCGGGTTTTTAAAAAAAAATTATTTTGGCCCGGCTTGGTCCTAGGTATATAAGAAATTAAAATACGGCCCAGCCCATGCACCTGAGCATCGGGTCGGGCCTGCAGATTTCTGATTTTTATATACATTTAAAATAAATATTATTTTGAAAATCATGTACGTTTATAAATAAGATAAGTGTTGGATAAGCAAATAAAAATAGATTAAAGGAGAAAGAGAATTTTTTATAATAATTTTTTTTTAAAGCAAAAATTAATTTCATTTATTCCTATATAATATATATGGAAATTCATCAATTATATGTAAGTAAGAAAGAACGAAAATATTTCATCAAATTTTTTTAATACTTTAAACTGTTAATTTAAATTTTGATAAGAAGGAATTGACTATCAAATAAGTAAAACCAAAAAGAAAACTATACCAAATTTGAACAAAGATTCAAACGTTTTATCCTATCTTATTCCAACAACTGCAAATGAGCGGAGATTTTTATCTTTAAGAGATAAAACTTTATTGTAGAAACAGGATGAACGATGAATCAAAATCGATCATCTAATCTTATACCAATCATTGATTCAATTGGAAGAAAAAAATCATATGATAACTTTTATATTTACTCACTTTACCCAAACACAAGGATTCCACTCATTTTTAAATTTTAATATTTTGCATGGTTTGACATATAAAAATCAATCACTTCCCTAGTCATAAACTTGACACTTAGCCACTGGTATATATATATAGATAAATAATATGAATAACAATTTTAAATAATTTAAATATTAAAAAGTATCTGATGACTCAATCCGACATAGTTGACATCCTATGTATAATCATTAAAGATCCAAAATATGATGGACCATTCAAGCAAATCATTAAGCTGAATGCTATATGGGCTCTTATGGTTACTTTAATTTAATTTTATATATGATAATTGATTGTTAGTACAAAAATTCATATAATAAAATATAGCCATTTCTATTGTTATCTTTTCTAATTTATTGTAGGAACCTTTTCATATCTAAAACAATACAATTCAAAGAAATATCATTCAAATAAAGTTTAAATAATATGACATTTTGTTTAAATTCTATAATATCTTATTGAATTGGCAGAACGCTTCCTTTAAAGCTGAAAAGTTTGTTAAATTGGATATTTTAACCCGTCTCGACTTTAACTCGCACTTGCTTCCTGCATTACGCAAGCTAACCGATCCAGGTATGATTTGCCCCACTAACACCGCTAGAAATGAGCATTCATCTTACCAAGAGAACGATGACTATGAGGAAAATCATGAAAGTATTTTTGGAATTAAAGTTTTGGGATTGATGCGAAACGTTTGTTCCGGAGGTAAAAGTCATTTGACCGTCGTGTTGCCTAACATAGGGGAGGCTTTGATAAATGTACTAAAAAAAATATTTTATATGAATTATAATTATTTATAAAATTGTTTATGAATGCTAGTTAAAGTTAAGTGATTACTCTATTTTTTAGCCATGCTAAAAAAATGGCGAAACTTAGTTTTTAACCAGAAACCTTGGATTTAAAACAAAATATACTGTATAACTAGAAAACCGAAATAAGCTCATGCCTCAAGGTTTAGCGATTTTTTCTACACGCACCTGTAGATTAAGTCAAATTAGCCTATTTTTAGCTTACACCAAAAAATACTAGATAATAATATTATATAAATTTCTTTGTTTAGCCCTATATATTTATTATTTGTTTTTATTTACATCATATTAACATTTTTTTAAATATAAAAATATTAAATTAACAGGAATTAAGTTCTATCATCAGTTGCCCTTTTGCGTTGCCTTACATCAAGGAACTAGCCATATGTGTGTTGATAAACCTTTCCCAAGCTGGTGAAATTTTGAACGAAGAAAATAATAGCTCCAACACAACCGATACATCTTCATACCCCATGGAAACTGTCTTGCCTGATGAAAATCGTGTCGGCAGTACGAAAAATCTTGAAAAACTCGAAAACAATTACGCGAGAAATTTTTCAATTTTCGATGACGAGAAACCGATTAAGGATACGGATACCCGAGAGGAAAAGGTGTGGTTGGGTGGAGCCACTTACTCCATCTTACATCCCAATTATTTGACTGATCCGAATGCCTTTGCAAACTCGAATTTGATTATGAAAGAGCGGGCCAATTATTTATCGCCTACCATAATTATAAGTAATTCTTTATTGATTGGCTGTAAAAATAACTAAAAATATTTTGATTTTTTTGATAATATAAAAATATTATTTAGTCAGTACTGAATGCCAGCTCGTTATTTATTTTTAAAGTTCTATTGATATGATTGTTTTTTTTACAAAATGAAAGCCAATATATTAAATTTGACACTATAAAATCAAAATAAATCCTATTTTTCTTAAAACTACTAGTGCATTTTTTAATTTGCCAAAAAAGTGATATGATTTTTTAAAATTTGAACCAGATTGATTTTTTTTTAAAAAAATCACTTAATCGTTAAAAAATCATATAATGGATCATGTAATATTCATTTCATATACTCATATTTTTAAATTCTCTTTTGTAAAATAAAGTTAAAATTATTCATAATAACTAAATTTTCAAAAATTCGGGTCTTAAAATGAAAAAAATTTAATTCCGGGCCTAAAATTTCGACCTCTATGCTAATGTTTGCATGGTTCGGTCAGACTGACGGTCCGGTTTTGTTCGGTCTCATCTGACTCTTGGGTCCGGTCCGATCGAAGACCGATTAATGAAGATAAAAGTTTACTATGAATTGCTTTTTAGTTAATGTACATGTACATGAACACATAAAACATAATTATTTAATGCCTAACACATTATAATATCTCATTCATCGTTTACTTTTTATATTCTTTCATTTTATTCAATTCATTCGTCAAGTAATTTAATTTAGTAGGGTAGGTAGTATTATATTTTTATTTTTAGAAATGGAATGAAATGAAATGAAATCATAGAAGTTGATAATACTATTGAACCACCCACTTCAGGGGGTGAAAGAATGACTATTGATGTAAATGGATCAAATTCAAATTTGAAAGATGTTAAAGAATTATATAAGTTTTTTAAAAAGGATAATGCTGGGAAAATTTTTTATATATTGATATTTTAAACTTTAATTAGCCTTCATAGGCTTGGTTGGTCTGTGCTTGGCTTATATTTTGAAATATATTTTTTAATGGGCTAGGCCTGGTCATAAAATCAGGCATGAAGGTCTCTAATTCACATATGTGATGAATAATTCTATCTTATTTTAGCTACTTTGAGAAGAAATATGTTTCACAGGAAAAAGTATTAGTTCAGAAAGAAATAAAATTATTTTCAGATTATAGATATAATAATAGAACTACAACTGCTCAAAACCAAAAAATTAATAAATACATTGCTGAAATCATTATACGTTTACTATCCTTCTACATGACCTTATAAATAATATTAAATTTTTGGAAATGATTGAATACATAAATCCTAATATTAAAGTTTTCCCTTATAATATCTATAAAAAAATACTCTAAATAATAACCTTAATAAAAAAAAGTCATGTTATATACATGCTAGCGCAAAATTTCCAGGAAAACTGGTTATCACAACAGATTTATGGACGTCTGTTCAAAAACCTTCTTCTATAAGTGGCCACTATATTGATGAAGCGTAAAAAAATGAAAGAAATAATATTGGATATTAATTATGTGCACATATATGCCTCTCTGAATTAATTGTTGAATAAAATTTGAAAGAAAAAATTATCAGTTTAACAACTGATAATGCTGCAAATATGCTTAAAACTTAGAGACTAATGAGAACTTACATGAATCCAATCCCATTTGCAGCATATGGCTGAATGGCATTGTTAAACATCATTTGTCAGAATATTCTAAAAAATATTGATGAAGTTATTGTGAAAGTAAGAATTACAACAAACATTTTTCAAAGTTCATTATTACTTCAAAAATATAGATCACTACTTAAAGATAATGACATTGGACAAAAAATTCTAATTGATGTTGAAACCCGCTGGAATTCAACATATTTAAGTTTGAAGTATTTTTTATTATTAGAATTTCGAAACAATAAAAACTGTATGTTATTCTGAATATGAAACCCTTGGCAACATTGCCCTGACAAATGAAGATAAAAATAAAATAGAGGAACTAATTCCTTTATTAAAGTCATTTATGAAACTACTTTGGATTTATTTGGATCCTCATATCCTACCATTGGTTGAATATCTTGTATATAATATTTTTAAATGGTTTTTCTCTTATTTAGGCATATGTCTTATGCTTATAGAAAATATACAAACTCACATTAGAACTACTTTTACTTCTAATTCTTTCCCCTCTTTTATTGATGCGCCATTTGCAATGAAAGTCGCTAAAAAAGTTAATCACTACATACATAAATTTTTAAATTTGGTAGTCTATTAGACCCCAGAATTAAAAAAGTTATTCCTAATTCTTCATAATATATTATAAAATTTCTATTTATTTAGGTTCACATAATTTATTAAATACTTCTGTAAATTTTATTCAATAGCATTATTATTTAAGGAAATATTCTTAAGGGAGAGAATAGCCAGGGATAGTCTCATGGGAACTGGGACGTCAAAGAAAGCTGAGAAAGTTGATATAAATGAAATTCAAAGCTATTTATTTTATATTTCATATCCAATAATTTCAACATATTAGATTGGTGGGAAGGGAATCAATATCGATTTCCAATTATAGCCAAAATAGCAATGGACTATCTCCCACAGCATGCTACATCAGTAGCATGTGAACGGATCTTTTCTAAAGCTAGTGAAAAAACCGAAATAGAATGAATCCAAAGATTTTTTGATTTTTAGAAGATAATTAGAATATTTATATATAAATCAGTTTTATTTTATAACCAAATATCTATCGCATTATATATATATCAAAACAAAGAACTGATTAAATATGTAATCAAATTGATTTAATCACATAATTTGTATTGGTTTAATAATCTTTTGAAATATTAGACATTTGTAATGTATAATTTAATAAAAATGATTTGATGTTATAATTAAAATATTGGTAATTTTCATTTTTAATAAATTTAATGCAGAATAAAACTTTTATATCTTAATAAAAGACATTTTTTAGATGGGACCGGACCGACCAAACCGAACTGGACAGATGGTCTCAAAGTCTGGTCTCACTTGACTTAACAGTCCATAGGTCCTGCCTCATTTTAGAAAAAAGGACCGGACCGTTGCAAACATACTCCATGTGATAAATCAAATGAACCTATAAAAAATTTGTAAAAATAGTATGAAATTATATTTTACCAGAAATATACTTTGAATCAGGTGAGAGAGCAAAGACTGGTCATGAAGCATAGTTGCAATCATGCTATTCATGAATAAAATGCGAAAAGTGTGATTATTTATGTTTCAATTTAATCAAGATTGCAATTGTTTGTATTTTTTTTTACTACATTATAGGTTAAAATGTCATTCATTATTTCTATAGCTAATATATGATTAAAATAAAAGTTAATGCTTTTATAGGATTACATTTTTTTTATAGATTGAATACTTGAATTTTTTTAGCACTTAGACTTTTAGACTGTACCCTTGGATTTTACACTTTTATTTGTTTATAATTTCTTTATTATATTTTCTGATTTTTCCAACAAAAAAAAATAATATCTAATTCTTTTTCAAAACACATATATTTTTTTAAATTATTAATTATATAATAAAAATAAATAATTATTATAATATAACAAATCATTTCATTTTTTTAATCCATTGGGGTTAAAGGAGTGTATAAATAATTTTTATTACCAAAATTTTTATAAAATGTTAGGCTAATTATAAAGTAAATGAAATTTGCATTTTTATGCACCAATTTTTCTAAATTTTAAACCCCCCCCCCTTCCGTTCATATTTTATTTTACGATACACATATAAATCTATCTTATTTTTTATACATTATAGAAAAATTTTTGGCAAGCAAATTGAAATACAACCTGGCCTTGCGCGATGACATTTTAATAGCTTTGATAGATTGTGTCTTTGCTTCACCCGCTTACGATGTATATAATCAAACCGATTTTGAAAATAATATTTCCGCCATCGACAATAGCCAGAAAATGGCAGAAGCAAAGGATGCTAACGCTAAACCTTATACGTCACCTCTGAATTTAGAAGATAAAGGTAATTTATAAAAGTTTACTTTGAATACTATAACTTACGACTCCAAAAACATGCTAAATTAATGGTTGACGATGTTTTGTCAGTTGAGAGAGGGGAGGGGCGGGTAAGTATAGTTATTCAAAGTGGTCACAATTAGTATATTTTTAATGATGGATTGCAATTCATAAAATAACAAGCAGAAATTTTAATATCCTATATTATAAACATTTGTCTTATTTTTAAAAAAAAATTATTATTTTCTCATCAAAAACGTACTAAACTTATATATTTTATTTAACCTTCCTTTTCTAATATATTTTTAAAATCTCCATATCGTCATCTTATCATAAAGCATCTTGCACAATGTTATAAAACCTTAATTAAAAATTTAACACCCTAAATTCATTAAAAAACATACAATTATAAATCTGTAAACATAATTTAATAGCCCCTGGGCCTCCTTGCGATGACCCTATGTCTTTGGATATTCCTTTCTCTATGAAGGGAAGTCCGAATCCAAACCTTAACGACACGATAACAATCGAAGATTTAGGTGAGGATGAGAGTAGTGCCGACAGTGAAGTTAATAACAATAACACAGGCAATGCACATACTGCAGAGGCTGACCTACCCCCAGCGGCTCTCAAAGGCGGCGTTTCTTATACCGTCTCCATACTTACAGAGATTCAAAATAATCAGAACAAAGAGGGCAGAGGGAACGATAACCAAAGGTTCTTTTTTCTTCCTTATGTCAGATTTCTTGGGGATAAAGAGGGGTTACCATGGGCACACACAGGAAGGGACAATGTCAGGTGACCTCCCCCCCCCCTAGAAATTTATATATTGAAATTTTAAAATATTTTTATGTTTTGCCCCCTCCCTCCTCCTAAAATTACAATGTATGCTCAAGTGCTGCTATATTATAGTGCTAGGCACTTAATATCATGTAATAAAACTATTTTTTTTAAAAATTATGTTATATTTTGATGTTAATATTAGGGGTGTACCGATACCACTTTTTGGAAACCGACCCGATACTCCCGATATTTAATTGATATCGGCCAATTACCGATCCGATATCATATATAATTTTGTGTTCTTTAAAGATACCAATGGTTTTAATTTTTAATATACTTTTTATTAGTATAACATCTATAATTTAATTATACCATAACTTATGTCATTTAAATATATCGTCGGCCTAGAATTGGAGTGCTCCACTTGCGCAAATGTTTAAAATGAGAAAATCAACAAGTTTAAAATCAAATATAGGAAAAGCTTATTGATCAATTCTGACAGAGCTTTAACTTTGGCAAAATTAATATTTTTAAATCTAGTTTTAATTTTTATATGTATTGGGAATAAATAAGTTATTACCCACTTCTAACCCAAAAATTTTGAAAATTTGGAGTGGAGCACTCCAATTCTAGACCGACGATATTATAATGATCTGTTATAGTTTATATTCAATTCAATTGCAATTTTAAAACTATATGTTAAATCACTTTTATATAATAAGTAATAAAATTAATCTATATACATAACAAGTAATAAACAAATATATCAAAGATTCCTTTTTGGAAATACCAAAATTTCCAATTTATCAAAGATCAACCTGCGGCGATGGTAACTGTCAATATCACCAGTTTCACTAAAAACAGATTCTGAAGAGATTATCGCACACTTTTATAAACAGAATGCGCAAAAAAATAACAATATGGCAGAATGTTTATTAATTAATTATTATTATTAAAAAAATATACATAAAAATGGATTTCCGTTTTGTTTATAAGAATAAATGATCTTAGATATAACTTTTTAAAAAAAATTTATAACATTTTATTTTTGTTAAAGACCCTATTTTATATCGGATCGGAAAATTTTATAATATTGGCCGATAACCGATATTTTAAAATAGGTGAAATATTGGTTCAATCCGATAAAAAATATCGGTACATCCCTAGTTAATATTATATCAGGATCTAAATATTATTGCTTTGGTCACGACTAAATCATAGAAAAATAATTTTACATTCATTCGTTAAAATCGAATGTTTTTTAGACGTATATTTTTTATCAATTCCATCTACTTCTACAAGTATTTATAAATTTCTTATTGGGTATCCGAAATTAGGATACAACATTTTATGATGAGATACAAATTATTTATTTTGGATTAATCATATTTATACCAAGATAATACGATTATGTTATTCCTATTCATTCTATTTAAGTAAACCCTTATACGTATTCTTACGAATAATAAAAATGTTATTCTATTTAATTCGAAAATTGGATTCTTTAAAAATGAAAAAAAAAATTGATTCGCGAAATTTAAAATAGTGATTTATAGATGTGAGAGTAAAGTTTAAAAAAATTTAAAATTTTCAGCAATGAACATACTTATTACTTACGAAAGATTTCAAATTCAATAATTTCGAATATTTTCCAATAAATCGATCGAATAATGTATAAAAATATTTCGAATTGAATAATTTTGTTATATTTCTAAAAATACGAATTGAATAATTTGTTTTCGGTATTACAGTCAAATTATTCATTGAAAAATTAAGGTCAAATTACCATATTATTATCCTCTGATAGTTCTACATCTTCAACACCTAGTACAGTTGTGTTTCTACTAGCATGATAATAAAAGAATCTTACAAGTAATTACTTTTCATCCTCTTATGTTTTACATATGAAACCGTAGACTCGAGTTCTCTTTAAATATCTTCTACAGCACCCTATAAAACATAAGATTTTTCAATAATGTAAATAAATTAAATATAAATTAGAGGAGACTGGGGTTGGTAAACATCAGCACTTTTCAAACGCAGATATTATTTTACTAGTAGAGTATTTTTGGGATCGTGATTAATTATTTGAAAGATATCTTTATTACTGAGAATATTCAATTGGATTTATTTCATTTTAACCTAAAATATATATTTTTTTAATATGTCGATCCATGATAAAAAAAGCCACATTTTTAATAACAATAAAATTTTTATAGATAGTTTCTAATTATTTTCTGACCAAAAAAATCTACCTAACTTTTTGAATATTTCTAAAAAAAATAATATTTGATCCTCCCTGGCAGAAACTACTGGCGAGTTAAGTTACCTGACATTTTATCCTTATCTTTTACTTTTTAAATAAACATATTTATTGATATTTAAAATTAAAATATAGTGTAATATTAATTGTTTTATTTGTTTAATGACTACCAAAACTTATACATTCCTATATATCTATTAAAATTCCAGCTTAAACCCTAACACATCTACCACTAGCAACCAAAAACCACAAGATCTTACATTTCAATCATCCGTTGATAAAAGCAATGAATTGACATCAACCCCACTAAACCATTTACAAAGAAGTGCCATAAGATGTTTGAATGCTTTATACGCGCCAAAGAATATAGCCAAAATCGAATCCGTTTGTGAATATGTTCCTTTCCCTCTAAATATGTTAACCAGGGAATATTACTATAATTCTAGTGGAACGTTTCAACAAATTGGTATATATTTTTAATTTATAACTATATTTTTACATAAAATTTTGGGTTTTTCTAAAGAAACTACTAAGAATTTTTTAAATTTGACATTTAATATTTTATAAAAAAATTTATATGGAGTTTAGCATAATATATAATATAATCTCTAACCCCAAAATTTGATATCTCAGCCGACGAAAGCTCAACATCATACAACAACAATAGAGTCTCTATCAAATCCTTCTATTGGCGGGTACTATACAACGTTTTAAAAGGCCGACCCATTTTTCATACGAACGATTTTATTATGGATAAAAATTTATCGGACCAAAATAATTTAACCACCTCCAAAATTAAATTTATAGCTCTCAAAAACTTTATCAAGCTCCTCAAGAGGCAAACCAATATTATCATACCACCGCCTCCTAATCAACCTACTTCATCATCCAATTTATCTCATGATATCGATAATGACGCCATTAAATCAAATCAGATTCAGTGCCCTAAACAGTCTGAAAGAACCTCGAAAATATTTGAAGTGAGCACGGATATATCTCTAAGAAACGATATTCTCATCGACACGAATCGCGAAAACGTTAAAAATATCATACCCGCGTTCGTTTCATGGCTCAAAGATGAAAGCAAAGTTAATAAAAAACGGGCAGGCACCAGGAAAGTAAAGGCTCAAGATGATACAATCAACACCGTTAATATAATTTATAACAAAGAAGAAGAGGAAGAAAAATAGATTTTGAATAATGATATATAAATGGGATAAATTGGACATTTCGACAAGGAGAAAATGTTTTATAAGAGATATATTTTTTCGATATTATTCATTAAGAAATGTGAATTTTTATTTTAGGTATGCAATATTTATCAGCTTCAACCTTATTATTATTTTGTTTTAAAATATTAATCTATAAAACATAGCTTTTATATTTATTATCGCCAATTATTATTATTAATTAAAATTAAAAAATATATTTACTCTATATTTTAATTTTTTATGTCACTATTTTAAAAGAATAGATTTTATTACGTTAATATTAAATAAGTTTTGTCAAGTTTTAATCGTAATATTAATATATAAAAAAAATTATTCTTGAATTAATAAAATGATGGTTGTAAAAATAATTTCGGCAGCACTGTGTGCGACATGTCATACTGTAAGATGTCAAAAAAATTAGGCAGCACTTCCATGCAACAGAGCTTATTGTAAAAATATAACAAAAATCGGGCAGCACTTCTGTGCAACTGTAAAAATCTTAACGCGAAGGTCGCTTACAGATGAGATGACCATGGTAATCTCTTTTTATATTCAGTTGTTAACATCATTATCAAAATTAATATATTTTATTTTTATGATTAGAGAAGATTATTAATAAATCTATATTTATTTTTCAAAATGTGCAAGATATAAAAAAAAAGGTAAAATCATAATTGTTATCATTAGATAATTTTGTTTAATAAACCAAGTGTCTATTTTAGGTGTTAAGTACTAGTTGCGTCACACAATATTTTTTTTTTAGCAAAGCACAAATTTAGGCTTCGTTTATAGTTAACTTGATAAAGTTTAAATGATGTAATGAGTATCTAAATAATATTACAACAATTGGTCTCGTCGCACGTTTCCCATTATTTGCTGCTTTGGAGAGCAATGCCTCAGTTACTATAAACGAGGCATTAGAGACTTTGAAATTACCTTCTTATCCAAACTATTAATGCATCCTAAAAATGGGATTCTTCATCGTTTTTATAAATAGGACTCAACCTAATAGCATTTTTTGGTTAACCCTTCATTAATAGTTAGCTCTAATTCGCGATAAAGTATACAAAATAAAGAAGTGTCATATTTTATATTTATCCGCCAATTACACTAACTATGAATTCAGGTAACAGCCGAATAAATGTTATTTGAAGAAGAAACAATAATAAATGCAAGTTTGGATCCTGAACTTTAAAGGTTCCCTGTTTTATTATTTTTAAAAGAAAAGTGATTTTGATTCCAATTCCTAAAAACTTTAAAAAGAGGTAACTCCGGGTTTTAGGTATGATTTCTCAACCTAATAGCATTTTTTGGTTAACCCTTCATTAATAGTTAGCTCTAATTCGCGATAAAGTATACAAAATAAAGAAGTGTCATATTTTATATTTATCCGCCAATTACACTAACTATGAATTCAGGTAACAGCCGAACAAATACTATTTGATGAAGAAACAATAAATGTCAGTTTGGAACCTGAACTTTAAAGGTTTCTTGTTTTATGTTTCAATTAATTCCGATTTCAATTTTTTATTGAGCCATATGCACAGAAATTTATTTATTATAATATTTCATAAATTTTATTGGCAAATTAAATTTATTTTATCTCCTAGAGCCCTCTAAATATTGAATTAAAATTTTAATCGAATATTTTGAGTTAAATCCTATAAATTTTAAATTTTTAATGAATTTTTATTAACAAAACTAATTCTTCAAATAATAGATCTACGTTTATAATAATATGAAGTATGAAAATTATATATGTCGTAACGGGATACGAAATCTCTAATCCCCACCTTTTTTGTAATCTATTAAAAATCATGAGAATTTGGAATAATTAGAAAAATGGGCCTAGACTGCTCACACGTTAGTCCTTATTGATTCAATGAATTCTAAAAACATACACCCTTCTATCTTTGAAATAAAAGTAATAATTATAAGTTTATAGAACAAATATTTCCTTCAGCCCCTTCTCATCTACTTCTTAATTTGATGTATTTATTTTACTCCTAATTTTTTTTAAAATGATTTTTACCTTTAATCTCCATCCATGTAGTAAATTTTGAGACTTTAGGCTCCAAGAATTAAAAATATCAATTAAAAAATGATTCACTTATTTGGATTAAAACCATGGTTGGCAGATTAATTTAAACAGGGAGAATGAAACCATGAATTCATATTTTTTTGCACAAAATATGGGAAAGATCCGTAAATACCTTTATTATTTATATTTTTTAGAGATTTTATATTATTAATTTTTTCAAATTATTTTATTTATTTTAAAATAGGATATATACACTAAATAATTTAAAATATATATTAAAAATCAGATAAGCATATATTAAAAATAAATTAAAAAATATATATATATATAAAAAAGAACTGATAAAAAAAAATATTTAATAAAAGGGTACAAATCACCCTAGAGAAGAGTGAATGCTTAAAAAATTGGACCTTCAAATTTCCAGGGTAGGCTACGAAGTAAAATCCTTCATGGGGTCCCCTGAGATCTGTTTTAATGAAATTGAGGGCATCACTTCCAAACATGCCTAGGGTATTGGTATGAACAAGGTATTGGTAAGGCTAGCATATTTCTTTTTCTTTAGGATTTCAGCCTTTTCAATGGCAGAAAATGAAAGATTGGACTTTGCTACAGGTATAGTCAGCGAGCGGGAAACCATTAGTTCTGGGAATGAGGGATATCCCATCGGGACGTAAGGCGTTTTCGTTTGAGAGGCCCAATTTTTATTTTTACGTCTATTAAAATCTTTACTTTTCTCCAGAAAATTTTCATTCAACTATATATATGCTCTGAATCAGCATTTGAATGTGGTAATTAAGAAATAATATTACTTTTAAAAAAAAAAATTTTAGGAGTTAAAGGTGCCCATTTATTTTCGTGAGCTAAATTTGATATATTATTACTTTTTTAATGAACGTATCTAAACAACAATAAATTCCTAAAATAATTTATCGTATTCTACATCTTTTATATAAAAATTGGATAATATATATTTATTGATGGGCTTAAAGTTGTAACTAATTTTTCCATTATTAAAAACATGCCCACTGAAATTTAATTTTCGGATTGATATATTTTAACTACATTATTTAAGGCAGTCTGTATTTCTACATTAATATGTTTTAATTGTTTTTAAATATAACCGGGGAGCCTAAATTTTTTTTTAAAACAATTAAAAATAAATATAATATATTTTTAAAAAATCCGGGCCGGGTCGAAAATTTTTTTTTGAATAAAATCTGGGCCAAGCCTGAAAATATAAAACCCAGGTCAAAATTTTTTTAAAATCCGGGCCGTGAAAATAGTGTCTCTGCCGATCTCTGATTAATAACTAGGAGTAAATAAGACTCGGTCAACCCGCTTTTCTCTATTTTTTATAAATAATTTTAATATTGAATTGAGATTTCTTGGGATAAAAATAGGATTTGACACTAAGTAATTTAAAGTCTTTCAAGAGCCCGTTTTGATGGTAGGTTGTTGAGACATCTCTTTGAAGTTATTGCCATTCAAAATCTTAGAATCTATGATTTTCCTTAAAATATATACACTGTTTGTGAATCGCTGAATTCAGCGTAACATTTCATAACCACCATATCTATATGATAATGAAAAGTGTTCCTTTCTTCCTGCATTGTGAATTATATGACAAATTAAATATTAAATTGGAAGGTTTTGTGAAATTTATTTTTTCTTCTTTAAAATATGGAATATATAATAAACAAAGTTGTTAAAAGATACTTTTTAAATGGATCTAGATACAGATACATAGTCTCAAAAGTTATCTAGATACAGATACAGCGTCTAAAAAGTTATCAAGATACAGATACAATTTTTAAATGTATCTGTATACAGATATTTCTTTTATTATGCTAATATAGGTTTGCATTTAATATTATATTGTGAAAATTCATGAAATGAGCTAAAAAATTTATTGACGCGATATAACATTTATCAGAATATAACTAAAATAATGATTTTAATATAATATATGAAAATATTTGATTAAATAATTATAAATAATTATTAGATTTCAGTAATAAAATATTTTCAAAATTTTGATCATTTAGGCATCCTCGTTTTTCTGTAAAGACATTTTTAGCAACACTAAATAGTCTTTCCACAGGGGCGCTTGAAGGAATTGTAGTGTTATATTTAATAAATAACAATTAAATATCAGGGTATTCTTTAAAAATGCTAAAATCTCTACATTCATTTTTGAAAAAATTATTTAAAATTTGTTGATTATCAAAATTTAAATCATTATTAGAAATTATATCTGCTGTAGGGTACTGAAAAAAATCTGAAATTAAATTATTTGTTTTTTTTGGCAGGTTATTTGCTTGTAGTCAGTTGATGACCATGATAATTCACCAGCTAATCTTTGTATCAATTGTTTTCTTTTATTAAGATTTTCTTCCATTTGCAACCATGTCCAATCAAGTTTAAAAAAAGGGTGGAGCATGCTTGCTATAATATAATCATCTTCAAATAAGGTCACAATAAACCTAGAATTATTAAATATTTTTAATTTATTATATTAATTTACCTATCCTCAATCCCTTTAAGTAAGGCATCTAAGAGTGGTAAACAGAGTCTCAGGTTCATTTCTTTAAAATTCTTTAATTTGATAATAAGTTGTGAAATAGTTGCACAGTAATAAGCTGTGTACATATACTTATCTCCCTGCAAAATATCAAGGGAATTAGCTATTGGCTTCATTAGCTAATTTAAAATAATACTATATATATAAATATTATTTATAACTTACTAAACAATATTCATGAATAAAATCACATTCATTAGGTAAAAACCTAGGTAGTTTTATTCCATCACATATCTTGTCCACTTTGTCAGATTTAGCTTTTAAAATTTCTGACATTAATTGTAAGGCATTATAGGTGGAGTTCCATCTAGTTATATTAGGACATATAAAATAACGACCAATATATTCCTTAATAATCTCAGATGAAATAGGAGACTTATTTTGCCTATTCCATATATTTTGGCATTTATGTAGTGTTGTGCTATATATCTAATGAAGAAAATATTACCTATTTAATTAAAATTAGTTTTACCCTCTGATATTGTTTACACTGCATGGCTCTATTAGCATCCACAGTGGCTATAAGATTCAATGTGTGACTGGCACAACAATGGTGATGAGGTAAACTA